GTATGGTTGCATAGTGTAGTATTAGCCGGCATGCGCGTCTAATCAGTGATTGTCGATTTGGTGGAAATCATCTCCGGCTGCCGGCAGTAACATGGAAAATATTTAAGGATGACCTAAACGTCAGGACACATGCATGCAAATGCCCTATAATTACCTTGCTGTCCCGGTGCTGTTCACCTCGGCGAACCGGTGAAGTTCTAAGGATGACCTTAACGTCGTTAAGGAGCTTAATTAACAACTGTTGTCGCCTCATTTATTTATCAATAAAAACTGTAAAATTGTTTGTGATCTGTTGCAACATACTTGATTTTCAAACGTTTGTTGGCGCATTATTACCGCTACAATCGCATGTTGCACCAATCGGATATTTTAAAACTGCTGCAACCACAGTTTATATTCACCGGATTATACACTGTACAATGTGCAGTAACACACTTTTTATGCCACACGCTTGAATGTAATCGCCGCGAACTAAGTAACTAAAATCTAGGTTATGCAAAACAGACAAGTTAAGCCTATTCATATAGCGAGCTGTCCAAAAAACATGCTGATTTTATTCAAAGGCAGATTTATTATGTCCGTGCTGTTGGATGTCATTGTAGCCGATAGCATGTCAAGTTTCAACCGTCCGCAGGCATTCAAAACATCACAACCGTGGGAAAAAATCTGCATTATTTGGTCGCGCGGAAAAAAAACTGACACATATACATATATGGCCAAAATTATTACTAAACGAACATTACTGTATCGGTTTCCTCTGTGTAGCGGCACAGCATGACTTGTTACCGCGGCTGACCGGCGAAATACGAGCGCGTACAGTGAAATTGTTATTATAGGTAATTTGGTATCCAACCAGGCACAGCGTCGATAATGGTCAAAATATATATACGCGCACACGGGAGCGTACATGTATATGCAGTTAGCCACTGGTCAGTCAAGGGTGCGGAGCAAGCAATTGCCCGGCATTCTCAACATCTTGCCGGTTGAAAATCGCTATCTAGATGTTCTTCTCTCAAAAGTCTAAAAGAGAGAAATTATGGCTTCTACCGCGAAGGGAGGTCACAACTCAGAAGCAGTGGATCATGCATATTCGGCGTTCAAACAAAAGAGAATAATATGACAGTTTGATCATCGGAAGATCTTTCACTATACGGATCACCGGACTGCGTCCAGGTATGGGGTCACATTGGCCGGGCACGGCTCAAATGTAAGCTTATAATTATCGCTCAAGCCCCTGCTCACGAGTAGAGAGAGTAGATTGGCGAGTAAATTGCTTAAAGATAAAAGGCAAGATTCACTTCCCAATCATCTTTTCTTTCCACCGTTGGGCTTGCGCTTGAGAGGGCCATCTAATATGCGGTGATGGGCACTGATGGCAGATATTCCGCATTGACCGTTGATAGAACTGATCGCGATAGTGCGTCAGTGCACCAGTCACAGCAATTTTCCACGACTTGTCTTGAAAAGCGGATAAGTACATAATTAAGGATCTTTATCAATTCCAAAACGAAAATTGCCGCTTGCCGACAGGCTGCAGAAGCTACTTCAATGGTCGAAAATAATACCATAATTATTATTCGCCGGTACGGAACTACTTTGCTGTGTAACAGGTGTTCCAAAAATAAGTCCATACTTAGTGTCTTAAAAATCTCAATAATGAAACAAAGTACTGTTTTAATACAAAGAACATTGTTACAATTTCGACCATGGAAAAACTTTAAGGAAGAAATACCAGAAACTGAAATTTTATATATAACGCATGTGATGATGTGAATACATATGTAATTGTAATCCGATACAACTTAAGAAATCGTATTCATATATGCGCATACCTACGCAAAACCACATAAAGCGTTCTTCGTAACACAATATCATACGCAACGCACACCTGTTCGCGTTTGGCATTTTTACGTCAGCCAGATGCACTGATTTGACCTGATTGTCAGGACGTAGTAAAATGAATACAAAATGCCCAGATCGAGCTAGGGAATATCGGTTACATGCAGAGCACAGACGAAACCTAACCGTTCAAGTGGGTCCACTTGAGAGTTAATGAAATTTTGGTTTTTACGGCCACTATCCGTGAATGGACAGCGTAAAGCTGATATGTTGGATTGTTAATTTCATCATAATGGAGAAACCTGTTTGGTCTGCATCTCACAGAATCGGCATCATGACCAGAGAGTGTCTTTCCCATATATTGCGCACTTTGGACAGCTTATACAAATCTCCGCACTGATGATTGATTAAATTGTATCCCAGGTTACAATTGTCAAGGTTTTATATGTACACTAAATCTGAATGTGCTCTCGTGGTGGAAAATGGCTAACCGCAGCGTACAATGATCTATGAGGGATAATCTGGGCTAAACTCGGTCACTTTATCCACTTTTCCAGATGCAACTAATTCAGTACAGATATATATTCACCTGACTTGTTGACTAGCGTTTGTTCGCTGGCAGTGGTCTGATATCCTTGTTGTTGAACCGATCTCTTGACTGAATTGAAAACCCCACTCCAGAGTGCTCTCTTCAGCCTGACTAACAAGTAGCATCTACCTATTCAACTCGCCTCAACAGACGCTTCTCATAATTTTATCCGAATTGAAAAGACCATTTTCCGGCTGCTTATCTGACCCCGCGTTCCTTTTCTCCGTAATATACTTACCTTAGTAGCTTTTGTCTAAAAGCAATGGATATTGGCAAAACATTCACAATATTAAACTTTAGCAATGAAAATTAGTACGCTATTTAAATTTTCACAGAAAATAAAATTAGTACGTAAAAATGATAGTAAAACTTCATTCTATCTTCCTGAAATACTGTAAGCAAATATCTATTTTACGTCATAACATTACAGGTTTACGCGAACTAAGCCGACACTTCACTTTATTCGCTATAAATAAATCACACAAATCCCGGTTTTTGTTAACTGCAAATCCATATGCACGTAACACGGATTACATAACGCAGTTTCTGCGTGCCATTGTAGTACAATGATTGTGCGGCGTCCCTAGCGTATGCTTCTGTTTCAACCTGAATAAATCATTCGCACATCAAAAACCCTGCCGCATGCAGTTCTTCAAACATGGCGACATTTGTCTAGTAATCGCGATTATTTTCTAATTCTGCCTAGCCGAAAGCCCGGCGCTGTGGAAGTTAATCCTCTGATGTGACTGTAATCACTCCGCGCGCTCAACACAGATTGAATGCGCCTGGTGATATAATCTAGAGGTGCACACATTAACAGCCACCATGCCTGCATGGGCACGCCAACCCCGGCCCTGCTCCAGATGATCCCTAACACAATAACAAAACCGGCACTGATGCCTCGACTCATCCCGCACTGCTACCGGCGTTAGTGCATTAACACGGCATACACCCGGGAGAGATTCATCCAGAATCTCCTGTTGTCAATTATTTGATCACACATCAATTCCTACATATAGCGCGCTGCAGGGACAATTTACGCTGCGGTAAATAATAGTCATCTTGCATTCTTGCTCACCGTCACAGCTTCCTTGCTCCAGATTTCCACAAAGAAGATGTACAAGGGCAACGAACAGGTAGCCGCGCCGGGCGAATGGCCAACGTGGATTATCCATATTCATATGTGTGTTGTGCTGTTACGATTACCGGAAATCGTTGGATAAAAGCATAATGTTTACGAAGCGATGTCTGGCAAAATAAACTTCCCTCAGTTCAACATGTAAATTTTTGTCTGCGATTGCATGTGTGGCGTTGAGTGAAGACAGCGTGTGGCAAGCATCAACTGAGACCGATACGCGGCGGTTCTTTTTGTTAAGCTGCCAGTAACGTGACGTCAGAGTGGTCGCACGCCTGCTATTGGCTAGCTCGCGCAGGAAGGCGGTGCGTGCTGATCGCTCCAGTGTATTTTAAACGTAATCCACTCAACCCGCCAGCCAGCTTCCACCGACCACCCAAACGGATTAAAAATGCGGTTTTCAAAACGCTGTACATACGTATGCATATGTGGTATGCAATTTGCCATGGATTTTGTCAGAAACGCCAGTAATGGACAGATCGGCGTCTCTCGTGAATTCCTATATTTTGATCGGAAAAAGACATTTGCTTAAAGAAGTCAAAAGGGTTAAAACCATTTATCACTCGCTCTTTTTAGCGGCATAAACGGTCTGTTTTTCACTGTTACGTATTCATGTCCAGAACGCCGGAACGTTGACACTACAGACAGGGCAGCGAAAGAGACAAAAAATAATAATACACCATAATAGGTTTTCGTAGATCGTTTGATCGTTTGCACACTGATAGGGCCTCACTTGGATCCAGATATTGTTAGCTTTAGTCAACATGTTTGCTTTGGCTTTTATGTTGACTTTCAAAGCATTGAATTCATTAGATTTGCCAGCGAGAAGGGGTATTTATCCATTGAAATCTGGTTTGGAACAGAATAGCGGACAAACAGGTAAAAGTGTACACTTGGGCATCGATATGTCTGCCGGCAGACCGCTTAACGTATTGTCTCATGTGAAGCAAGGCATCAGGGGAAAACTTGGCCGGAAGTGTCGTAAAGAAAATATTACAGCCACGCATCTTGACATATTAATTCCCGGTGTGGACAGTTTCCGTTAGGATGTGTTTTTTTAAAACCGGTGTCATCAGTCGCAGTCATCAGCAGTTTGCAAAACGTTACGAGAACCTGAAGTATGTATGTACGCACCTTTCAAGTAAAAAGTGAATAAAATAAAGTAGGTAAGTAAAATATACTGGCAGTACGTACTTGAATGCATTTATTGCTCAAAATTTTTATTGCCCGCAGCGGTCCATATGGGATACGATATGTACCGATATAATGTCTGTATACGGTAAGACGTTGACACATTTTCTTCTAATTTTGGAGAATTTGGGGCAATCATGGATCAGGACACAATTTCATCATCTTCATCTAATCATCCATAATCTGTATGTGCTAGTATAAAGAGAGGTTATTATATAAGACCAGCCCAGTTTCGCCATATGCTCGCGCTTCCGAAATATAGAATAATATCTATATAATGCCAATAGTGTACAAAATGCCGGCATGAAATTAATGTCACGCAGCTTCCGTACTGCTACCCCGGACAGAGTCCAGAGATGCCTCGCGACCGGTATCTAATACGTGCTCCAAACCAGATCTCACAGCATGCGGTATCATTATCACTTCTCCACCGGATACCCGATCTCATGTGTCCCTGGCTGTCGATGAGGGCAGATATAGAATTCTGGCAATTATGTGTGGAAGCACTGCCAGTGCAACACTGTATACATGCAGAAATCTGATTAATAAAATTATTCTTGATCCAAATCGGATCTGAGAAATCTGAAACCAACATAGTCCGTGTGCGGATTGTGAAGAAAGACAGAGCACCGCGATTAAAGTCCAACCGACCAGCAGAATCTGTAATGACGGTGTATGTATATACTTTGTATAAACTTCTCAACGTGTTATCTTCCCGCAGCCATGCATTAAAGCTGATTTAATTTGACTTCCTTCGATTTTAGAGCGTAAATGGTCAGTGGAAATTTACTGTGCTCTATGAGTTCTGGATCACTTGTGCATGCACGGCCACTGTCCAGTGTGACAATCATTCTATAATTACAAATTCTTATTCTCGCGCATCATCAGCGATTCAGCAGTACGAATTGTGCCAGCTTCTGGCTGTGCGAGCAGGAACAAAACAGTAGCTGTAAATCCAAGTTACGCAGACAAACCTAAAAATATCATTAACGCTCAAGTTTTTGCTTTCTGCGTCTAGTTAGGCGTTCTTCTTGAATAGAGCTGCACGTATAAATGAATTTTTGTGAGAATACTAGCATATCTAGCTCAAATACGCTTCTTTAATTTTATGTTGATTTTCTTCACATACTAAATTAAGGGTGTTCTATATTTAAAATAAGTAATTATTCAACGATGAATGCACTCTTTGCGAATAATTAGTGTACAGAGTACTACGCGGTCGATCGTGCCTCTGCTGTAGATGTACGTATGTCGAGTTTTGCATACTGTACTCTTTAACATTTTGCATATAATAATTATATTATACAAAGTGCAGATCCTCGCGGAGTCAACTGCAACTAACAACAGAAAGAATAAACATCTGCCCATAGTTAGTCACGCACTGAGGTCAAACTATAATTTTTATCACAGCCCGGTAGTTGAGATAATGCACTAATGAGGGATATTTATGCTTGCTGTCATCTAATGCGGGAGCATTTATTTTGCCAATTATAACAATTGCGGTGCATCAAAAACATACGATATCCTTGCTTATATATAATTCACGCTTCGATCGGCGGCGGTTTGGACAGATGTATTCTGGACCTTGTTGGCCATGTGTGCATTGACGCGACAGGTCTTTCATATTTCATTGTCAGATTAACAACACTAGCTAAAATACATAAATCTTGCAGTTTACCTCTAAAGTATCGCATTTAAAAATTTCGTCAGCACACACAAAAAAACCCAATAATTCTAAATTATTGCTGCTAACTTTCTACGTACAATAGTTTAGTATATGAAAACCTACTCTAATATGAACGAAAATATGAAAACCTACTTTTTAATTGTTATGACTTGTTTTGGTTGTAACGAGACCTGTAGCAATGAGATTTGATCTGCTGTAGATAGCTATTCTACCGAAAATATTTTTCTTAGGGTAGAAACCATGTTTCCGCGATGATTTGCTGGCACAAGTATTGTGTCGCTCTTATGCGTCGCCTGGTTTTGGTGTTATTCTTTTACAAAGTTCTACAAACATGCAAAGGCCGGGCGGGAGGGTCCGGATTCACAATGTCCACTGCTTCAGAGCCCAACAGCAGCAGTGAACAGCAGGACAATTTTTAGTAAATACCCCGTCGAATTGATATACTGTATGTTAGCTCGCTGCAACAATGTCAGCTTCACCGAACATACGGTACATCCAAGAACGGAAGTGCACCGGAAGTGCGATGCCGCTGATGCTTGGATGGAAGTCCTGTACCCGTTTGGTCAAGCCGATCGAAGAATTTATCTCTTGTACCATGTCAGTGTATTAAACCAGACTGACCTTCGGTTCTTGAAAAACACTTTGAAAAACTCTGTTAACTTCGGCATGTAGAAACCATGTTACTGTTTAATTTAATTAGAAGACAATCGAATTGAACCAGTTTTGTTGTCGCAAGTTTCTGTTTCATGCTTTTTTAGTAAACCCAGTCAGGTTATTTATGTAAGTGTTAAAAACCTTTAAGACGAAAATTAATTCATGGCCAGCCGCCGACCGCCGTTCTAATCCAGCAGACAAAACATTTTTTGGTGACAGTTTATCAACACAACAGCTTGTAACGCCACATAATGCACTTTTACATAATTACATAACACACAATGAACTGGCCTCACCGTGGCTTGCAGCTTTGCATACGCTATGTAATCAGCCGGAAGACCTGACAATGGGCTAACTATCATCATCTGAATATGAATAATTGTTGTACACTGGTGGATGAATTTGCGTCCATGGCCGTCGGTAAGGATCGGTATAGCGAACGTTGAAAGTTGACCTGGCTACTGAGCTGGATAAAATTGTTGCAACCTGGGTGTAATATTTGCAGTACGTTATAAAATGCATCGTGAATCGTGATCAATTATATGTATTTAAACATTCTTATTTCCGGAAGCTGTGCACAACAAACACATGTTTCGTACACACCTTCCAAAAATAAGGATGTTTTTCAAATGTTTAAAATCACTTATCAACATGGTCTATGTGACTATATATTTAAATGACTATCGGTTTATTATTGTCGTGTCAAAATTGATACCAATAAATTTGTTTGGAAATTGTGTATGATCTAAAGGCGCGTGTATGAACTGCATACATACCTTATAGTCGGCGGGCCCTGGTCCCTTGGCCTTCGGACTGAACAAGGAACGCATCTTGGCCTTAGGAACAGTCGGCCCATGTTGAGTGACCTTTTTGATAACTGCCCATTTTTTGCAGCTATAGCGGTTGGCTCCTAAAGCACAAATACGAGTAATACCGTACAATTTGAGCTTGCAAAATTCCGTACTAGTGTGCATGAATCGACCTTCACCGTCAGATCTTCGGCATCAAGATAATTCAATTGTAAACATTTTGAAATATTATTTTCGTATAAAATTACAACATGTGTTTGAAGATGATCATTTGCCGTTACTTTGTTGTTGTTTCTGGTACTTTGTTAGTGACCGTGTTACGAGTAAACCTTACAAACCTGGTGTATCGCGTGCAGCATTCAACGCCACCGGCTTGCGAGGATCGGTCGTATTGAAAGCCGGTGGAACTCTGGCCAGATACGGACGATGGAACGATCTCCGGCAGCGCGTAAGGCGATCCGCTCGGGCGACGTCGTACCATCCCGGAGCGGGTATTCGATCCTGCAAATTAGGTATAATTTAATTTCACAAAAAACATAAAAGCATCTGTGCAATAATCCAACAAAAACCTACTTCAACAAGTTTTGCAAAACTCTCAAGCAACAATAAGCATATAGTAATATACTGTATATACATCGTTTTACTAAAGATGCAAAATAAATTTACGGCAATACCTATACTACATTAGCCCACCAGGTAGCGTTTGTGGGCGCCTTCCTTCTCCCTCCAACCCTGCCAGGGAAATATCCCATTGCGATCCTTTTTCACCTGACTGCCGCGCACCACCACGGCAATCGTAGCCGGTATGGAGTAAGTGTTGGGCGCCGGTGTCGGGGATATCTGTGCGGCGTTGGTTCCCGCCCGCGGGACGCCACTACCGAATGCCGCTCGAATATGTGTCTGTGCATTGTGAATTTGCTGGCGGACATTGAGAAACTCCGTCGGACTGAACAGACTCATATTGTTCGGTGCGGAGGTTTTAAACCGCGGTGTTGTGGCAAGAAAGCCTTTGTTAGCGGGACGCTTCACGGGATAGGAGCCTGTTTTTATAGCCGAACGGGGATCAACGTAGGCACTGGAAGCCGGAATGTCCATGTCGATCAAACCGACATCCAAAACGCGCTGCCGAAATGTTTATAAGTAGAATTCAATTGTCTACATCACGACTACATGCATATGCTGAAAATAATTCATCGTTTCTCGTTCTACATTAATTTTTATATATATGTTGCTTGCCATTTAACTATTTTTAGCCACTATTAGGTATTTCTGTTTGTACGCGATTAAGTAGAGGCAGTAACATAATAACCACAAATAAATTTCATAAGCCATATCATAAAATTACGCGGTTATTTGTTTTATTGTTTAATGGATAATGTCAAGCGTTTTAACCTTTGTTGTCGAACTGAACCCAATGGATCGTCTTTGTGCAGCATTCATTGCCTGCATATACTGATCGATCATTTTTCCATGGTTGACGATAATTCGGTTTATACGCTTTTCCAGCACTAAATCTCGATCCAACAATGATTTCTGTTTCTACTAACAAAACCAAGCGTATTTTTCAATAAAATATAAGCCAGCCATCCGTAATTATATGCATGTGCTATTGTAAAATGTACCTCTGTTTGACTACAAAATGTTTGGCTGGTCCGGGTGCCAGGAAAAAACGCATCGTTACCGCGATTCGGCTGGTCTAATGCCATTTCTTGTTCAAATCTTAAGACAGGATGAACGGGAGCCGCTAGACAAAAAACCAGAACCGAAATGATAAGTCAGTTACATACGTAACGATATATTTAATCATCAGCATTATAAACACACAGCGAGTTCCACCAGAATTAATTTTCTTCATGGTTCCAGGCGATTCGTACGCTCCCGGCCCAGGAGTGATACTGAGTGGAAAAACCGATCCTCGTGTCGCTCGAGAAAATCCTCCGCCGTAAAATCGATGGTGAAATGGCTCGGCTGCCTGCAAATATCTGTAGGTAATAAACGGCCATATGCATATAGTCATGCAAAATGAAACTGCTGTAATGATTACTCTGCGATCTAGTCCAATATGTATATACGGAGTTGCATAATACGTTATGATCGCTTGAATATATTTTCTATGCCAAAATTAGTTAAAAACAGTTTTCACTTTTACAAGTAACGTGCACGAATTTAAATGGACTTTCTTCTCAAAACAGGTAGCCCGTAAACATTTCCAAAAAACTCGAAAATACATATTACGATTTATGTATCGGCATGCGTGCCGAGGCGGAATGTATATGGGCAATACTCCTTGGCTTAACTAAAATTTATAAATTCATGACTTCAATTTTGTGTACTTAAGCATTTCTGTATACTATTTTCATGTACACCAGCACGAATTTTAAGCTGAAAAGAAAATACCTACTTTTGCCCAGTTATGCAATTTTTATGACAAACTAAAACACGTTCGAGTAAATGTAAGAGTACAAAGGTAAAGGAACCGGGATCACGGTTTTTTCAACCGAACACGTTTATGTAAAACTCTTCTTAGCGTAATATATATCGTGGTGCAATGGTATATAAGGTACTCATTAAATGCCGCTGTAATTAACTCACCTGTGAGCAGGCGTCGTCGCGTTGGCAGATTAGTATGTTATCGGCTCCTTTCTCGAAAACATTCCCACTGGCGTCTACTGTGTAGCCGTGAGCACGACCACGTGGGGATACGTTTGGTCCATCGTAAAATCCCTTTCGAGCCAACTAAACAAAGCGCTTCGTTTTGTGCATGGCGTACTTTGCCAAAAGTTTAAGGCATGCCGTCCATATCCCAGGTTAACTTTTATCATTAATCTGAGGTTCGTTTTATTGGAGTAGATTACCCACGTTGCCTTGGTTGAGGTAGGTCAGCAACAGGGCCATGACCTTATGATGGGACTGCGGTGTGGGTCGAGGAATGTGTGTCGGAAACCAGATGACATGTTTGTTGTGATCACATGGCGCCACACCTGTTGGTTTCAGTGGTTGGAAGCGAGGAACGATGCTTTTGAAATCGCTGGATATCTGGAAAAACATATTGCACACAACCGGTTTAGCAGAATAGTTAAGTGCGTCTGTATATTGATGGATGCGAAAGCGGACAAATCTTCATTTTTTCGAAATAAATCGATAAATCGATTTTTTTCGGTTTTTATTCCGTAATAATGTCGTACTTGCTCACCGGATGACAGGATAAAAACCTGAGAAAACTTTCACCAATTGTTTTGGTCTACTGCGTGGAAAAGCAGCAGTGACTATGGGTACGATATGTTTTATGTAGTGTAGTACGGTAGCTCACATGTAAAATCGATGCACTTTAAATTGTGCCCACGTGAATATGACTTATACGCGTACTTCTATGCAGACAAAATTACATTATTTGATCGCATTTACTCATTTTTATAGCAATTTTTTATACTGTCCGAATGAGGGCTACTCTTTTTTATATTAAATTTAAATGCAAAATTATTTATTCAGAATAATTTCTGTAGATAATTGTGAACGGCGACAGAATTTTTTCTATTAACTGAAAGAGAAGTGGATTGCATTTAATAACGACAGACTACGTAAGCGGTAAGCCATGAAGTTATTACATAAATGCAAGTCTATTGTCTATTACGGATTCGTGTGAAGCTGTTTCTCGTAAAAATCTTTAATATATTATCTAAAACCGGGAATTACAACTGTGAAGTATAGGTACATCAATCACTTCAAATATTTTAATCGCTGCCTACCTGGGGTGAATTTTTCGTTTTCTTATGGCTGGTGTCATACAATTTTGCTGGGGTTTCTCGTCCGCCTTTTTCGAACATATAGGCCAATGTGCTTCGTTCTTGAAAGCTTCCGAATGGGGGATGAATTCCAAGGGGTTCATTGACTGAAGATATACGAATTCCGCATTTGTTATATTGACACGTAAGCGGTAAGTAGAAATAGAAAAGATTCCCTAATTAATCCACCTGTTGCATTGGAATGGGGATCGTATGTTCCAACATCCGGTCCATAACGCAAAACATTTTGCTGAAAACTCCACAAACGAGGTGAATCATCCTCCAAACCGCAGTGCGCCATTTACTTTGTATTTTTTGCCTGATATATTTCGTATTTCGTAATACGACAGATAGGGAACTAGTAAAAATAATACATTACAGTCGCGATTTGTAATTAGCAACCATAAAAACTGAGATCAAGATTTCATGTTTTGCATTTCGTGGAGAAAATATAAGGCACAGTACGGAATTACGTCAAAAGTTTTTTAGTAACACCGCATGAGTTAAGTGTAGCAAACGTCTGTTTCTATTAATAGCGTTTCATGTCAATAGAAAATACTGCTTACTTAATTAAGTTACAATACTGTATACATACCTACATAGGTAGTACTTGTACTTATCTAGTGATTAATTTTGCCTGCAAGAGGTCAATATGACTAAACTGTTGTTGATTGCTTTTTTGGTTGCCGGGAAACTGCACTGCAAACCGATTTGTGATCCTTTTTCGCAAAGTGAAACTGAAAGTACTGTACATTTACTACATGTTAAAACACAGTACGGTACAAGTATTTTAGGTTGGCTTTTGCAAGTTTAGCACTTGATCAGCAGACCTAATACATGTGCTTTCAGTAAAAACTATAAGCATCAAAACTGACCGTGTGTCAAAACTGTAAATTACCTGCATGGGGCAAATTATTGTTACAAACTAGCAGTTGTACTAATCAGCTTATGACAAAAACGAATTGCTTAGCGAGTAACGCGAATACTATCTATTCCAGTTTGAGAAGCATAATGCAGCAATGGTTTTGCAATGGATTTTTTGTAATATACAATCCTGATAAGTAATGTACGAGTAATACAGATGTCGTATCTAACTGCAAAACAGATGTTTGTACATTTTCCCGATTGCGCTTTATTATGGCAACATTCTGGGTTCAAATGTTTGTAATATGGTTTTGAAGGCTGCGTTAATAAACGGGTAAATACGGCGGTTTGTACGAGTACCACCGGACCGTTAATTGTCGAGCGGTACCTTATGGTTAGCACAGCTAAGGTACCGCTCAACTTTTTACTTCACGACGCTTAACTAATTTTTGTGCAATAAACAGAAACAGCTAAAATACTTATTTAAAAGTCTTTAATTTTTAAGATTATAAACCGTTAACAACAAATATGTAAAGCGTAGCGAAAAATGGATAGTTCATACTTCTAACCAATATGTTTTGGTCTGTGTCAGATTTGTAGAATGCAGTGATAAGCCGATCGTCAAGGAAACGTTGGTCACTTAGCGGTCAGTATAAGTATGTACCGTAATTGCTCATTCCTTCGAATGAATGAAACACGTATAATTTACCCAATGAACTCCCAGCCGTCACTTTGAATGAATGAACAAAATGAGTGATTACCGTATTCCTGACACTTCCCTTTGATACCTACCTGTCCAGGGGTCTTATGGGTAAGCTCATTTTATCTTGATCCGTCGGCGCCGTTTACTGACGAAGAATTACGGGACAACAACCTAAAATATACTTACACATACCAACGATTCGAAGAAACTATACGCAGCCACAAATTGACCATCGTTTGTTCGGTTCCTTATTATAGGGCTGCAGTCCATATAATCATTTTGAAAGAATATAATCAAGGAAGAATGCACATTGACATGAGTACAATCATCAAAAATCTCATTCATTCCAAAATTAAAGGCAGTCAGTGCAGATTGCAACAGGACTAATAAATAAGTAACAGTACAAGTCCTTGTGACAATAAAATCACGCTTCAGCCGAGTATCAGCATCTGCATTTGGAATTTTTTAAAGTCGAGTAGCGATTAGTGCCATTTTAGGGCGATGACGCCTAGCTAACGCGGAGAAATAAGCACAACACTTTTCTTTACTTCGGGCACTCAACAACTTGAGATTATTTCAAAAAAGAAAACAACAGGCGTATCCAACACTAGTGCGAACTTTAGTTCCGAGTCACATAATTATAAATTTTTAGCATTTACTTGGTGAAGAACATTTTTTACAGCTATGGGCTATCAGTTGAGGTCCCTAGTTCGGGTAGTAACCTAAAGCAGCTTTGAAAATTGATACTACATTTAAAAAAGCAAACTGTAATGTAAGATTGTTAAAACAGTGCATGTGAATTGAGTGGCGTCAACATTAATTTTAACTAATTGTGCCGGTGTTGAGAGTTACACTATTTCAGGCTTTACAGAGCAAGTGCTTTACTTTAACGCAGTGACCCATGGAAAACCGGTACAGTTATAAACGGTTATAAACTGGTACATCGCAACATCGGCATCTGGATGTCGATCTACAGTAATTAAATTTAGATTAGATTAACAGTACTTTTAAAAAATGTACCGCACGGAACTCACCACGAACGTGGATGTCGATCTACAGTAATCAAATTTAGATTAGATTAACAGTACTTTTAAAAAATGTACCGCACGGAACTCACCACGAACGTGGATGTCGATCTACAGTAATCAAATTTAGATTAGATTAACAGTACTTTTAAAAAATGTACCGCACGGAACTCACCACGAACGTGGATGTCGATCTACAGTAATTAAATTTAGATTAGATTAACAGTACTTTTAAAAAATGTACCGCTCGGAATTCACCACGAAAGTTGTCGTAAAATCATAATATCTACAAAGGACGTACCAAAAGTAAGTTTCCCTATTTTGCCTCTTCCAGCGCAAATGCCTTTAGCTTTTGTTATCCATGCAGATATAAATGCCGTTCATTAAGGAAAAGAAGTAAAATATGACTTTGTCTAAGAACAATCAAATGGAGAAGAACTGCCAAAATATCCATCGACCACTTTTTCGCACTTTGCCACGGATTTTACCAGGACAAATTTTGCAATTTTTCTCAAACATCCTGTAAACTTTTTGTAACAATCAAAGCCTTTACAAGTAAAGTATTCTTCTCTCTTCTGATCTCAATTAATAAACAAAAAAATTTACTCATACTGTTTTCTGGGAAAATAGAAACTATCGATGACCAAGTGCAAAAAACAAAGAGCTGTCTTACTTCTAGACGGTGAAAAAATCAAAATTTCACGAAAAAAAATATTGTCCTCGCTGTAACTTAAAGTCCATTGGTATCTTAGATGCGCATAACTGCGCATAAAATTTTCTTTTTATTGATGCAAAGAATCTTGAATTCGTAGATCCGAGAAGGCTGAACAAGACAAAATTGGGTGTCGTGAGGAAGAAAATGTTTACTCAAGACCCTGAACTTCCCAAAAAGATCTACTACAGAAATATTAAGCACACTATTTGCACTTAACACTTTTATTTTCGGCCAAAACCTGGGCTGGGGCGGAAGTGATACAAGAATGAATGGGTTTCTAAAAAGTCCGTGGAAAATGTGAAAAAGTGGTAAAAGCCATTCTATTTCTCCTTTCTCCCGTTTCTCATCAAACCATTTAATTCTGATTTTCCTGAGTAGTTTACATAATTGCTTATGTAACAAAAAATGTATCAGTTGTGTATTACTTCAGATGGCAGGAAGGCAAAATAGGGAAACTTACTTTTGGTACGTCCTTTGTAAATATGAAATGACGGTGCATACCTGTCGCAAATTGACAAGGCAGCATTACGTTTATGACGAACGCTGTGGCCATTGGCCAATCACTTCTTCGCGCTTCCGTTATGGTTTTAGCGCGGCATCCACTATGATAATAATTATTATGGCTCCTGCATTCGCACAGGCAAGTTCCACCTCTCACATGCCAGAAGTAAAGGACTTGTCTTCGTGTACCGCATGGCAGCGTGATCATAAGACGCACTGTTTTCTGCGAATCTGGCGCTTATTCACACGGTTATACCGATTGTTTATGTATCTGTACACTGCGACAGATATCTAGGACTGTGAGCTATTGGATTTTCCTGTTTGTCTTATTATTGAATTATTCCAGTATATATAATGCTTAAATTTCCTTTTTACGATCTAAAATGGGTTTTCATTCTAATAACACCCTGTGTCCACCTACTTATAATTCATCCCGGATCGTCTACGCCTTTAGTGGCCCGCAGACTGTTGAATCTTGGGAGCGAGTATACGCACATCCAGTCCAGTATGCAGTATTCTTCTTCTCGCACACATTTATTTAACAGCGATACCGTAAGTAAAATAAGAGTTTTATGAAAACACTAATTTGTACTCGTATATCACCATCATTAATTAAGCTAACGTTAATGTGTATCATCATTCATCATTACATATCCATATATCGTATATCTATATCGTATACATAATTAATACAGACAGGTTGTTCCCTAACTTATTTGCCTTTTCAAATCTTATAGAGTTTTCATACACTGCCGGTATGCAGTTCGACATCTGTCTGTAACAGAATCAATAATTTCACTGGTCAAACGGAAGTGCACAGAATCTGCAAATGCCCTTTGACGTCGCATTCATTATCAGGTAAGTACCACTCGCAGTATTTTCGTTTTGCCTTTTATTATTGTTTTAAGTTTTAAAATTAAGTTTACTATAGCGATCAAAAGTTGCGGCACGGAAGGAAAACGATAATTTAAATTTGCCAGTCGGTAGCATGTTTATATTCTTATTATCTTATATGTCTTATAATATGAATATTTTTCTGCACGATTTAGTATCTTATAAGTTCGGTACAGCCAATATTCAATTACTTGATATTTTTTTGCAATTTTCGTTGTATAGACAAAAAAGGTGACGGTGGCAGCGGCAATTTTCGCGAAAATACCGCGATTGATCCCTGCCCAATTAGTACGAACATTTCCGATGGCTTCACGTTTTCAAGCGATGGACAATATTACACGGTAAGAAATGGTTTTTCTAAAAATATTAACCAATTTTATTATTCCATGTGTACTCGATCTTTACGGTAATCGAAACATATTATTGTACGGGGATGAATTTGCATTTTACTGATTATGCTGCGAGTAGATTTTCAATTTAATACAGGCAAAGTACAACACTAAAAAATCGCCGTTCATATTAAAAAATAAACAAACGAATAGAAACTGTAGAAGATGGGAATGACACTTAATGTTACATTAATTCGGTTAATTTTATAATTTTAACCGCTTCTGTGTGTACTCTAGATGTGCCGACCGTTAGTAAGAACACTCCCGCAGTGCCGGTATTTTCGTGACACAACATTCGTTATTACATCATATCCTTCCCGCAAACATATTCAGCAGACTATGCGTTGCATTTGTCCAAACGGAAGCAGCACCTATTTGGCAAAGTGGATGCAAAAGCACAATTCCCCACACAGTAAAATTATTTACCACTATGCGTGCAGCCCTCCATCGGTAAGACACCAGTGACCTTTAATTATACAAGTTCCAGAGCAGCTAACATACAGCAATTATGCCACGAATCAGCATAGAGCCATAGACCATGGATATCAAGCCAAAGATTGCCAATAATTTTGTTTTAGCACATTGAGTGTACCGCCAAAGAACCTTGCGCACTATTCGTCAGCAGCAGTGCGAAAAACATCCATCGACAGAACGTTTGCGCTTGTCCTTCCGGTACTTCATGTCCAGAAAATTTGGCCGATGGTGACATCAGCGTATTCGATGCCGATATTCGGTCCAACGCCACTACGTACGCTGCATATTGTTCATTTTCGAAAGGGTCAAAATGAACTAACCGCAGTTCGACATACGCTGCTCAAAGTTTAGAGTTTATAAAGTCTGTTAGTTTTGTAAGCAAAATTTGTAATGATACTGACTGTAAATACTGGCTTTTATTACTGATTTATTCCTGTAGTGTAGGCATTTAACGACGTCAGGAGCGCAAATACCGAAACAGACGTGTTCACAGTAATTGTAACAAAGGTCATGTTTTTGTACTAATTTTGTTTGTACTAATTAATATGAATGTCTGTATTTCGGTGTGGTCAAATTAAAATAAACCTATTGACGCTACAACCCTACAACTTATATATACCATAGTAGTACAACAAGCACAATGTCACGAATCTAAGTACTATAATGTAATTACCGTATAATAATTGCACATGCAGTAAAAGACACGTTATGAGTAAAACCTAGTACGTCAGTACTTACTTACAGTAATTTGTTATTATTTTACGTTTAGTACGACAGTACTTACTTTAAGTACTTACTTAATCAGACCGCGACATTCCAGATGCCATTCTTGATGCGTTCGGGAAGCGGCATAATCGAATCCAGACTTGAGTAGACTTTACGACACTATGATGGCGCATTTCCTCCGATGACATACAATACACAATTACATGCATATTGTACATCCTGCATTGCCGGTGACAGTGCTGTAAGATCGCATTCAGTGCATGGATGCATGCTGACTTCGTTAAAACTGCTTGATACCTGCCACAAATTTACTTAATTGAAGTTATTATGGTTCGGTACGAAAAATGCCTGAGCGAGTGGAAAATATGATTAAAATAAGGACAACAGATTATCTGGTCATTCTAACTTTTGAACTCAACTGCTACCTAATCGTGGAAGTGTTAAACAAGGCATGCCGAATTTGTTGGCAATCCCGCTTTGACTGTGCACAAATAGAATCTTTAACAGAAACAGCTGGAGTACTGAAAAAGTTTTCGTCCTTCATAGCAATGCTGCGAGCAGCGCTGTTTCAGACGTCTGACAATGTTTCGTTGGATATAGCAAGACGTCTCAAAAATCGGGAGAAAAGTCGTGAAGAACTGGGTTAGTTCAAGCCAATTCTTACCGGTAACTTAAATTTTTCCCAAAAATGTTTTTGATATTTTACGATTATTTAAGGAAGCTTCTCAGCGGATGCAGTTTGTGGTTAATGTCCCTTTTCAGAGCGTAACCCATCGATGCCATCGAGAGAATCCAGTGAATCCAGCAAAACCACCGCTGACCGGGTTTTTCTAAAATTATTGTACAGATCGGAATTTGAAGCTTGTACATACGTTCTCCCTTTGGACAACAACGACACCGAGCAAAGTTTCAGTCAGTCGCTTAAAAAATCGCATGAATCTGCCGACAAATTCCCTGAACGGCAGAATGCCCAGATTCATCCAGAAAAGCAGAACAATTTACACAGATTTGCCGTTCTGCAGCTAGAAGCACGCTTGGACCACCTTTCTAAAGATAAAGACAAATTAAGGGTAGAAAACGAATTTTTAAAAATGTCATGACTTGTGTCATTTTGTATATTTAATATTAATTGTGATTTTTTAATAAAAAGATTTATGGTTTTTCAAAATGTAGGATGAGTTGAGTCGTACAAAAACCAGCCTGAGACAGTCCGAAGCTCGTGAACTGTCGTTGATCGAAGATGCCGAACGGCTGAAGCGAAAGGTCGGAAAGCAAATGATTGCCTTGAAATCCCACTGCGACAAGCGGCTGCAGCACCTCGAGCTGGAGAATAAACTGCTCACTCACGATCTCACGCTGACGCGGCGGGAAGTAAGCAGTCTGAAGGCCCAACTGCGGCGCGCCCAAACCGAGATTGCCCTCTATTCTCGTCGTTTCAGACCCGGAATCGTAAATTCACCGGCCGCTGTCCGTGAGCATTCTCCGCACTGTTACCTGCGCAAGCAAACAGATCTCCCCACCCACCGTCCAAATCCGTCGACCAATCGGCGCGCTTCCACATTGGATCGTACGCATTCAGCCGGTGCTGGCGGAAAGACCTGCCGCGCTGACGTAAGCGAACCGTTCCGTAGCCGCAGTTACTCACCGGGCGGTGTTGACCAATCCAAACCACGCTTCGAACTGCACATCATCAAACATAACCGTTCGGCGTCGCTTGACCAGCAAACACGACAACGGTCCGTGGATAACCGTGCCTACGGCTGTAGGGGAAAATTCGCGCCGCAATATAACGGGACGACCGATCCGCGCAGCACATCACCCTCGCTTGCTTCTTCACCAACACCGTTCCAACTAGAATCGAGATTTTCGAGAAAATCGAATCATGAAATGACCGCGAAAGGGGACTATAGTCGCCAGTCATCGCCGCTGTTTGTGGCGAAGAAAGATCGTGCTGTCACTCCGAGTCCCACCCGGCCGCTGTATGGTGCTTCACGATTCGTGGATTCCGACGATGAGGTCACGGCGGGACAGCGTTCGCCTGCACGGCCGCCCATGATGATTATGGATGATGTGTCCGCACGTGCCAAGTTTTTACTGCAGAAATATCGTAGGAAAAACCAGTGTGGATCGTCTTACACATAAAAGTAAAATGCTGCGCTTGTACGTTTCGGGGATTGGAATCTATTGTCATGTTGTTCCCGAATGAATGGTGATTTGCTGATTACTCATTAAAATCAAAATCCATTAAAATAAACCGTGACGGACCTTCCCCCTTACTCCTCCATTCCAACGTTTATTTAAAATAAAATCTGTTTATTATGAATTACTAACATAAGAAATCAAAATATCCGGAAAATAAAGCATTTGTAGTATCTGTACAGTAGAGCATAAAGCGGCTCATATAAAGCTGAATCTAACGTTCTTTTGGAAGGCTTCAACATTTAACCGTACGACGTACCAAACAGCATATCAAATAGTCACCGTGTAGATTCTCTGCCCTTTTTAATCGATTTCGTACAAAAACATTCGTTTTAAAAGCCCAAAGCTGTCGTTACAGTGTTCCAAAACAATAAACTGAATAGATTCTTGTTTTATTAACATCAGACCTCAGTAGACTGATAGTGGTAGAACTAGACACTACAGTAGAAAGCAAAAACTTACTGGAGCGCGTTCAGTCTACAGTATGCGAAGCTATGAACCCGATTTACACTCACAATCCCATCTAGACAGCATCTGCGCGTTCATAAATCGGAAATTTTTGGGAAAATTCTCAGCGAGTCAACGTCTTAACTTTCACGGAACGTGCTGCTTCTTTTCATCGCTTATTCTTCAATTAACGTTTTCTTCCAGTGTCTCTTTCCATTTTTTCAGTAATCTTACACAATTTCATTACAACAAAAACGGTAAGGAATAGCTCACTGACTAATGAGGCCTTCATAATTCAGGAAAATAAAAAATGCCCACCCGTAGGGGGGTTAATAACAAAACAATGAAAGAATAAAACCAAAGAGGGAACTTCTGCCGTCATCATTTTCAGATCCGCAGCGAACCATGCTTGCATTTCCAGCTCACTTTCTTGTCTTTGTTCCGCTGATATACAGCACATTATTCCCACGGATGAACGCATCGCCGTACTTCTTTTTCAGCTGCCCGTTCACGTACTCCTCCGTTTGCTCCAGGGCGATATTCATGTAGCCATCCAAACATGAGAGAAGTCCTCGATAATCCACACCAGAATTCAGCTTCACGACAACGGGTCGACCTGCAAGCTCCTTCAGGAAATCACTCGGATTCGTTCTTCCTGACATGGCTGCGACGGTAGGGAATCTCCGGATACAGTAGCGATGATTAATTCGCAAAACACCTCTAACAAATAAACTAAGAAGACTACGATCAATCAGAAGGACCGCCAACGAACGAAAAAAGTCACAAAAATGTAAGTTTTTTTCACTTTTTCTGACGGGTGAAGCACTAAAACTGAAAAGTTGAAAAGTTGAAAAAGGGAATGAAAATGCGACCAGCCAGGCAGCCACTCGCTCATTTAAGAAGCTAGCCCCCACCCGTGATTGGTAGCAATTTAGCACAATGCTCTGCAACTAGCCGACCAGGGGTGGCTGTTGTTACCTGTCGTTTAAACATGAATTCGCGTTGGCGCGGGACCCTTATGATAATGCCAACTGCCAGTCTGCCATACACTGTTTCCAGCCACTTTCAAAGTTCAAACGCAGCTTCTAAGTTCTTCCAATTTTTGGCCCAGATTCTGGGGAATTAATGATAAAATAAACGTTTGTTCTGATGGTGGAGATTCTGTTATTCCGGTCTGATGTGCTGCTCATGTCTGCAGTTTATGTATTGTGACTATTAGCTTCTAACCTAACCTTGCATAACTATTTATCGAGAATTTGAATATGGACGACATTTCTAGTGGAGCTGTTAGTTCTTTGATCTCGCAAGCAAAAGGAACTTCGAAAGTATTACAAGAGTTGTATTCAGAGTATATATCTCGGTTGAATGGTTTCAGTGATAAATATGGGACATCTTTTGCTTTCTCTAACATGTGGGGAGAGGAGCGTGCGCTGGGAGCCCAAATTGTACAAGAATTGCAAACTCAAGAAGTAAGTTGTTCAGCATGTCACATGTGTCATGTATGTAAGTATTTGAATATATGTCTTGCTTTTCTTCCCCATGTCTTTATCTTTTGTGGAGTACATTAGAGTCCGTAATCTTCGTTTTGTTAGGTATTTATGGATTTGTGGAAGCATATGGACACAATGGAATCAATGAATGCGAGCCTACTAGTGAAACTCCAAGCAGTTACGCAAGAGAACGAAGACCTCCGCGATCAGCTAGAACATGCTCAGAAAGAACTGGGAGTCGCTCAGGATAACATTGCTCAACTGGAAACTGATAAGCAGGAGCTGGATTTTCTTTATCAGCTGAAGGTGTCCGAATGCGATGAGCTGAACGCTCGCATTTCAGAGGTAAGTGTATAGTTATACCGTCTGATGTTGCTGCACTGCTCGGGTTTTGAATACTGTGCCTTATTTTTTACGCTTAAATAGTTAAATAATTATTCTTCAACATATTTCTCCGCGTTTTGTTTTCTTACGGTATGGTTGGGAAAATTAGGATATTTTATATTTTAAGCGGTCGATAAAAATGTTAACCATGTTGAGATTAAATAAAAAATCGAATAAATTAGTTGATGACTAAACTGCTAAAATTAAAAAATTTTTGGCAAGTATTGATGCTGTAGCCGATGGTTCATTGTTTTGTTTCCAGGAATTTGATGACGCTGAGCAGCGTATCTTCTCCCTGGAACCATTTTCCCCGCGATCAAAGCCACGCACTAATTCCGGTTCTAAAAGGACGCCATTAATTTCTGGTTCTGGTGTCCAGACTAAAACATCGGTTTTCAGACAGCATGACTATAAGGAGAACAGTCCCAGTGCTCGCATGCCGCTGACCGATGTCGGCAATTTGACCATGCGCTTTAACGGATTGGCCAACCAGACTTTGGGAACCGATGATATTGATCTGGAAGAACTGACGGATAAATTGAGTTGGTACGAGTCGGTTGTGCGGCAGTTGCACACCATTTTGGCTGTTGAAATGGACGATCCGGATGCCACTTACCATCAGGAGTGTACGAAAGTCCTGGAACGAGCCAAGCGGGCTATGGAATACAGGGACATTATCCGTGATTATGAAGTAATTTTAAGAATACCGATTAATTTTCGATAATCCGAACGGATGCCCATCGAAATAAAGTGTGCGCAGTTTTTTTCAAAAATTTTAATATCGTTAAAGGATTATTTTAGATGTTTTTATACAGATGTGGAAAACAATTGAATGACGTTGACAGAATTCTTAAACGTCTGCTCGTTCTGAAAGCAGTAATCGATAATTGCCCATAATAAGAACAAAGGCACAAATTCATGCATTTTTCGCAGGTTATGATTGGTGAAAGCAAGGGTGAAATAGAGCGTTTAAGGCAAACGCGCGACAGTCTTCTCGAAGAGGCTGAAAAATCGGAGAAGGAAAATAAGGAGAAAGTAGAGAAGCTGGAGCGTGCACGGGATCATTTTTTCTGGGAAGTGAAGAAAGTGGAAGCCGAGCGGAAGAAAATGGAAGCCGAGCGCAGAAAAGACATTGAGCGACTTCATGAATTCGAGAAACTTCTCCAGGGAAAAACGAAGAAATCTGTGAGCGTCAACCACACTTTTACTAATCTACTACCCGGATAATAGGATTTATTATGTGTGAGGATGGAGCTCACAGCCGGAAATAATGATCTCGTACGAAGTACTTGTACCCGTCTTTGCGGTGACCGCATCTCGTTACCCTCTTCATTTTTGTTTGCATTTTAGATGAATTTTGATAATCGGGAATTACATTATTTGCTGTGCTGCCGCCATTTTTTGAAAACGCTTTTTAAAAAATTTATATTTAACTGCGGATGCGTTGCCTTTTTAGCATTGCCTTTAGACCGTGCATTTGCACGGAGCTGTTACAACTATTATGTAAACTAATTTGTGATTTTGTGCTGTAATCCGGACAAGTTCAATAATTCTGCTTCTGCAGCATACTGCGTTCGTCTTCGTTTTTATCGGTATAATGTACAAAATGTAAATTAATGTGAGTTATCAGTATCAGATCATGCCATAAAGTATTGTCCACTTGTTTTCTTACGCGCAACAACTAGTGAATTTATGCTAAACGTACAAAGGATTTTCGTGCTTCACTTTTCGGCTTCTTCTGGATTTCTCGGTATGGGTTTTTTGCGTCGATACACCAGCTTTCGTGTTGTGCGTTTGCGGGGTATGAGTTCGTACTCTTCGGTATCTTCATCCGCAGCGCTCGGTGTGGTTCTCCTGGGCGCTTTTCGTATCAGTTTCTTTTGGGTTGTGGATTTTTTCGACTTGTATTTTATACTTGGCTGGTACTCTTCGTAGATGGTGCCGTTTGTGGGGCGCTCATATTCGTCTTCGCTCACCGGATCCGCTGTAGTGCGAGGAGATTTCGTCGATGCGACCTCACTGCAAATTTGGTTTTACAGTATATCAGTTTTATCGTTATTTTAAACAATTTTCAAGCTTGCACAGAATGTTAAATCTTAATTTTGAATTTTATTTCTTAAATTTTAACTTCGTATACGAGCGGTGACCTTATTTGCGAAAATTTTTCTTACGCTGTCGACGCCATCTTTTTGTAAGGTGTGGTGGCGTAAACTGCCGGAGACTCTGTGGCTTTGCTCCTAGTGTAAAATTAACACGCTTTACTAATTGTCCACAGTGCATGGAAATACACCAACCGTCATAAGTCATAAAATTTGTTTTAAGAAGCCGTAAGATACAAACTTAGCCTTACGTGTAATTCATCGGATCGTGAACTTGTGGCTTGGAATAAGCGCCGGTAGTTGTTCCGTACTGCCCTGCTCCTGAATAATAACTGGTCGGTGTAGTCTGATCGGTCTGATATTGGACTGGGACAACGGGAGGCGGATACGCTGGTGCTAATGCATTGGCCGGTACAGGATGCGGTGGTATTATCGGCGCAGGCGGATAAGCATCCACCGGCAGTGGGGGTGGAGGCGGCTGATACGATACGGATGGACCCTGCGGCATCTGATAAGGTGGTAATTGGGAAACCTGGTATTGAGGATAGGGTGCTGGAGATTGGTACGGGATGGGTTGTGGCGGTTGCGGGGCTGCATATTGCATGGCGGGAGGGGCATTGTTGTACGGTTGGTAGCTGTTACTGACCGGAACTTCGTTATACGGGTACCAGCGCCGTCTGGGAAGCGGTATATACTGACTGGGATAACTCTGATTTGTACCTGTTCAAGCAGAAAATGTTGCTAAATTATTAATATCCATCATTGACGCTCGTATATTTATTAGGTGTTTCTTTTTATTTCAAGCTGGAGTAAGCAAACATCCGAGCCTTGTCTATTGATAAGTAACGTTCAGAAGTTTCCTGATTCATGATACTTTTTCTGTACGCATTTACAAAATTAGTACAGTATATACAATATGTAAGGAAAAACTGTAGTATTATGAGTTTGCTAATATGTCTTTTTTGGTTTAAAGCTGGTGTTACTTACATAAAAAACGGTTTTCCCCAACGCCCAAAATAAAGAAATGTTTTTCTGAATGCAAATATTTTCATCTAAATACATTACAGATTTTTTAAGAAATTGGCATTTCTGAAATGAAATGATATGCAAGGATATCCATACGATACTAACTTATGGATAATTAATTGATTTTGCATTTGCTTTTATCTGAACCGACAACCTAGAGACAAATTAACTAGATATGTACCACCATAGACATATAAATAACTGCACAAGTACTTACTGCAATGTCAAAAGTGTATGAATCGAGGCAGCGCGAATGTTACGTACCTGGGGGAAGTGGTGCCTGATAGGTATTAGTTGGTCCGCTGCAATTAGACGCGGCGGCAGGTGGATATGCGGATTTGCTAATCACATTCGGGAGCAGAATGCGGATAATGTAAGACCCGTTCACGGCACGCTGTGGTGGCGGAATATATGTCACCGGCTTATAATCATAATTCGTTTGCAACGGATAATAACTCGCACCGTCATCACTGCTACGATTATAAAATCCAGTATCATAATAACTTAACCGATTATTCTGTGACAGGATAACTTGAAAAGCGCAGATGCTGATGATAAGATAATGCCAGGATTTTCCCACAAAGGCATTGTGACTGCCCATTCTAATACTAATGCGCTGGTACACGCAGTTACACGCTACATATGGATTTGTAGAATTATCGCATCCCGTAGTAATTAAAAATTTAGTAAAATTCTGTAATGCTGGATGGCGCAGTCGAGCGCCAAATTGGTGCGATCGCGTTGCAGTTCAAAGAACCAGATTCAAAACACAAGCGATCATCTACATACTAAAAAAAGAGGTACGAGCATGACCTTTGACACATTACGGAAGTTTTATTGAAGCCGACTGAGAATCTGCAATGCCATCATTATACACTACAGTTGTGCTAATAAGATCTTTAATGTGATTACGGTTCTAAACGATGCGTACACGACATGTATTCATATTGGTAAATTCACCAAAACGGTAATTTTACTATACAAGCCGTTCATTAAATTGACAATTCGTTGTGATTCATAATAACAAGCACTACAATAAAAAATTTTCGGCACGATTTGTATACATGTGATACAAACATTTAGTACACAACGGCGCGAGTATTCGTTACTAATGTGTTCGAAAAATCAATACGTTTTTCGGTTAGGATCATAGGCGATGACTTCGATAATCAGCGAAGGAGGTTTTTCCGATCCCGCTTTCTTGTAAGCGGCTACCGTTGGTTTCTTGTACCCAGTGTTCTTTGGCTGTGCAGCAGCATTCCGCCCGTATGCAGCGGATTTCGGGTAGGATTTCTTGGGCTGATACGTATCCTCTTCGGGCTGCTTATACGCTGGTTTCTTCGCCGGGGGCTTGTAAGCATCTGCTTCATCATCGTCGTAGTTATCTTCTTGGTACGGCGCCGGGGTTTTCTTTTTGGCATATTGCGGAGCTGCAGGTTGCTTGTATTTCGGCTTTGGTTCTTCGTATTCATCGTCTTCGTATTTTTGAGGTGCCGGTTTGTATGGCTTTTTCGCGGGCTTTTTCGCCGGTCTGTAACAATAAACAACATAAGCAAAGATTCTCAAATCGAAACAACTATTTTTGTGATTCGGTATACTCTCCTGCACAAACATAATTAATTTGTACAGCAAAAACACTAACCAAAAAAATCATTTGTACACGAATTCACGAATTTGCAAAATTTGAGCATCAACTTATCGTCAGTTTTTTAACAAAAATGAAAAATCTGCTTTTGCAGGTCTTAATTAAGCGATTGTTATAACTAAAATAATTCAACTTACAGTACAGAATGCGCTGGAATAAACTACTCACGAGCAATCTCGTATGCATTTAGGTTACTAACGTACAATTGCAATAGTACGAGTATATAACATATTCATCTGACATGTAAGTAGACGGGAATGCTCATGCCAAATAATGCTCGTGATAATTTGTCAAAAGCGACAAGTATCTGCCGATATGTAATTTTTTATATTAGCTAGAAAGATAAAATAATATTACATATCCTTGGCATAATTTACCTTTGATAAGCATCGTCATAACCAGCTGACTCGTCGTCTTCGTCATTGGACTGCATCACATTTCGCTCCTCGTCATCAAACGTCGGTCGCGCTTTCCTAGCGCTAGGCTTTTGTTGACTTCTTCTGCCGGATGAGACGTCCGGGCTTCCGGTCTCCCAGTCGTCGGCGTCCTCGGCCGCCGGCATGGTGCGGCCGAGAATCACCGGCAACAATACCGACACATACAACCCGAAACACAACCAGTACAGAAAATTCATTGTAGCCGCGACTGGCTTAGTTCATAATTATTTTAAAACTAGCATGCCAGTATAAGATATTCTCTTTTACATTACACAGTTCTGGCTCAAAGGTTACTGGAAGGTTACATAACCGGCAGAGAGATGTAACGGACAGCCAAGGAATTTCTTTTTTATAATCCGCACGGTAACTTTGTTTGTCACTTGAGTTTTCCTTCTACAAAACTGCAAATCATGTTTATCGGTATGTTTGTTGAAAAACAATCTATGTTCGAATCTTTTTTTGCCTAAGCTTCCGAATACTGATACACTAATTATGCATTATTGTGATGCGTCATACCGCCGCAAAGAAGTGTTTCAGTGTTGTAGTAACTCATTGTCAGAAATTACTCGTACATAACAGTGGACGGCGCTGCATTATCCTTCCGCACTAAGCGAACCTGCGTATTGTTTGTAATGCGTCTACGGAAATTGACAAAACATTAATTTGAGTCAAGAAAGGCTATTCAGTTTTAAAATGAACGGGTTCGTGTGATCCTTGGTATAAATTCTAAAACCACTCCGTGACCTTTCTCGCATAAATAAAATTTCAATTTTTATTGTTGCTTTGCAAAAATAAGCATTCTTATAACGAACGGTACGGTACGTCTTCTTTACGGTACTTTTTGTGTTCTCTAACTTGCTGTAATTATGGTGGCTACTGTATCACGCCAAATTTCTTGATAATTTTTTTTATTCAATTTCGCGACGATGTTCTTTCATTTGGGATAAGTACAAAAATTATTCTGAATATCAATAGTTTGTAAAAGATCAAATGAAAAAATATATATACATGGTACACACAAATAAAAAGGTCATGAATAGGGATCGGTGTGGCATTATTAGTTTATCTTGTATTCCGCTTTTGGTTCCGATTTGGATCGCGAATCTATCAGTCTGACGAGGATTCCGGTTTCTCTGCTGGCATTCTGGTGTACCGTAACGACATTCGGCTGTAACTCGGCCGGCGCCTTAATATTCCCATCGACATAACTGTCTTTTGCTGTATCTTTGTTCTTTCCCCCATACGCTGTTGTGGATTTAGCATGGTGATGCGGCGGTACCGTGGTATATGACGGCCTGTGTGTGGTATGATGGTGCGTGGTCATATGATGCTGTGGTTTGGGTTCGGCCGGTTTTTTATACCCATCACTGGAATTTTTCTTATCCGTTGTTCCGTAATCACCTCCTTTTGGATAGCGATCGCTGCTGCTGGCGGGTTTTGGCTTATAGGAACTGTCGTAGCCGGTGTCGATGTCGTAATCAATTTTTTCCGGTTCATCGTCGTCGGCGTACTTGGATTTGGCCGGAGCGGCTGGTTTTGGTTGACTATACGTATTGTTCGCTTTTGGAGGCTTGTACGATCTGCAAAAAGCGTGTTATTACCAACAGAAAATCATATTGTACCAGTTGAATAAATTTGTGAAGATTCTAAAAACTAGCACAAATAAAAATAAAATATGTAAGAGCAGTTTACGAATTGCTTTAATTTGTTACTGAATACGGATTTTGGTTGAACAAATAAAATTAAGACTGCTTTTCATTTATGTCGGTATGATTTTCTTACTGGGCTGGTTTGTAAGATGACGATGACTTGCTAGGCTTCTTGTAGACATAGTCATTCGGGTCAATCTCTTCCTCGGTCACGGCATCAGACAAGTCCAAATACTGTTGTTTTCCGGTTTTGTAGTTGCCGGATGTTGCGTTCTTGCCCTTGGAATATTTTGGCTTTGGTTTCTGATACGTCTGCGGGGCTTCTTCGTATTCTTCCTCTTCCTCCGGCTACAAATTTTATGAAAAATAGTGCTTTTTAAGCCGAGCATTTTTTTACTATCTCTCATGTTACACTTCAAAATAAAATTAAGGGCACATTTGGTCGTATGTGTTCTCATCAGAAAATACAGATTTTATGATTTATTTTTACGTAATACAATAATATCTGTAACCTTTTCGTAATATTTACTTAAAATAATCATGTCACTGTACATATGGCACTTTAAATATTTAAATCATTAATGCGTAAATCAAATAATCATTAAGTGGCTGGTGCAGCACTGTGCGTAATACGTACTTGATATTGTGGACGTGGCTTTGCTTTCGGTTTCGGTCTTGGTTTCGGCATACCAGAATAACCCGCTGATTCGTCATACGCATTATATTCGGTTCTTCTTCCTCTTCTTCATATGCTGGCTGCTTGGGAGCGACTTTATACGGTTTGGCTTTCTTTACCGGCTTTTCTTCGTACTCATCGCCCTCCTCATACTGCTCCTCTGCGGTAGTTTCCTGATAGATGCTGGTCTTCTTATACGTCGGTTTGGGAGTAACCTTTTTCTTGGGATACCGCATCGGTGCCGGTTCATAATCTTCTTCCTCTTCAGTATACTCCGGCGTTGCGGCATAACCTTTAGGTTTCGGCGTCGCTTTCTTCTTAGGATACGCTTCCGGTTCGCCGTAGCTGTCTTCTTCGTCTTCGCATCCAGGTTTTACCGGCTTCCGGTAGGCTTTCTTTGGGGTGGTCTTTTTGGGATACACTTCTTCTTCATATTCGTCCATGTTGGCGGAGTAGGCTGGTTTCGGAGTGGCTTTTCGGCGCTTATAGGTTGCCGGTTGTTGATAAGCGTCGTCATCTTCGCCGGCGTCGTATTGCGATAAGGCTTGCTTGACCACTTTGGTGCAATTGCATTTCTTATCGATTATGGTGCCGTATATTCGTCCGCTGGTATCCGAGTAGGAATCGTTGGTATAAACATTGACCTGCTTATACGGCTTTGATTCAACTGTCAAAACTAAATAAAACCATATTAATACAAAACCTATCAGTAGTTCCTTCATAATGGTAATTATACAGATAAAATATTAACTTGTAACTGTAACGGATCAATTTACAATTCTAATTTGATTGTAATTAAATCTTACATTACATTACAAGGGGCAGCTGACATAAATTCCACGTTAATCTTTCGGAAATGACATTGATCACCGCTTCTTATTACAAAAATAAAGGGGTTTACATAAGAATTATACAATTAACGGTTTGATTACATAAAGTATCGCCGGATTCTGACCACTGGTAAAATTGTGAATCATGATTAGCAGACTGATTCTACCGCGATTTCCCGCGATCTATACATCCTACAACTGAGTTACTTACTTAATTTTTTAACATTGACATTCAATTTTACATTGCATTGCATAAGCATGCTGTGTCGCGTCAGGATTTCGTTTCGGTATGTGTTACGGGTAACAAGTACGGGTATTTGCATTTCTTCGATCACTGCAGCTGGCTTTGTTAACTTACGTAAAGAACGGCTTGTGATGCTCTTAAATGCCGGTCTGCTTTGATTTTCCAAGCATATGAATTGTTATTTATTTTCTTGCGACTCTTATTTGCATACTAAAAATGTATTTGTTGTCTCAGATTTTTATTTTGCAAATGGGCACACAAGGGAGCACTGTACTGTAAAGCATTCATGCAAAAATGACAATTAACAGAACAGAGGTATTTTTCAAATTCTTAATTTGTTGCGTTTTAATTTTTCCAAAAAAATAAGGCCATGGCAACAGGATCACGGGAAAATTCCTTGCCGCCCTTGCATATCGAAGTTCAGCTAGTATTATTTAGTTTTCTGGTGCATGCTCGGAGCAGAATTTGTAAAATTTGCTACTTATTTCCTGCATTAGTGTATTAGTGACTTTTCTATTTGTCGTAACACAAATCGGAACTATGGTCAAACGTCGAGGATCCCGATCGGCATCATGCGCGACGGTTAGTGTTTTCGGGCTATTAAATACATTCATAAATGACAAACACTAGATTTTAAACTGACTTTTATTATTTGTGTGTCGAATTTGTCATTTAGAATATACGTTTTGGACGCAGCAAAACAAAGTCAACTTCGCGATCTGTAAGTGAAGCCGGGTGTAAACTTGCCGATGGTTTTGCCCTAAACAAAGTGTACAGAATTGCTGAAAATATACGGTATTTATGTAAAAGATACGTAATTATTATACAACATTTTAATTTTGTAGCGCCGGGGAAAGTCGCGCGGACGAAAGACAACAGCGACGGTAAAGCATCAAAACTTGCCAATTATGCTAGAAAGGATATGTCTTTATTACCGTATCACCAGATTCTTCGGTCACCTTTGTTTGGTTTCTCATTATTAATATTTGATACTTGTGCAATATGTTGACATGGAGTTTTTTTGTTTGATATCGCAAATTAATACCACTTATTTTAGAAACAAATTTATTTCCTTGTCTTAGATTACTACAGAACCATTCAGTTAACTGTTAACTGCATGGTTTGCACCTATGGACAAAATTTTTCTCTATCTAATGCTCTTATCTAACGTTTTTTTAAAAATTTTCTAACCTTATTTAATGTTTTTTTTCTAAATTTCGATAATACGGGAATTCGTTTTTCTGGTGATCGTAACTTTCAGTTTTTGGGTGGTATAACAGGGGATTTTATAATATTTTTATGATTTCGGTGGATACTGCCTCTTAAGTGATTTATTATTACAGAATACACGTCGTCGAAGTCGAGCCGATGGCGCAGCTGCAAAGTCTTCTAAAAGCAGTCGGAGGCGATCATCCAAAGCGGTATGTGCACATATTTCATGTTGATACAATGACTGTAATATGCACAACTCATAAACAGATCATATTGTTTTTTAACATAACATAGAACTGTTTTCCGTAATAACACTAATTTTCCGTTTATCGTAATTTTTTTCAGCGTTCCCGTTCGCGAGTACATTGTTAAAGCTACAAGAAGCCGGCTTCCGGTGTTCGTTGGTTTCCATTGTTTGGAATGTTGGCTGCGTATTGTCGACTTTTGTACAAAACTTCATGCCATTTAAGCAAACCTCAATAAAAGGACTGTATAAAGGACTGTTACTGTGCAAAGATTTCTCTAATAAATGTCGACAGTACGATAATTATACAATCGAAATATCAAAAACAAAAGTGTAGTAAATTACACCTTATACCACATCCATTAGAAATACAAAATCTGCTCGGTATTGCAACAATTCAAAGACGAGAAACTGCGTTTCTGAGATCCGGTGCTTACGCTGAATCAGGTCTGGCTGATGCAATCTGTAACATGAAAATCAACAATCCCTAAGTGCAATGCGTGACATGTTGCTTATGGTTAACATCAAATTAATGATAAGTGATAACTATTAACGAGCATGTAAAGGTCAGCATACTTACATTCGCCAAAAAAGGCTCCAAGCGCATTTGGTTTGATAAAATTTCTTCACAACTCTCGATGGGATTCCTAAAGAAAACTCAGCTCCGAGCTTGCCAGATTAATGTCTTATTACAAAATATGAGATAGTAAAAAATTGGGAAACTTACGCCGGCGAATCTCGTAACAAAGCCTGACGCTGTACTGCTTCTGTTGGAGAGTTAATACACAACAGGGCTGCCATGCTTGTCTTTCGAATTTCTCTTAGTTGATCTGTTAAAAAACACACATGAAACTGATAAGTAAACTTTTTGCGTTTCTCAATAAATTTGAGTATTCATAACCATATTTAATACTTATGCGAAAGTCTCAAACCGGTACCTGGAGTAAAGATTCCCTGGTTCTCGTACCAGAAACGATCTCCATGCTTCAGTCGCTTGAATTGCTCGGTTATGATACATGCAAATGTAGGGCCCACTAAACCGTTTCCGTTCACAGGATTTTCGCTTACGCCACCAGCAAACAAATCCTACACATTAACAAGTATGAACGTAGTATCATTCTGATACCCGTAAACTAATTTTTACCGGTGAGTAATAACTACATAATGATAAAATTTAAGTTTTTATTGCTTGTTATTTGGCGGAAACTCACTAATTGCTTTTAATAATTGTCGCATAATAGACTTAATGACAAAACATGTTAGATGCATTAAAATAAATGAAAAATTAAGCTTATATTAATATAATCTACTTGGTATGTTTAATTTACTAACAGAATAAATTGATCGTTCCGTCTGCTGATTGACCAGCAATATACTCCATCGGTTGCAGCAAAGAATTCCAAAAAAAAGCAAATACATTTTGTACTTACGATGTCTTGCACTGACTTATATACAGTGGACAATTTCCGTGCCGCTTCCGGTGCCATAACACGCTCCAGTTCGGGGAAGGAGCGAATTGGAGGCAGTTTACATACACTGCGCATCTGTGCATACGTGGGCGTTCCGGTGTCTTTGCCTCGTTGCAGGTTCAGGGTCATAATGTCCGATCCGAAAGGTCGGTCCTGTGGTTTAAACAGCTGATTCTGCATGATGAAGCCAAATTCGTGGTCAAATTTTTCCGGAATATCATGAGGGAAATTAACCAACAGCTCGTCAATAACACCGGGTTTGTAGAACATTTTTGCATTGCTAAAGTGCTGATACAGAGGATAGAATTTTCCATTGGGTTCACGCACGGGAAGCCAATCGGTCAACAATGTATGGAATCTACGATTAAATAACACACTGATAAATTAATAGTCATAACTATCCGGAAGAAATAATTACGGATTTATTAAATAATTAAACAATGGATAATTATTTAAATGTATAAAAGCATTGATTTGTAATACAGTTTATATTTTCGTAATTTATGGGACAATATTAAGATAAGTAACCTAAAGGCCGCCGCTCCGAATTCCACAGTGATGCCCGCGTCGATATCTTCATCGTAACAATCGCAAAAACCGCTCTTCTCCAGACGCAGTCCATTCGCGGGATTATTAAAAATATTAGGCCCGACAATAAGTGGAATCATTTCCTTATAGGTTATGTGCTGCATAATGGCTCCCATGATTTTCCGTGTAACTTGGAAGACAGTCTCATCCGATAATTCTGGACGCCGCTTAGAGATAAATGTTGCTATACGATTATGCTCGCGCAGCAGAAGCTAAAAAGCAAAATTTTAGGCATCGTAATTAAATCAGCTGCAACCAAAACCAGTGTAGAACGTTGGTATTTACCGAATGGATGGCTACTAAACCGGTGTGCTGATTGATTCGTAAATCCCCGGCATCTGGACATGTCATGTCCGGTGACGGCGCAACACAACCTGTTATAAACATATTTCTATAAGTGTTGCTCAGTTTTCGGAAGAATGATAATAATTTCGCTGCACCACCATCACATTAATCAACAGCTGCATTAAACACGTTTTAAAAAATCAACCTGTACTACATGCAGTATATTTATTCGTACAATACCTTTTTAAGCAAAATTTGTTTTATTAAATATATGTAGCGCGTATTATTAAATGTTATATTATGTGCTTCTACAAACGGGTGTATCATGTTTACCGTTGCAGTTATATTTGAATAGTGTTACATTGTGAGGATCGAAAAGGCTGTTTTTCGATTTAATTTCACAACATAATTTTCTCACCCAATGCATTTTTTCCTCCTGGAACCATTATAAGACCTTGTTCGCGAGCGATGGGAGATGTGTTAATTTTCAGGAGACCATGTCGCCCGGCTCTGAGTCTGTAAACAAGTTAATATCCGCTAGTGAAATATGTCTTGACTAAGCATTATACTTTTACAATAACTAAATAAGTTTCAACACGGTTAAAAAACTGTTGTTGCGCAAACTTTTATCTGCTCTAATTGGCACTCTGAACAATTTTATAATTATATGCGCACACATGCAATCACAAGGCGTACCCTCCCTTTTACTAATTTCTTAAATTTTGAGATTTATATACGATCCGATCCGAATGTATACGATTTATTTATATACGGTTTGTCGGCAAAAATACGGGTTGATAATTGTGGTTCCATGGTTGATGACGTACGAAAAAGTTTTACATTAACAGTAAATATGGTATCTAATCTACGTTGTTAAATTAATTTTCATACCGCTTTGCATCGCGTTTATTAGATCCATACATATTGGAAGCGTCAATGTAGGCAGTATTTAGATTAATTGGTCGTCGAGGTCCTGGATCACGAAGGAAGATAGATACACAAAAACTAACACAAGCGTCAGTCAATATAGCAAGGAGTATTAATTTACCTATTTTGCAGCCCTCCCGGGGGGCTGGCTGGGCTCGAACAAATTCCAGACAGTGCAAACCGTGCTGTGTGTAAAAGGGATCATCCGGGGGAATGGATATGGGGAAACACGCTGGATGAAGGCAGGCTGCCGTTGTATCACAGCACTTTGGGGTGACTGAATTTTCTATAGTTATCCAAGAGAAAAAAATCATTAAAATTAAATCCAGGGATGCTTACATGCAACTGTGCACGATCTGCCGTGAAAGAGATGAATAACTGCTGTTTTTTATAATTACAGCATTACAGTCAGTAGCGGCCATATATAATACTCAATTTGTCGCAGCAAATTAAACTGGTTATACATAGAAGAATGAAAGAATTTTTTAAAGAGAATAACAATAGAATTTGCACATAACATACGGGGGTTATTTGGATCCGGGACTTTTTCAACAGGAGCTGCAAAAATCTGAATTTTATAAAGTGATATAACATTATGTATCTATAGTTGTATAGCCTTTGACCGGCGCATTGTACAGAGTACTGTATATTACACTCTTAATTCATACGCTTAATTCTATAAAATGCTCGACCAAAAAATTGTAAACTAGGTACACATTTGTAACTATGTACACACATTAGGAATTTTTAAAAAATACTTAATATTAAGTAATTCTCAATTCGATTTTCTTAGTACAGCTAACGCACGGAGATAATTACGTACTGTTGATAATTTCATGGGCGATCAGCTGTGCCCACTGGTTGAACATGGCAGTTACGCGATTATTTGGCAAGTTGACACTTTTACTCAGCGATATGCTGACGCGCCGCGATGACGGCAGCGGCACCGCGCGGCCCTGCGCTTTGGACACCACCGAAAGGTCACGCGGTTTGGAGACTCCATCGGCATAATTGGCCGGCGCCATGCGTCGCTGCGGGGCGCCTGCTGTGCCTTTCAATGGGTTTTCCAGGTTGTTGCAGGTGCCGTCAAATGTACGATATGCATTGCGCGGACTGCACTCGATTTCCGGTAAAGCAAAACAGTCTTCGTCGTCATTCAACGCTTGATTGTTCCACGCATCAAACATGCGACTGGGATCAGCTTGGCTATAAAAATTATAAAAAGCCTTAATTTAATTTACTGTCGTGAATTCAAAATTCCAAAAGGTTATTTTATAGTTGGTATCCAAAGAAATGGAAATCAGAAAGAATTTTCTAATTTTTTACAATTGCGAACCACTTTTCGAGTGTAGACTGCGACAGTTTACCCTAATTGGTCAGCAGCTCGTCGGCCGGCAAGTTCACTTTCATAGGCAAAACGTGTACGGTTTGTCGGCCTGCCAACCGCCCAAACCCATGGTGCTTCGTGTTGCGGACCGGTCGGTTGACCCTGCGCTACAAACAGGTTCATGAATTTCACGGGATCTAAAATTTATGAATGCTTTATGTTCAGAAGCCACAATTTACGTACGTACTCACCACCATACTACTTGAACAATTTTTTATGGAAATAAATCTACGGCGTAACAGTCTTACTCGAAACTGCGCTTTAAAAAAAATTCGAGAATCGCTTATATAACAGATTGTTTATTTATGTGCTTATAGCATGCCCTGATGCAAAGGGTTTTCTTTTACCTGGACACTGAGCTGGACGAGTCCCCATTTGTCGGCGGAAATCTTGGTGGGCCATTTGCATGGCAGAGAGTTTTGATTGCCGGAGTGTTCGGACATCCCATTCCGCATCCGCCCCTGCTGGCGATGGAGGCGGGGGCATCGCTATGTCGAACGCCAAAACGTCCGGATCCGCATCCGAAGTGTCATCAGAAACTTCCATATTGGCAGATTTCTTATTAAACCCTATAAATACATGCGAAGCCAAAAATTAGAGTGCCAGACACTGCAAAACATAACCCAAAACAGCATTCTTGGGAAACACAAAAAGGTAATGCTGTACATAAATCAAAATTTCCCAAAAACGGTCATTGTGTGCCGGTTATGTCACAGTTAAGCTATTGTTTGACCTTTGATCCCGCCTTTATCGGCTTTATCCACCTCGTACGAATAGTACGCCGTATCCGCTAGACTTTTTGGGGATTTTTTTTGTGGTGACGGCATCTCTTCCTCTTCTTCTTCCTCTTCCACCGGCGCAGGCCTCCTGACCTTTTGGCGGGTGGCGCTTGGCGGCGTTGTCGTGAGAGAATCCACTCGGGTTCACCGGTCAACTGATCGGATTTCCCATGTGACGGCGAATACGGTAAATATTTAGCCGGGTTTCGGCTGGTTTGTAGAGACTGTCGCCGGCCGCTCTTTTTCGCCACTCGTCCCCAGGTTTTATCCCGATTATTATTCTCTGCAAAATTACATTATATCTATATAACCTGACAATAACTGAAAATATTGTGATGTCCTTAGCAATTATTAACAACTTTATGTGGGCCTGTGGCAACTAATTCAGTACGTATTTAAATAAATAAATCTGCTACTTTTAAATTCATATTATTGTTACAGTTTTTTATGGACGCTGTAGAACTGATAATCTCTTGCGCAAGCGCAGTAACTACTGACGTAAGCAACAGAAACGTATCGGAGAGCAAAACATCATCATGTGTATTGTATTGCATTCTACAAAACTAATCCAATTTATTTTCTGAATTAATACGAGTTCGCATTACTATGGCATATAAAATTTTATAATCGAGAAATTAGTTATTACAACGTTAGAATAAATTGTGATTATCTGAGATGCTGCGTACGATCGGCATGTACCAAGATTTGACATTGTTCTGGAGTGTTCCGGTCCGGTTTCGCGTACATGTCGTCCGCTATCGGCAGACGTATCGCTGGTTAGCCATTCATCAGCCGGTGCCGCATCCCTCGATATATGCACTGTGCCTAATGTGCCATTCAACGACATAAACGCACTATTAGGCTCTGCATACAAATTCGCTTCCGGATGGTGGAAACCCTCACGTTCCGACGGGATCATTTCGTACAGACTATCAGTATTAACTATTGTGTCATTCCATGGTGGATCACGATGCGCGGTAGATAGATTAATCATAATAAAACTCAGTAAAATAAATAACAAACCACATTTTTCCTTCAACATTTTTACCGCACAATTTTAAGAACTATCAGTAAAACTAATATCAAAAATTATAAAAACAAGAAACCGGTCCACGGTAATGAAATTAACATGCTTAACTATAAATGATCCGACGCTGTGGTTATCTAACGCTACTACTAATGTTGCTGAATAACGGATTGTATCGTATAACGGGTTTGTATCGTATAATCGTAATTACGCTTTCGTTTGTTGTCGCCAAAACGTATCCCGCAAACGGGGCGTAATATTTTGGTTTATGCAACCATGGTTTTTTCATTAACTGGACTACAGGTCACACATTTTTTTCCCCAGATTAAATACTGTTTAATCGGCTAATCATCGGGATCGGACAAGTTCACACATCTTCACGCAGTGCACAACGGCGATTATGCAACACGCACACTCTTCGACAATGCCGTGTAGTGTCATCTGCCGAGACTGCGCGCACACATATATACAAAATAATTGCAGCACGGACTGAATGGGCCACCACGTGACCGCGCTCTGTTGTGGCCGTTGAACGAAGGTCATATTGGGGTCGCCTATCGACGCGTTAATTTTTCTGGACTGGAAGTACAGTATATACAACTTAACACACGAGGAATTGGCTGTATAATAATGCCCACGCAACCGAGTGGGGACTCTTCCTTAGCACATCATCATCCCCGCGCACAGTATTTTCGAGATAAATTTAGTTTGAGGAGAGCCCTCTTTAGCGCCCGTTTTCCACACACCGGGAAGACCAGGCCCGAGTGTGTGGGCTGTCTGCTCGCACTCGAGTTGGAGGATGCTACTTTGCGGAGACGATTATATTGTGCAACCAGCAGGATGTGGAGATATTTAAATGTTTTTTAATTACACCAGACAAACGCCTGTTAGAATTGTACCACATATTTACTTTTGCGAGGTATGCAAATATGCGTCTGTACAGCTAGATGTAGTACATAGATACAAACGGCACTAAAAATATTGTTGCATCTGTGACCTTACAGTGCAGTGCAACGGCTGACGTACCGGACTTACTTAATGTGATTCGGCAAACGATTTTATATTTACTACATGATGGAAGTCATATTAATTTGCATTGCTAGCTAAATTTTAATGGGTTATTACATGTGTTAGATCGGTATGTGGCGATATGATGTACGTAGTTGTATAATTATATTTATGATACTCTGGTTTTGTAATGTTTCTGTTTGCCAGTCTCGGGTTTTTCTTAAAATAAATGCTGCACTGGAGCTTAACACTACCAAAACATTTCCTGTCTCAAAAGCTAAAAGAGCAAATATATTAATATTAATATATTAATATGTCATATCTTATGCGTGCAGATGCATCTTCTGTAATAACAGCTGCTGGCTGCATGCATAAAAGTCAAATAATCATATTCCAGGGCACATATTCGCCATAAGTGTTTATCAAAATCCCGGCCGTGAAATGCAATACATCCCGTTTTAATCACTTAGATTAATGTAAGGAAAAATTTCCGCATCCCAAGTGCGGCGGTCTATGCTGAAGCACCGGCGCACGGGAGACCGATACCGCTGAAAAAACATTGTTATTCTATTGGTCGGATGTTGACTTTGCCGGCCGAGGCACTGTTCGACTCGCGCTATATCCACATACACGTATAAAGACTGCCAAACGAGCGTATGAAAACTACCTGCCGCCTTCCCATATATACCGATGACGTCGATATATCTCCACTTTGTTCCGATCCCTGGACAACTGTACAGAAAAGCGGGATATACATGCTGCGCACGCTTTAATATCCTGTCATCACCACCGGCATCGCTGGCTCAAAACCTGATTTGCTGCAACGTATATATACACGCTGGTTATATTCGGTTTTCTCCGGCTTCCTTAGCGTACGCATTGCTTGATCAGATGTGTGTTACGCTGGTCGCAATCAATTAATCAATTGTTGTAATTTTCTAATTTTGGAGTAGGGAAAAACACAACCATCGCCGCGCGTCCAACTGGTTATAAAGTTTTCAGCGGGGCCGAGAGATGCACCACCGGAAATTCCATAATACTGGATATCAATAATTTCCTCTGTTCTACACTGTATAAGCCGAATAAATGATGAATTATTCGCCACTGGAATATCTGACGCTATCCGGCGTATCCGCATCGCGTCATGCCTGTGTGTTAAAATGTGTATAATGATGTTGTGGATGGCGCCCATGACCTTTGGGTCGAATCACATAGTTACGTATGGAACGCCGGGCTATTGTGCAGTTTTCCGAAAACTCCTGTTCATTGGTGAAAATATAGTCTCCCGAATCTTCGCAGCATGCGACAGCGCCGCATCGATGCCGTACAAGTTTGATGATTTGATGGATTTCACTTGGTTAAAAATCATCAAACAATTGATTCTGCAACTCGTATGCATTGCTGTCTGGGTAAGGCTGAAGCCTGATATTATTTAACAATTATATATTCGCAGAAAAGTTTTTGCAACCTGCCGGTACTAATCAGCACTTTTACGTTTTCATCAGCTGTTCGGTTTGATGCTGCTGTTTCGTCCCCAGAATTTCCTTCCGGCAGCGGCGGATACAGCGCAAACTGATCACTGTAAGTCCGGAAAATCTGTCCCTCAGGTCTTTGTGGATTATGCTAATCACATGAAGCCATCAACAAAATTAAACGTTGCACTGAACCACCGTACGACCATAATATCCACGCCGAAGCTGATTTAGCAAATTAATAACGCCAGCGTAATCCGGTTTTTCCGCCCACTTTCGCTATTTTAAGGGAAATATTTCCACACAGTATCTAAGAACTGTCTACAAGTTTACAATTTCAAAAACTCATTATTTATCACTCCCAGGTTTTCCATCCATTTAACGCATGTGGAATGGTATATAATATTCGTGTGATATTCTTTTACGGTATCAGAGGGAATTACTCGCGTTTAAACTTATATCAGTATATTAATTTATTATTAATTTTCTATATCCAGGGCATATATAGAGTAGAGACAGCGTCAGTGGTTTTATTTAGCATATGTTCTAACATTCCATCGGTACGAATAGTTGTAATGCGCTAATCGTACTGCTGCAACAAAAAAAAATTTAGAATTTTATGATGCCGAATTCATTCCCACGAATGCTAATGATAGAGTTATGTTAATGATTTGCCGACTGCTAAGGATAAAGATATTTTATAGCAGACAAAATTGTTTTTTTCGAACCATGTAAAATATGGTACTAACTGTCGCAAGATACAAATATGTTTTAATAAATTACTGACGTATCACTGTGTTAAATAAAAGGCGGGCAATAACGCGAATAGACATAATCCGATAAATTCTGGCTCGTTTCATGGAATATTTATTTAATTTATTAACGCGGGATTGACTGATGTTTCTTTGACGTTTTCGACATAGCCTGTTCTGTATAAAGGATCCAGGGAGTAGTTTGTATTCCAATTAACGATAAGTGCAAAACGGCGGCAAGATTTATTCTGGATCTCCTATAGTATTTGCACAGATGATTGATATTTCTATTTTATATGCGAAAAATTATGAGCTGCAATATTCGAATCCATAAGTTGTCGTTCAGCCTCGGTAATCAAGAGAAGCGACGAAAGTGCTGTCTGGTTTTACCGAATTTCAAAAGTTCTTTATCATTGCTACAGTGCAGTATATAGTACATAGGTTTTGCAAATAAATGCACTTGTGTACATGTACTTGTATAGCTTATCGTTAGAAATGATTATTTTATACATACAATACAGGTGATATACAGAGTACATACAACTGATCTTTTCGACTGAAAGATTTGCGTTGTTTTCAGAGAAATCGTTTTACACTTTCTAGCACAGAAGATAGTTCGACAAAGTGGGTATTCAAAAAATGGATGTTATCTTTTGACAGGAAATCGGCCAACCATTTATTGATTTTATCCTCTGGGATTTTTTTATTTTACATTTAAAGACTAAAATTAGTCACTGTTATCCGTTTAACTGCAAAGAGCGGTTTGTCGCTTAATCGCGTGAGAATTCCAAAGAAGCCGGGCGGGGAATGAGGTCTAATTTAAGAGTCAAACTTTTGTTACGGCCTTTGCCAATTCCCGTAATATGAAAAGAGGTAGAAGAAAGCGGCACCAAGTATTGTGTTATGCAAGGTATTGTGCAAGTATCGTGTGCGAATTGCACTATATTTAAAATTGTTATGTTTGATACATCAATCTCTTGCAAATATGTCCAGATTGAAATGTACGGTCGCAGTAAAAGCAGCTAGGGAAACAACACAATAGTTAAAATTATTTTAAATCAACTTATTCATCCATCAACAAATTTGCACCATTTTCGGAAGGTTCTGAGAAAAACCACCTTTTCCAAAACTCTGCAACCTCGGCGATCACGCAGTTCATTGTAGTGCCTGGATTTATATGTACGTACACAGTACTCCCAGATTAGAAACTAAGCTGCGGTAATAATCAAAAACAGAAAAAAAAACAGCATCTGTCCAAATACACGGCAAGTACCTTCCACAACCGGAAATAGATGCTAGTCCCGGCTGCGGTACAATAGGGTCCTGAGCGAAATACGCGCCTGTCAACACAGTACTTCACGCATATTGCTATTTGTTTAGACATTCAAATGCCGGGAAGTGGCACTGTGATGATCTGTGGATCGGCTCTGATATTTCTTTCCATGGGTGCCTTACTGCATTTGGTTCGCAAGAATGACCAGCCTCTGGACTAGAGAGACACACACTGATTCCGAATTCCTGTCAACGAACATTTCTGCTCGATTGTGTCAGCAGTTCTTTGCAGTTTTTAACATATTCCTCATACAACCTTTTCACTATTCTGTAAATAAATGGTAATAATGAGGTACATATACGAACATTCTCGAAAAACAACGCTGTATATCTTCGCATAATTTAATCCAGTAAAGGAACAACAACAGCACTTTTCGAGTACTTTAACAAAAGACTACAAGCTTTGTCTTTCATTGCAACTAGAAAAATAAATATATAAATTATTCCAAATTGCTGTAAAGCAGGCAAAGATGTTATTGTTTCCAGTAAAGTAAATCAACAAAACCAAATTTTTTCAATGTATAATTACAATCAAGTGTACAAACGTGTGTCGGTGCCGACAAACGAATAAAAGATCACAAACAAAATGCACTCGTGTGTGCCCCTTTCGAAACGCAAACAGAACGCGGTAGGTGTACCGTTGAAATATAAAACAGCACTTGCAGCAGGCGCAAAACCGGTTGTAATCATCGATTGCTATCCACACATGCGCGCACGCACCACCCGACGGAATTATCCACATTTGGAAGGCATAGTTTTTTCCCTCAGCTTTTTTCCCCGTTTCGCAGGGTCGGTGTGCGTGGTCCATCGCGTTCCGCACTGGATGAGGAGGAGGATGACGGGCCGCCGCCGGCGCTACTCGTGCTGGCACCTGCCGGAAAAAGCAGGCCCAACTCCTCGGCTGTGAAGAGTTTGTATTCGAAGAAGCGCTTCAATAGTCCCATCATCGGATTAGCATAATCGAATTCCCGTCGGACAGCATTGTTCTGCAACGATCCACCAAATTAGTCGTCAGCAAAATTCCGCTCGCTGCAGCCGTTATCGTTTCTTTTTTCGCTTTCTCACATTGTTATCAACAAAGCGTTTCAATGCTATTTCGTTTATATTTAAATATTTTATTCCACAGTCTGCAATATTACAAACCTAGCAATTTTTAAGTTAATGTTACTTTTGATAATGCGCAGACGGCAGACTGCAAAAACTTCTTATTAAAGTTTAGTATAATTTTGCCGTTTAATTTTGATGCAATACGAATACATTGTAACATTACCAGACTTACATAAATTTCCACACGTTTATGATTTTCTTCAACAATAATTTTGATCAGATCTGTGCGTTTGAGTTCCAGTTCAGCGAACTGCTGAACAACGGTCTGCAAAACACAGAAATCAACACGTGATTTTGTCGATCACAACACCATACACATAGTTTGTCCAACGTGAACAATAACATACCCGCGTTTCCGATACGAGCGCAGACTGTTCTTCCAGGACGGTTAACTTGGATTTAGCTTCAGTAAGAGGGTTCTTGACGATCGACACGTATCCGTTTCGATCATGGCCCACTTGAGGCTTTTGATCTGTCAGAGGAAAAGCGCCACTTAGCTGGCATGATTATAAATTATGCAAGGCCAAAATATTTCCACATTTACTCAGAATATTTTGAACGCATACAGTAATGGCATATTCATGAAGAGCCACGTGGTCAAATAAAACGGAACTTCTAAATATCATCATGCAGCAAAGAAACCGGGTATCACCGCTGAACAGTGAAAATGATTTCAGACAAATTTTTTAATAAAAACGTCACAAAAACGTTTTCAACAAATACGTTTAAATGTAATAACTGCGATTAAGTAAGACACAAGGACTGCAACAAAAATTGAAACAATAATTCAGCCAAACCTGTTTTCTGTAATATGATCAATGAAACAAAACACTGTTCAATAAAATTTTCTTTATATCCTGCTATACTTGTATCTAATGCTGCTACCGAAAATCGCCGAATGTTTGATATAAATGCAAGAACCGCATCGTAAAAGGCTAATAATGCAATCGAATTTCGACCTAGAACTACTAGCTAATACAGAGAGTACCCAAAATAAAGCACTTAATATCATTTTACAAAAACACAGGTTTTCTTGCTCTGGTTATTGTAAGGTCAAATGGAGCAATCCGTGAATTACAATACCTAAAGGGTGCTGGGATGACAGCGAACGCGTCAGTCGAGGCACGCCACCATGACAGTCCATTTGGAAGTCCACTGAGTTTTTCCCACAAACAACCGGAAGCCCATGATCGACCCGCGCTGCCGGTCGAGGCCAGCGGTCTTCCACACTCGTTGACGACCGGCTGGGTGTCATCACCGTGGAGCTCTGCAACTGTCCGCTCATCCGGGTGAACCGCGTGACGAGACTGACCAGTCCACCATTGGTCCTCGCTTCACATTCACTCTTCACCGACCGACCGGAGGAATTGCACGGATCCGTTGGATAATCCGATATTATCTAATCAACCAACATACATCAGGAACCTATACACACCACCAGAAAAATAAACATCACAGACATTGTCATTTTTCCGCCTGGACTTGGGTGACCGCGGTCCATTCTGATCGGGTACGGAGCGCTTCTTGGAGAGTGGCAGGACATCCTTCGACTCCGTTTTGGCCGGTGCCGACAACGGCGCATCCGTTCTGCGAGTGCGCGTCACCCGCTGCTTTTTCGTCTGTCGACGTAGAAATTCCGCCGGCAGCGCCTGCACATCCTGCAGGGTGGACACGTCGCTCTCCATCGGCAGCGCCACGTTCATCGGCCAAACCGCCGCGATGCTAGGCAGATCGTCAATCACAGTGGACACCGGCGGATGCAATGCCCCCTTCCCCTTACAAAACCCATTGACAATGGGAAAACTATTGTGCGCATGCTCCATGGAACGCGATGACGACAGACTTAAGGAGGCGGCCCGTTTAATGGGGAACACCTCGGGACTCGGATCGCGGTGGAGGTAGCCGTTTTTAACTGGCAGGACGCGTTGGGAGTAGGTCTCCACTAGTTTCTTCTGGGCGGCGGTGTCGGCCGTATGTTTCTCCTGCAAGGCGGCCAGCAGTCCGCTGATGGTGTGACATAAAGGCGAAAGGTTGGTACTCGGCGTGGGTAAGGTATTAGGGACGTTTTTCGGTTCATAAGGCAGCGGTGTGCGTTCCCGGAAGGCCTTGCGGAGCTCGGCACATTCTGGAGGTAGGAAGGATTGTTTTTCTTGGTCCTCAACGGAGTTCGTGAGCTGATCCATCAGGGATGACTGCCGCATATCAATAGTGGCAACTTCACGAATACAACGCGTTCGCTTCGATCCTTTTACTGCCAGAATGGCAAAGCTGAACCTATTCGACAAGCAGCAGCAATTAGAAATGCGCAGTTTGTTGCACTAATCAAATCTAATCTGTCTGAAAGTACACGAAACACAAAACATTGTCGATCTTAATTGTTGCAACTTGACAAACTTCATAAAGAGTCACTATTTACTTATTGTCGTTTGTAGCGCGTATCCGTTCTTTTATGATATCCCTGGCTTTCCTGAGAAAGGTCTCTTCCGAAACTTCATCTGCAGTCGGAAATTGCAAGTTCATAAGCTTGAATATTGGAACAACAACGATCATTCAAGCAAGCAATCAAATGCATAAAGATTTCATGCAAGACAGATTCCTAAAAATACTAGTACTGTATATTACCGTGTAGTATAGGGTAATCCTTGAGCCCATCCAGCTCCATCAACTGTCCGTTGATGGGCACATAAGGCACGAAATGGTTCTGTCGGGTTTCGGTTTTACGATATGACCGCGACGATTCTCCGGTCCGCGAAAGATTCATCACCGTCGATACAATTTCCGGAGTGGCGCTGTTAAAGCAAAACAACTGTTGCAGACTTGTCCTCAGCAGCAACATAATCATCAGAAATGTTAGCAAGACATAGCTAGCAATATGGGTAAAATATTAACACTGGCTTTAAGGGATTTGGCCCGGTACGTAGTACTAAATTCGGGTACATACACGAGAACTTCCGCTGTCGCGCATTCCTAAACACTTTTTTGCATTGCTTTATGACATTTTGTAGCCAAAGGATTTATATACGCAGGCGTGAAATCCGTTTGCGCGCGCAACATCCGGTTCGGGAGTTATTAATGAATGTATACGAACCCTTTGGCTACAAATATCATAAAGCAATGCAAAAAAGTGTTTGGGAGTGCGCGACAGAGAAAGTTGGCGTGGATGTATACAAATTTGGTGCTATGTACCGGGCCAAATCCCTTAAACTGGCTTCACAAACAAGAAAATATTAACGCTGGCTAAAATATCATTTCCTTACGGAGCTCTTCGATTATGGAAAGCAGCAAACTGGCAGTGATTCTGAATAGCATATCCCCGATCCTGAAAAATACAGATATTTTATCAAATGCCTTATTCGACATAGTTAACCAATAGTATCACACAATCTTATGATTCCTATCCGGGTATCCCACAAGCAAATCACGTCAAGTGCCTGAGTCATTTGACGATTTCATAAAACAATATCATTACGAATCGCAATAACAATACTTTGAAGTATATCTTACACAAATTACAAAGCCAAACGACAGAAATTAATTTACGAATGGAAATGCGCGTACAGTCTGCCTAACTGCGTCATGTTCAAAATAGGCAGCACTATAAAATGCAGCTGAAGCTGGAGCACACCGAAATCCGCTAAAATTTTACCTCGGGCGACATTTGCTTGGTAAAGTCTTTAAAATCTCGCAGTAGTGCATTGAGAGGAAGATCCGGACTGTTTAGCATAATACTGAGCAGCGCGTGTGTTGCACAGGAATTTGGAGCTTTCTGCCAAATCAACATTCAATAAAATGCAAAATTTAAATTATACAATAATTACTATTATTTTAAAATATTGTGTCTTCTTAATTTACATACCTGGTGCGCAAAGAACATCTCATTGGTGACGAAGTGTTCATTATTGAAGAATTTCTTCTGCAGCTCTTTATTGTACAATCGCTGGGCGCGATCATTCCCGCCTGCTTTACACTCGAAGAGAAAAATCAGCCCGTAGATTTTCTCCTCCGTTCCCAGCGTACTCTGCAGATCACAGTCAATATCGTAGATTTCTACGATGTCGATTTCTTCGCCCGCTGCAAAGGAGGATAAAAAATTATTTTCATGTTGCATGGCGTCATTGGCAACACATGTGTGTTTCTCTCTGTACCGAGATCGCTGGCCAATAAATAGAACAAGCTGGGATCAGCTTCCAGTTCCTTCCAAGAATCCGCAATCTCCAGTAGACTGCCTTCCAGATTAATGGCGGCGCCGTAGCGCTGATCGAAATACGCGCGAATTTCATCGACAGTGCGCACGTTCGATGGTGGTTGTGCCATGATGTAAATTCTTCACTAATGATAACGTTCAATTACCATATTTTAACAACAAAACGTCAGCAAAATTAAAACGTACGTTAGGCACATACAAATGCCACCTACCAGACACGTATCGTAAAAGGTTGGTACAATTTTACGGATGAAAAGCCATCGTGAGAATATTACTGGTCGTAATACACTGATAACATGCTGCTTCGAGCACGAAAGGCAATTAAATTTTAAAATTTAAAACAGCATAAGGCGCCTTGATTGTTATCAAGGCCAACAAAACCACAAAATCAAACGTGCATGGGACATTTTATTCCCAGAAGATGGAAGAGCAAATTATCCCCGCAAACCAGTCGATTTCTGGATGCAGAAAAGGCTCATGAAAAGGCAAACAATTAACGGCTCCTCGAAATAGACCAAGCTTCTGCAACTGCAGAAAATCATGAAACAGAACTCAAATAATTTACCAAGGTGGAAACATTTTTGATCAAACCTGCAAAACCATGTTTTTTACAGTTCTGCCCTGTATCAGTTACTGTATTCACGGCCGACCTAAAGTAGTCGCGCATCCGAGCCGGAAAGTGTGGCGTGCACATTGCGCTATGTACCGTGCACGTAGCGCTGCGCACTAAGTGCACGCGTCTACCGTACGCATGGAGTGATATTGCACGCGCACGCAGGTTGGCTCTACTCGAGAACCACATTTCGTGATCTTCAATCTTCATCGGAGAAACGGATTTTTGACGACGAAGATCTTTCTTTGAGGTACCTGGTTTTCTACGTTCTTTCCGTTAAATAACTTGGTAAGTCACATAGTGAAGGATTTTTATCATTGTTTCCAGAATCGTCGCGTTTCAATCATTTCCGATTGTTTTCAGACCGTTTCTCGCTACCGGAGTCAGAGTACCCAGCACGCAAACATGTAAGAAACCCGTTCGACCTTCCTCCAAATTTTCTTCTTGCTTCGCTGCATTTTGTCGAAACTAGTGCCCTTATCTTGGTCGTACGTTTTCAGGGCTCTCCCGCTTATGATTGTGGCGGATTCGTCCTTTATCGTCAATGCGCACTCGGAAATGTTGGTCGGAGATCTTATGGTACGCCGAAATTATGTCATTATTATTTTTTGCCGTGTTTATTTTCTGTATTTTTGTTGCTCTTAAAAAGGCGACATTTGTGACAGATTGTGTGAATATTATTGTAATGTTTTTAGGGTTTAGTGTTGGAGCAGTTGGATATTGAACGGGAGGATGCTGAGGATTTTTATCTGCGAAGCGGAGTGTGCAATTTGGAATCCGAGAAAACTTTAGCTGACTGCGGATTTGAGCCATATTCCCAGGTCTATCTCCAAGGCCGACTCCGTGGTGGTAAGCCGCAAAAATACTTGCAGAAATGTTATTTTTATGGCTAGCGAGATTGGCATATTTTCGTTAGTTTAGCTTATCGCTTTTTTGTACATTGTAATTTAATTTTGATTTTTTTAAATCAAATTTTTTAATTTGGAATTTTTGGAATCAGTTTTTCCGCCTTATAATGTGTTATGCTCTTTTGAATGGGTGCTTAAATATTATGTTTTATCATTCTGCAGGAAAAGTGCACGGCTCGTTGGCTCGTGCTGGTAAAGTCCGTGGCCAGACTCCTAAGGTGGAGAAACAAGAAAAAAAGAAGAAGAAGACAGGACGTGCTAAGCGCCGACTCCAGTACAACAGGAGGTTTGTCAATGTGGTGGCGACTTTCGGGCGCCGCCGTGGCCCCAACTCGAACGCTGAAGCTGGAAACAAGAGCACCCCTTAAAACGTTTTTATTATCAGATTGATAATGCTTCATCTTAATTAAATAATTGCAGTCAATTCCAGTGGTTACCGCGTTGTGAAGATGACTTGAAAATTAATAAAGACCGGGAATTTTTTTGCGCTTGTCTCACTGTCAACATTCATATTCTGTTTTCTAATATAAGCGCACTGCTTCGAAAATATAAATTCCACAAAACTAATAGAGATTGCAGACGTAGTTTATAGTATGATGTTGTCGAAAGAAATTCGTTTTTTTCGGTTAAACGTGCTTCTTGAATCAGAATCAAGTAGATGCTAGCCGGTGCTAGATATCGACTAACTGCAAATTGTACAGTAACTTCGTTACAGTTTCACAAATCCTTACAAAAAACCTCGCGCTGTGTAAGTACATTGTCTCGGTGACAAACCGAATTTTGTACCAGGAAAATCACTTATGGTTAGGTAGAAGTGTCGAAAATTGCTATAGAAGATTGTAGTGAATAATTATTTATAGTTGCTCGTTTGTTTCAAATTTCCAATACGTACGAGTCGGAGTAACTACGAAAAAACTGATAAATGAAGTTAAAAAATATTAGGAGCGATGACTTCACACAACCAATCATGTAACATCCGTTCCTCTTCCGGATTAAGCAGCAGCAACAGTATCCAGTCATCAAAGACTGAATTCATGCAAAAACAGAAGAATAATTTCCATCACACTGAGAGAGTTTCAACCAGGAGGTACAGCTGTGAAACATTAATACACAGGGAGAAATTCCCTTTATAGAAAACCCCATTTCTTCCCGCAAGAAGAAACAAACAACATTCTATTTTCCTATACGACGGACTAAGTCCAAATAAAAAAAAACATATCCAGATCACACACGAGTGACATGATGAACATTTTCTTGCTGATTCTGTAGAAGCAGTCCGGTGTGGCGTGCGTGTCTCGGAGTCAATCCCGGCTAAAAACACACGGATCAATCTGCAAAACCCACCCAGCTGATGAAGAGAGGAAGGAGGACAGAAAGGAGAGATAATGCGAGAAAGATGTGACCATAGGTGAAGAAGGAAAAAACACATTGGTGGCTAAAAATTATCGCGACGCAGAGCAAAATGGATGTATGGACAAATGCGCACGGGCAGGCTGACACAGGAAGGGGGATAACAAATACAGGAACGGGTGCTCGGATAAAACGGGTGTGTGTATGGACATTTAGTACTGTAAAATGCCTCCGATATGCCCTTTAGTTAAACCCCACATGGGGCTTATCCTGGAGACGGCTGTGGGTAGGCGTCTGGTGCTTTAACGCCTCCGCCACAAACGCCGAGATGGTCGTCTGATTGCCCGCGGTCGGTGGCAGCAGTGTCATAGCCTCCGCAATGCGTGCGATTTTCTGCTTCAGGTCAGCGATTTCTTTGTCTTTCTGACACATTACATCTAAAAAATGAGATTAAAATTTACTCACCCAAATAGAACATCTTAACGCTAATAATGTTTTGTAGGTTTTAAGCATTAAAAATAATAGAAAAAGGTTAACCGTGACTGCTATACAAATTTGGCTGAATTACCGAAGGTAATAAAATAACAATACCAAAGTTATTACGTTCTTTTAGATTTAACCGAACAATTTAAAGTACATTGGGTACTGTGGTCATTTGTTTACTTTGTGAAATTTCCACTTGACGTTTGGCTTCACCAAGCGCCGAGAAGAGATCCAGTTTCAGTTTAGTTTCTGCGCCCAGACTGTTCTCCAGATGCGCATTCCTATCCTGGAGTTGTGACAATGCTGTCGTCAGTTGAACATCCGAATCCTTGTAACTTTCTTTGTTCTGCTTTAACGCCTACGAAAGCAAAAAACAGGCAAATGTTAACCTCTACAAAACATGACCGCACAATCAAATTTTCTTACCGCAACTTCGTCGTTCAGGCTGCGCAGTTTTTCATCCTTTGTCGTAAGATCTCGGCGCAACTGACGCAATTCTGCCTCGATTTCTTTACGTTGATTTTTGCAAGATTCGGAGCACTCGTTGCCGCTGGAAGTACAACGAAAGAATCAAAATCCTGCCGGTAATGCAGTTTAACATACGTTGTTTAACATATCGCAGTACACCATGAATATCTGTGACACGTGAAACAAAACTTACGCATCCTCAATTGCCTTCCGTTGCTTCCTCTCCTGATTCAACTGGGTTTCCAACTGCAGCCGTGATTTCCGCTCGTCGCCGAGCTTCTTCTCGAACAATGCAGCGTTTTGTTTGTCTTGCTGACGTGCTGCTATCAGATTACTTAACCTGCAAAAAATGTCAAATGGTTGATATGTTGATGTGTATAACAGGCCGTTAGGTATCATACCGTTGCTGTAGAGATTCGTTTTCCTGTTGGACTTTTGTTAAGTCTGTCCGAGCAGATTTATCACCACTCTGCAGCGTGGAAATCTGACTCCGTAGCTCTTGCTCTAGTTGTCGGCTGATTTGGAGATCAGACCTTAGCCGTTTGACATCGTTTTCCAGTTTCGATCTGCAAGCACGAATATCATCGGAATATGTGCGCAACTGCATGAAAGTTATCAAGTAATTCATCTATTCCTGGCACAAATTCAGACATAACACTAATAATTCAGACATCAATATTATAATAAGAGACTGAAAATAAAATAATAAACAAAGAAATTTCGAAATATAAACTTAAAATTAAAAACTAACAGCAACAGGTAAATAGTAAATATAGCATTATAATTACAGATTAGGTTGCATACACATTATTATTATTATTATTATTATTATCGTACTACAGTAGCCAAACTCCATTACGGAGACTTATTACCCTCAGGTGAAAACCGTTGGGCAAACCAGGCTATTGGAAAATTTTTTTGTTAATTTTGAAAATTTTGTACTTTTTTTTGGTTTGATTTTATGAGATAAAAGTTACCCACCTAGGAATCGAACCCAGGACATACAATCTTAAAGCCAGACGTACTACCACCAGGCTATGGGCAATTAACATTAAATGTAGGATTATTATTATCGTACTACAGTAGCCAAACTCCATTACGGAGACTTATTACCCTCAGGTGAAAACCGTTGGGCAAACCAGGCTATTGGAAAATTTTTTTGTTAATTTTGAAAATTACGCAGCACACACGAGGACACTGACATTATCATCTGCTGAACTTTACTCCTGTAAACCTCGATCCCAGAAGAGAAAAATTAAGAGCTGAATAATAAAAGTTTGAATTTATCTAGTATGGGGAATGTTACACAACTTACAGATAGACATCGTCTGATTTCGCAGACAATTCCACGGTGGTATCCCTCGTACTAACTGACACCTTCTGTTTCCTTCCCGTACTACTACTTCCGGACACGCTCTCCTTCTCAAAGTTTTGCAAACTCGTCACTTTCATGAGTGACGGAGAAGTGGAGCGCAGATGTTTGGCATGACGATGCGGATTGGACAGCTTGAAGGCCTTCTCCGACTCCACACTGTCGCCATCGCAATTATCCAGCTCCATAACGGACGACTGCTTCTTATTATTACCGGGTGATCCTCCCAGCCGGGCAAAGAGATCCCCTGGCTCATTGGCCAGATCAGCATCGGCCGATGAGGAGGTGGAGGAGGATGCCGATGACATATTATCAACATCCAGCGCCTTCTGAGCAATACTAACCAACACATCACCAAATAATCGGCCGTTGCTGTTGTTGTTGTTATTCTTCCGCTTCTGACTACGAGATTCGGAATGAGGATTACTACTGCTGCTAGTAACCGACGATACAACGGCGGATAGCAGCGATGATGTGCCCCCGTTTTCAACCGGAATAAACCCGTTCGCTTGTGCGCTATCAACGTTTTTACTTCCGCCCGGACCTAAAAATTGACAAAATAAAATAAGAGGGAGCTCTACTTTCCCTATCAAAATTTTCACCAAAATTAATACCGATTTCTGAACAAATATGGTAAACAGTAAACTGGTAATACTGTCATACAGCGATTGCCTCAGAGTGCATTTTTTTGTAGTTTTAACATACATACCCACCCAAACATACATATAAACATACACGCGGTAACGGTGTACTTAATACGACTACGCTAAACATAAATATATTTAATTTTAGGTTTTCATTTATTTTCAAATTTACATTAATGTTTCAGACTTGTATTAGCAGCATTTTTATGACGGATAACTTGAGCAAGCAGTTCATGATTTGGTTCTTTACACGCTCCCTTCAACTTTCAAGGTGCGCACGCGTTTTGGGAAACAGTCACCGATGCATTAACATCAAGACCGCCAAACGTAAACGATGAAATTTTTTTCCTCTACAATAACGTGATCCCGGTTCAATTGTCAACGACAATCCGGTTTCTCACTGTCAGCGCTCTTCAATTTCCCCCCATGGCGCTGCTCTGCAGACTGAATAATCAGCGGTGTGAGCCATCCGATCAACTAAAGCCGCATGCGTAACATGTTTACTCCGCAGCGCCACAGTGCCATCCGGCGGAAACCAGCTATACTGCCGGATATTACCGAGCTCAAACCTGGAGCATCCGCTCCCCAAAATAGAATCCATTACGTGGTGTGCATAACGCACACAAGGCTAAAGCCCAATACGCTTCGCTCAACACCGCATAAATTCATAATCAATCGCTGCTAAAGTGTGCTGGATGGGACAAGTGAAAGCGAACCCTGCCAATTGTAGCACCTGAACAATTATAAAATACAGCAAGCAGCCCCCGCTGTGTGACTCGGCGTTATACCAGCGCAGCACGCTGCTGCACCGGAAAGATCTTATTACATGATTATAAACATATTAATAATGAAATCGTCCTAAATTATTAAAAGACTGAACGTGTGCGTATCCAATTACACAATCCCGGTTGTGTTACATACCTTTCGATTCGAGCGGCGAAAGCGCTTCCGGAAGAGGTCGCCGACTCTCCTCCGGTAATGCTTCGTTAATGAGATCCCTGAAGAGTTTATTCTCGGTAGCAATCTGCAGTTGCTTATGCTGTAGAAACGAAGTACACACACACCAATTAGCCATCAGCAGCCAATAATTATTGACAAGATCAATAAGACAGAGACTAACCTTCCGATATTTGAAGCCAATGAATGACTTCACGCTGAAACTGAACGTGACTAGCGGATAGCCCACACTGTAACAAACAATCCACGATTCAATAACAAATGTCAAGCAATGGATTATTATAATCGAAATTGAAATTCGAAAAGCCGCTATAAACAGAAGACGATTATTTAAAAATCTAAAATAACCAAAAAAATCGTAACAAACATCATTACGTAAACAATAACACGACATATCTGTCAATTTTCAATAATCTCAACTAGTTGCACCAGCGCAATCTGATCGTTCCACCATCGTCGAATATTAAAAAGAAGAGAGCATTTACAAGAAGGCAGGATTAAAAAATGCCAAAACAAAATGAGCAATATTTTGTAACATTCAGAATGGCGATTTTCATCCTCACCACCACTTACCAATGCGCTGCAAACGGTCTACATATATCCCAATGAAATGGTATACTGGGATCGGATTTGAGTTCGCGTAGTCGCATGGTGGCTTCGATATAGAGGAAGACCATCCATATGACTATCGTCTGAACACAAATGCCCCTTTCTATTCCAGAAAGCATCATTAACCTGCGAACACAAACAAACGCCGTATGTCATCAAATTCTCAGAACACACTTAGTATTTTACACATAGACAAAGAACCTTGGCAAGCTGCCACCGGGACTTACTGTATCCACACGTATAAACTGGCCAGGAAAAACATACACGCCGTGGGTACAAACATGTACACGAGGATATCAGATGTTATAACCATACTGATGAAAAATACAGTGAAACCCTGAAAAGAAGGATTATGTCAAGTCACGTTTCTCCTAAAGATACCGTACGATTAATAATCTCTGGAAACCAGAAAGATACCCTGCGCATCTAATGATAAGAATAGCATGCCAACAGCTACAAGGGTTATCTCCTGCGTGTGAAATCCATAAGGATGAAGTGCCGCATCACCATCACGCAATCCTTCTTCAGAAAATGAAGGCCCCATTTATCCCAGAAATGCGGACCGTAAACACAGGACATGAGCGGTCCTTTACCAGGGAGTCAAATATTTACTCTGTTATTACACCAAAACCGTACACCACTCAACTACCAATCTAACATTATTGTTTCCAGAAAGATCCAATCAAAGCAATCTACTGGTAAATTCCGCTTGCTCCCAATGAATTTTAAATATCTAATAAAAGCAGCATACGCGTATGAAAAATGCTCAAGATTAAGAAATACTCGCGTCGGTTTCTGACTCTAAACTGATAACTTACTACCTAGTCATCAGTAAGAATCATTAATGATCAAATAATCAAACAACGGTGCAAGAAAATAGCGGAAAACGATGAACGATACAAGAAAATCAAAGGGACAATACGACCGACGATGCGACAGCGCTTTTTTATCAAATGTGTACTAAAGTTGAAATTAATGAAAAATCAGTCGAAATGAAATTCAACTTACGATTCCCTGATATTTATACGCGTCAGCCACACTCTGCAGCATTAGCCAGACCGGCCAAAAGTACTCCAAACGAAATCCAGCAGCAAAATCCAGGGCAACAATAACCATCCAGATTAGTAATAATTTAATCGCCAGGAAGATGCTGTAAATAGAAAAAACCAAATCAACAATTTTGAAACAAATCCTGTCGGATGGATGTCATCAGAATCCCTAATCCCTGCTATAAACATTCAATCCTGCATTCACGACAACGCACGCATTGGCCCGTTTATTCCAGTTCTTCTTGATGTTACTGCCGCGTCCTCGGCTGCGAATCATTTTACCAGCCCCAATGGTCTCCACAACGAAGGAAAAACGTTTAAAACCTGCGAGAACACGAGTCCTTCCACCAACAACCTTTCACAGCAAATATCTGATAAAACCTGTGGAACCTGTCGAAAAACGAAACAAACATAGTTAAACCAACATAACATATATTAGAATTTCAAGAAAATGCGTACGGAGACACGAACCTCATCAGAATCCCAGAATCCAGAAGAAATGGGGTTCTCTCGTCGAAATCACGTTCAAGCAACACAGCAGTGTGACTGTACAGTATTTCAGTGCATTTTCCAGACAGGATCCCACTTTTTATTGGCACCAGCTCCAGTTGCAGTCCGACTCAGTGGTAAAAGGAAGAAAGGAAAAAAATCGATGATTTCCAACACAGGAGAGGGAGAAACACAGATCAGGCGATCGATACTGGCCAGACGAGTTAACGTACACGCACACACACAGCAGCACCAGCAGCTAAAATCCGATAGGATGAACGCGATCTCCGCGCGCGCGCGTGTAATCGAATTGAAACCGTCCAAACTGCATGTTTCAGTCAGGACCGTGCACTTGTCTTCCCACAGGATACAATTGTGAAGGTGTTCATTATTAAATGATTTTTATCCAGAGCGCGCGTGGGTGCTCATTGGTGAATGCAGGTCAAACGCAGCAGGAATGATTTTCGCTGTGTTTGTAATATCGCTGCGCACAGCAGCATCTTACCTGACACCAAGGGAACCATCGCCGTATTTTGATCGTTTGGGATACTTTCGATTCTTCACCAGCTCCGCGTTACGCCGTTTCATTTTAATAAACATGTACACAGATGGAAGAGGAATGATTTTCCCGCTTTTTCAGAAAAGTCAAAACATTAAAAATTATACTAGGATTTGTGTTGTATTCTTTTCCAGTTCTTCACAATAGGCTCAGATGATGTTATGGCAACCTAATACATGAACGCGCGATACTGGGCTTCGCTGTACGAGAAACACACACACAGCAGCAGGCCTTTCAAGTGCAGTACGGACTGTGTAGTGTACTTGAGGTTTCAAGACCTGTGTGAGCGCGTCACACCAAAGAGAAAAGCTGTTATAGACGATGCGTCATCCGGACCACGTGCTCTGTTGGACACACCTCCCGCATGGACATACAGGACAAAAAATCACACCGAAGTTTTGGCATACTGCAAAGACTTTATCAAATTACTAATTTGATAAAAGTGTTTGCAAAATACAAATTAAACAATCCATGTATACTTCCTGCATGGAAAGTCTTTTTTTTAATTTCAGGGGGTGGTAGTTGAGTTACATTAATTGTGGCTTTACACTGAACAGTCGAAAATTGCAAATAGCCGGCACCGCCATTTTACCGGTACTGTTTAAATGCCCAGATCAACTGTGGTCTGGAGCGTGGAGGCTGGAATTCACCGCTGATGGCCAATACAGTACTTACTTAGCTAGCTGTAAAAATTTTATGAACAAATTTTATGTGAGCGTTGTTATACATTTTGAACTTCTTGGTGCGGTCAAACGGTCGCTAATAAGAACGGATTGTGAATATTTTATATTTGCTTGTACACAGTATAATTTTACCATTATTGTGTGGTCACTGGTTATCACCGTGCAACATTTAATTCTGCCGCAAGATTAAGTGCATTGCGGTGTGGTCGATTTAATTAATTTAATAGTTCTGTTGCTCGGTGAACTGATATTGTGATATACTTATTTTGGCCTGTATGTGTAGTTACAGATTAAGCTTACTAATTTGATATGCTACGATGACTTTCACAGCCGGCAAAAAATGAATTTCGAGTACTGCTAGCTAGATATAGTGCAGAAAAAGTTTGTTCGGTAAAAACCGTGATGAGTAACCTATACACCTAACCTACTGCAGACTGACCACCAAGTAGGCAAGTACACACCGCGATATAAGGAACTTTCATTTATTACAGATTCTTTGTTACGGCATTATGTTGAAAAACTGCCGAGCAATACATCGGGCAACAAGTACGCAAGTAATCGCAGAAACCACAGTCGAATAAATTGATCAAATTATTGTCAGCTTATCAGGCTGAAACCAAATTATCGTTATCGTGGTTACAGCAGCAAGATATGCATATAATGCAGATTTTCTAAGATTACGCAAAACATACATTTACGCAGCAAAACGAAACAACAGCAAACTTCGGTATAAATGAAAAGTAGTGTGTCCTTAATGTAACCTGACACATTATACTGACATCAACTAACATTATACATAAAACGAAACTCAACCAAAGGCACAAACGGCATTCATGACCAGATTCAACCTTCTTTTTTGATTTCTTTAACGCTTTCTTATGGAACCGGATGGGTCAACCGGAAAAAGGCACCGTTGACGATTTTATGACGAAATTATAATCAGTTCCCATAAATATCCGTCAGTTTTCTCAAGCCAGTGCGATCCTAGGAGTACACTGTCCGGGATTCAAATCCTCCGTATCCAGGCCGAGTCATCTGCTTTGCATGCTGCTCACTGGAAAGTGCGAAAGTAAATTAAAGTTATCCTAGGAAAATTTCAAACCAACATTTCTGCAACATAACTGGAAACAAAGAGGAAAATGCGTTTTCAAATAGTGGCCATCCGAATTAATGAAAACCCTTTCTTTGAAAATCGGCAATTGATTAATATGATTAAAGGTTACCAAAAGCTCTAACTACACTTGTACTGTCGTAATCAAGAATGCTGATAGTGCGTTAACTTTAAAACCGTCAAACTTTAAAACAACTACAAGATAAAATGATGTTTCTTACCAATAAAGCTGGTCCTCCACGATAAAATGCCCTGTAAGAAAAAGGAAATGTACGCAGCGCAAAGCAACATTACCGCAACAGGTTCCAATGTTAACAATATGACAGACAACTACAGATACAATCATCAAATTTTCCGGTAACCAGCTGCAAGGTACTTGTGCTCTAAGCATGCGAGATATCATAATTTTTAAAAACTTATGTATTATTCCATTAGTTCACAATGAATAAATCAGTTACTCAAAACTTTCAAATTGTACCGAATTTTAAAACTACTTCCTCACTACATTATCGTATTTTTTGCAGCAGTCGCTCTGCGGCAATCTGCACATCTTGTCAGATAACACCGATACCGACAAGGCAAATGTACAGATTATTTGACTTACCAATAGTTTTAAGGGGTATTCCACACCGTGCGCACTTGTAGCACGAGACACACATGGGTTGACCACGAACCCGAACGAAAACTCCTCTGTAATGATCAATACTAGTATATCAAAAGATCAACAAGAAAACTGCCACAACTAATACAGTACTCGTATTACATACTAATTACGACGATGCATTTTCATATGCTCAATGCTTATGACCTTTTCTTACAGTCCAATCGCACACTAGCGCTTTATACTCTTTTACTATTGTACGTACACGATTCCAGACTGGCAAGCAGAGCACTTTGGAACTTGAGTGACGGGTTGTTGATAATGATCCGGCGACATGGTGCTGGGTGCCTGCACCGGGCGGTATCCTCCTGGTGCAGGACTGGTACCACCCGGTCGACCACCGTACGAAGAACCACCGTATCCAGTCGGGCCGGCTTGAGCGGCTGACTGCCCGAAGGAACCGGCAAAATCCCCAAACTGCTCCACCTGCTGAACCGCCTTCATCGTTGGGCTAGGACTAAATTAACAAAGATGCGTTGTTATACAAATGCACAATGCCAATATGGCAATACCACGCTGCAGCAGGAAAGATCACACATCGGCAACATATGACGGAACAGATTCGACAACGTACTCAATACATACACTTATTTTGCAAGTTCTACTCTAACCCTTGGGTACACAGCGGAAACGAGGGACAGCACGTGGATTTACCCTTCACCAAGTACTTAGTGCGGGATAAAATGAACATAGAGGACGAAATTCAAGGTGGAAATCAACTTATCTGGCAGGAACGAAAGAGAAAAGCAGCCCCACTACCCTGCAGTCTGGACATAAGGATAAAGCCCAAACCCGCGGTTTTTTACCGGTAAAAAGTGCTACGATCGCGATAAACATAGTGTCGACTCAACATACATCATACATGTAATACGCACATTCAGATACGCTGATTGCCCCACACGGCCACTCAACAAGAAATACCTCACTAGGAACCGAATGGCAGTAACGAAGGGAGGACGTAAACTGAAAAAGAGCGGAAACAAGGGGCAGAGAAAAAGACAGACCGGATCGAAGGTGACTTTTTCGGGAAGGGGGAAAGCAACGCGGAGTGTTCACGTTCCTTAAAACATATACTTACCCATCGTCTGTTTGGCCTTTTTTGTTTCTGAAAACACTCAAGGTCAAATCCAAGTGTGGCACTGCACAACTGCGGTAAAATTTATACAAATACGCCATACGGCAAATGCGCTCACTGCGCTTCCCCAAACTTTTTCACTTTCCCAAACGCTATGCAGCGAAGTCAAAACTGGAAAGTTCGGAACTCTGATTTGAACAGTGCAGTGCACGTCTATGTTCTGCTATAATATTTGCGACAGCTACGTAAGTAGCACAGTGCGAATAGTACAATACATACATTTTATAATGATTTCCATTTTCTTTATTGCATAATCAATCTATGTCGGTTTCGTATGGTAAAATTTTTATAAACACCAAAGCCGAATTAAATAAATATTTACGTATCTGCTATCCGCTATGATCGCATGCGCATGTGCCTAACTTTTACTAAGACTGCGAGTAAATACGTAAATCAAATATTATTCTGGAACCATAGCTTGAATTTGCAGACTGATACAACAGCAATTAGTATACTACTTAGTAGCACAATACTTTCATAAATGTTATCGAAAAGTAAAACAGAAGTAAGCACACAGAATGTAACATCCGGTACTCTGTAATTCCGTTTAGAATTCGTGTTACAAAAATACTGATCTGGTGAAACGAACACCGAAAGTTCCATATTGTGCAGAATCACTGCAGATGGAGTCATGACCGCGTCAAACATTTTTTACCAACTGCTATCATGACACTTACCGTCCAGCCAGGAGAGCTGTCGACTGCGCATTATACGCATCGCTAGCGTTCTGCGCCGAGTACAGTCCCATGGGTGAATTGTAGGGATTGTGGATAATCGGTGAGGCGTTGTTCAGTGTGCCGGCCAGTGAATTCTCCGGGCCTCCGCCGTATGAACCGCCGCTGCCGAATGGACGAGCACTACGATTATGGCTGCTGCCCACGGGGTTCCAGTCTTGTTTGTTGGCCGCCAGTGAATGCTGCACATACGAATCATTGGAACCACCGTAGTTCTGCTGCGACTGCGCTGGTCCGCCCCATTTGCTCTGAGTGGGGAGCGCGGCGGAGATGGAGGAGGCAGCGTTATTACGTTGGTTCAACGCGTAATTGCCGCTCGACGGCAAATCGGCTCCAGCCGAGCGACCAATTTCCCAGGTTTTTGCGCTTCCGCCTCTAAAGATATACAGCACAAACGTTAATGTACGAGGTGGCAGATTTCTAATTACAAAGTTAGTTTACTTTTGTGTTCTTCCCTTGAAGTAAACTAAAACTATTTAAGCTGTCATATAATTTTTTCGCGACAAGGTTTAGCGGCATACATAATGAAAAATCTGCCAAAATTATACGTACTGAGTCGTGTGTTGGACCTTTGGTCACTTTATGGGTGCGACTAAAGCGCATTATACATATTTCAGATAAGAGAAGCGTGTGTTTACATAACCATCACATTGTTTTGTTTAAAGAATTCAGTCAGTCAAAATTTTAATGCCACTAAGTCTTTTACTCATACACAATTTCTACGTCATGTTGCATGCACCCCGTCTGTGATTTACGACATTAACTACGGCATCGGTGAACCATTTGTCAGTACCAAAACGTCCGGATTTATAAATATCCTCCAGTGAAAGAGCCGTATTTAAATAGATTCGTTAATTCTCCTTTACTCGAATTCCCTATACCCCAGTTATGTAAAAGCATAATTACAAGTGCGCAGACTTCTGTCCCTAATTATTATGGTGATAAAACAACTGTAAACAAGATTACAAGAACACGAAAAAAATGAGTAATTCGAGCTCGAAGTATTGAAACTTTTCCGTTGTGTAGAACTATTGTATTGCATGCACATCCAACTAACTTATTTAACAAATTAACAGCTAACGGAAAACTTTAACACTGGATGTAAACTAAAATCATTTCTGTCCGTACCTTTGAATGGTCAAGACCAGATAATCCATGCACTGACGAATAACCTGTTCAGCTTCCGCGTGTGTCCAGTTCATGGCTGCAAGTTGGCAATTTTCATATAGGATGAAACATAGTTAAAAAGAAGGCCTATATCATCGCTATATTTCTCACATTCTTCAGTTCTTAAAATTACTAAAAATAAAATTTGATATTGTGAACAAGTCCGGTTCGCATTGAGAAACTTAACAAAAATGTAATCATTCAAGTAGCTGTGCAAACTGTCCAAGCAAAATAAATTCTTATGCGTACATTTTCCTAGTTTTCGTTTCACTAACAGAAAATATAACTGTAACAAACTTGCCTGGATTGGGTGGATCGCCAATGGCCGTTATGATGTCACCCGGTTGCAAACCGACCTGAATCAGACGCGCATATCCCGTTTACATCCATGCATATTCAGTTGCATAATAACTGAATCTTGATATTTATCAGATTAGCTGCTTATAATAAACACAATCAAAAACTTATTTCAGTTCAGAGCAAGACGTCATCACCTCTTCCGCCAACGATCCCGGAGTGATCTACACACAAGGACAAAGACCGGTCACTTGAGGCCAAACCCTTATTACACAATCGGCTAACACGATTCAAAATGCCATAATTATATTGCTACAATTATCCCGAACCTTTTCAGTACAATTGAGGCAAAACTAAATTTACTGATAGCTACAAAAAATTCAAAAATTTGATTTCATTATTTATTTAGCTGTTATTTGCTCATGCACTTACCGTTTGAACCGACAGTGGCAAGTTGTTGAAATCCGCTCCACCTGTATGTACATCAGCCGTAAAGCACACAATCAGACGCTGCACTTGACGATCAATTGAAACCACCAACACTGCACACATACCTTGCATACGGAAGCCCCACCGGATGTTGGGGCTATCCCGCTGCATGCGGACGGTCAGTTTGAAGCAGGGATTGGGATTGTAGGCCATCTTATCCGCTGGCTCGTTGATGTCTAGTTTCACACACCACACAATCTATCCGTGCACAGTGTCAAGAGCAGGAGAATGCAGCACTTCAGGACTGAATAGAAAACTGCTTATCTCCACCTTATCGCCGTTGTTGCTGCCTCCGTATCGCTCTTTTTTCCAACCGCAGCTGCCAACCTCTCGCCTCGCCTGTTTGCCGTGTCACAGCCCAAACAGCTCACTGCAACAGCCGAGCCAGTTGGTGCTGCGATTTACCGTAGTGTGTGGTGCGCGCTCGAAAAACCGACAGTCTGGTCTACATCGCGCGTTGACGACGGGATCATATTCTATACACAAGCAGGCAGCTACCATATTCCGTCAAGTACAGTTGCGCCTAATAATACATCTGTAAACTGTTGCGCATATGGATGAACCCATGATGATAAAACACTAGACTTTTTAACCGCGTAAGCAGGAAGTCACAACACAGGCGCCGTTCACGCAGATGATGTCCACATCACGGCGCAGCGCGGCATTTCCTGTCCGCTGCATGCGGCTGCAGCGGCCAGTCCACAATCGCCGCTACAGGGTTTCTGGTTATGCGCTTGTGCATTCCGCACTACGTGAGTCATGGTCCGGGTATTCTGTAGTTTCGCAGGGATGGAGACGATACTTACCAAACTGATATAAATCGTCCTTTGCGTTCCGAAGATCGGACGATGTTCTTCTTAATGAGTGCGATGTGTGCGGCATCGTTCCATAAAAAATTCAGTGACTCACTTTTCCAGATTCTCCGTTTCCGCGATGTGAATCCTCTGCAGCGCTAACTTGACATGATTCTGAATAACACAGTCTACACACAGTTCCATTCTCCAATACGTAATGGTCATTTTTCATTTCCGGTGTATGAACCGCTACGTCGAGTTTAACTCAATCGAGTTTAACTGTGCAATATAAAATTTATAGAATCTTTTTATTTGGACACTCAGAAAGTTTTAAGCACCCAGCATCATTAAAATAAATTTGTTTGAAACTGATAAAAGTTCAAAAATAAACTAGCAATGCAGTAACTGCAACATTAATTCGTAACGTACAATATCTGCACTATTTTTACACTTCCTGTTACTGATAATTAGGGCTACTCTGCATTCCACTAAATTAAAAATAAACTCGCGAGTTCCATTAAACTCACTTCGCATAAGTGATGTTATTTTTTAGCTAATAACGTTATGGAAATATGCTCATTATGCTGCACATTACTGTAACAAACTGATATTTATAAAATAAGTATGCCGTGTTAGGTGTGCTCGTATGACAAAACGTATTTTCATACGAATTCTTTATAACCAGTACCATGCCATAATTCCTGAAAACATCACAACAAAGTGGAACAGTGTACAGACATGATACACCACGGAATACTACTATGTACAAATAAAACTTTGAAAATTGCAAGCAAAAGCACTATACACAGGAATTACCAGGAAGTTTCGAAAGCAAACTAAATACACTCGACTGACTATCAACAAGAAACCACAGATATCGCCATATCGGTAACCCAAATTCTGACTAGATCAAAAAGCAGCGATAACACAGTCACGGGAATTTCCAATGAGAGAAAAATCAGATGATAATTTGGTTGTTGGCCGCCGCATGTCCTGCACAGCGCCAGGTTCTCAAGCCACTCATTACATCATCAACAGCTACAATACCGACTACATACTGCCCATCTGATCGTCGATCTCCATTACAACCACTCCAGTATGGTCAGCCAGTGCCAAATCCGCGCTCTTCGTCGCAATAACCAATGGCGGCTGCGGGGCTTGCAGCAGATGCTCAAAATACTCCACCATTTCATCGTCATGTTGCTGCAGAACGGCCACCACCTCCTCAAAAGTGTCACTGTCGTCCATCAAAAGTTTAATCTCCCCGGGATGCTTTTCGTGATGGACCACTTCCATGCTGGGCTTATAATCCACGGGTTTGTTTTTTGCAAACTCTAGAAAATCATCCGTGGATGGGTCGGCGGTTACCGTCTCCTCAATGGACATGGCGAATGCGAATGTGACACTGCGTGAGTGATGCAAGGTGGCGCCGCCGTGTACATAACAGTGATTCTTATCGGCGGAAATGGACATCTTTACCGATTCCAGATTGCATGCACATTTCAGCCTATTCGTCACATGAGCGAAATCAGCACATAACTGACAAAAACAGGCATTTCTTTTGCGCAGTGATATAACTTACCAGGAACCAGTCCGGTGATTACTGAGAAGTTTGTAAGCGATGCGCTGCGCTACGCCGGAGAACAGCTCAACATAGTATTCCAGCTCCATGGTGCGAGGGAATGGTGTTAACTCGACCAATCTAAAATAAATCAGATCAATAAGAAATGTTTTAGACAAACATCTGTTGGAAAAAATTGCAATTATGTCTGTGTTTTCAGATTATTTCATTTTATTTCATTTCTGTGCAAATAGTTTACCTAAAATGTGTACTGTCACTGGTAGGAAACTACAGATACTATGGAAAGAAGTTCTAACAATCAGTCAAAATAGTTCAAACTAATTTTCTCACCTGACGCAGGTTGTATACATGAACTCCAACGGGAGTACCCAAGGAATGGTCATGTATTGCACCGCACGGATTGCCGGGTGTTGCTTCGAAGCGCAAGCTTCCCGAAAAGCTGCAAATGCAGGTATGTATACAACTGTTGCAATGCAATAGAAATTTTGGTAACTACCAAGGAACCGTCGCTTAAAATGAATCAAATTAACTTGTACTAGATCACGAAAAAACTAACCCAAACGTACCGTCCGACACTAATACAGGTAAACCGGTTTCGTTGAAAGTCTGAACAACGGCATTAGGAGGCTCCACGTCTTGCGGTGGTGCTTCACTCTCTTGCGGGTGTACAGAAACAATAGAATTAATTTCCGGTCCATTCTTTTCGCTACCTCCAACAGGTTCCCTTTCGGGAATCACCGGTTGAGGGGTATCGCTGGGCTTCCGCAATGGAATGCCACAAAGTACTGCAATAAAATTTACTTCAAAATGCAAAGATTCAAATTCGAAATTCCGACTATGGCTATATTTCTGAATAATTGAACTCCTACACACTAAACCTACTACTCCATCAGAATTTAGTAATAAATACTTATACAGCTTTAGTGATAAAGAAAGCTGTAAGCCAATTAAACGAAAGAACTACGGCAAAAACAGAACAATTACGGGCGCACGAGTATTACTCTTTTCTCTAGTATGCAATGCTGAAACTTACAAACATTTTTGATATATCGCAAAGTATCCGCATATCCTTCCCGACAGATCTCACTCAAGGCCTCAGGATGAGGTGGGAATAAAGCTCGGGAAACTCGGTAAATATTCCGAGTATTGACACGAAGACTATGATTGGCGAAATTCATTTCCAGAAATGCGGCTGAGCTATCCGCCGGACAAATATCACTTTCGCCGGAAAACGGTGAAATTGTAACCGTAGCATCATCGAACGTTGGCAAATTATTGGTGATCCCACCATCCCAGTATCGCTGCGAAATTAAACTCGTAAAGAATCGGCGAAATAAGTAGGTAAAAGATACATATGTTCTCGCCACACGACAACTACCAAAGCGATACAATCAGTAAAAAAAATGCAAAGATTCAAAGTCCTTCCGAACCAAGCACCTCGAGCATTCCTGAGCTCTCTGCGACCAATTAGAAAATCTAACGAATGAAACTTATTCCTCCTGAACAATAATGCTTACCGCATCGTCATAATATGGAGGAATCATTCCAGAATAAAAAGGGACAAATGAAGAGCAAATCAGCACCTGCATAACATTAATGCTAAAGACAATCGCCCAATTAAGAAACCGATTTTTGGTATTCATTTGCCCCATACCTGGATCAGATCATCTTTGCTAGCAAATTCGGTCACCATGCGATTTTTCCTATCGTGACATCTGGTCAGCGATATTGATAAGCGTCCGGAACAGATCTTGTGGGCGTTTTCCGGCAGCACTTTCTGCAGGCCATTACGGATGATCTTGACCAAATTGAAGCGTGGACTTAGCGGTCCCACGGGGCTAGCACGTGCTGCTCGGGCGATATTGAGAACATCGGTCGTCGCTTGTCCTGAAAAGAACCCGACACATGAACTTCAACTGTCAAAATGCCAATATCAAAATATTCTATGGCCCATAACCATCGTGATCAGCAGGTGAACAACCCATTCTTTCCACATGCACCCTGCCACTCAGCAAAATTTTCACCTTGAAATTCGAATAGCTTGATGTATTCGTTTATTTACATGCGGTGAAAACTTGACAAAGCACAAAGATACTGCAAATCTCCAAAAATGTCTACAGTCTACAAATTCAACCAACAACGATGAAGAGAACTGACAGTAAACCGGTCGTTTTCTAATTTCTTTCCAAGTTTCCTGTGGCTATGGATGTCCTTCATAAAACATTCGAAGTAGATTATTAAGTACTTATCTGTCTAGGCTGTATAATGTATGCTTGCAAAATAGCTATCGTCTGTAATTAATACTTAGTGTGCAAATTAAGTATGCAAATTAGTGAACTTGTAAATATAAGTATTTAGTTTATCAGTAGTTTATTTGTCATTAAATTTCTTTAAACAATTGCTATCAGATTTTATGAAATTTTCCTTTTTAGTAATTTATTGCGCGCAACAGATGCATATTTTAACTTCAAAATTGAGCACAGTATAGATTTGATGAAGCAGACTGTAAAAGAGTTTGCAGACGATAACAATGCAATCATACCTGCAAACGCACTATGCCAATTTCTAATCGATAAGAAGTTAAGAAAATAAGGTGATGAACATTCAACAAATCCAGCTATCGCTCATGTCATAACAGCTACGAGTATTTCACTATTATGCATGATGCGTGGGAAATGGAATCGGAAAATTCCTCGACGGGACTGACGAGAGCAGCACTTCCCAAATAATTCCATAAACGCTGTCTATTTGCCGACAATCCGCTTGTTCATAAACCATAAATACAAATCTAACCGAGCGTGCTAAGCTATTATTTGCTAGTTTATATACAAAATTCACAGTGATCATGTTGCAGTGTGTTACATCACTGCAGGCAGAAAACCGAGAACATTTTTGATTTAAAAATTTGCAGTCTTGACTCTTGACTGTCAAACTAAAAACCTACAAACCGATACCAAATTTAATCATTCAAATTTTTATTAAGCAGTTTTATCTGCAGAACTAACGATGCAAAATAGCATGTCAAAACAAAATAATACGGCTCCTATCAGGATACTAGGATACTGTGCTATGAAATTTTTGAAAGGCAAGAACAGGGTTGCCAAACTGCTTGAGCAATGGATACGAAACACATTCCCCGATCGGCCCATCCCTCGCATTCTTAGTTAGCACGTTCTTTGTACAATACTTAAATTCCAAAAGATTATAGTTCAACTAAAAAATGTTCAGAGTCAAGACAGCTGTTTATTCAGCCTTCGCTGTTTTACCTAAGCAGACACCACAAAGGTAGCTGGCAGCAGCGATAGCTCCAGCCGAAGCTCCAGCGATCTTCTCCACTTCGAAATATTCCTCAAACTCCCGAAAACAGCTGGCAACACCCACATGGTAGATGCCCAAAAATCCACATCCAGAAAATGACAATGTCACCTTCTTCTTCTGCATCTTCCTATGGAAGTGATAACGCTTCAGAAGGAAAAACGCAGCAAAGCAAAGAACGGACGATGAATCCAGAAGAACTGCAGTGTCAATGAAGTTTAACTTTGACTGCAAACGTGATCTCAATTCAGAAACTGGTATTGTATTACTATATGTCAGTTCAACATGAAAATTCACAAATATTGAATAAAACAAGAAACATCGCACTGCGATTAATTAACAATACGGCAACTTACAAGTGTTTAACAGTTTAATACAACTGGAGCTTCAATGTTAATACAACTGGAGCTTCAAAATAATTTGAGACTAGCGAATTTCTCGGAATACAATAGATTAGTCAAGTTTTCAAAATCGAATTTGGAGGCGGGGACGTAGGCGCGCGAACCACTGCATGTGTTCAGGACGTACAATACGCATAGCTTACGATGACACGGTTTTCTGTTTGGCCGAATGAGTCAACGATTCGAAAGCTGGGCCTTCTGGATGAATTATTAAGGAGTTATAAGCGTGGTTTCCGGTCAGTATGACGAGCTTCTATAAACGTTTCCGACACATTTTATTAACACACCAGGATGATAATCCACACGAAGTGAAATTAGCACAGATGATCTCAGAAAAAAAGCAGATATCTACAAATAGAGCTGAAAACATGTCACGAACGAAGTCCAAAACCTGGAAATGTACCTTCTGCAATTAACGATCAAACCATAAGCAATCGAACGGACACTACGGTACTAAGTATATCTATATCTGTATGTTCTAATGTACATGTACATAATGACTACATATATTTGTACAGGCTGTACGAGTGCATATTATATAGAGTGCATATTACGAGTGCATATTCTATAATTATTATTATTATAATAATAATAATAATATATTATTATTATATTACTATTGTTTTGTTCCGAAAGGTTGTTATTCACATGCCGAAATATTTTCTGTATATTCTGTTATACAGCGTGTATCTACAGTTATGATAACTACGCACGTGCGCACGATGCGCACGATAAATTACTCTATCTGGCATAGTAAAAACACCTGATTTTAATAATTCAGTTCAAATATTTTTGAAGTATTTGGTTTTGGTTCTACGTTTGGTGGTTTTGGTTTAAAGTATTTGGTTTTGGGTTTGGTTTGGTGTTGGAAGATTACAATATTACTTTGTTGCGGCGTGATTTAACCTTTCAAATGCATTTACGCTTTTGCACGTGCAGAGTGGTAGTCCGAGTGCCGACAGCCGCAGAATTCAAGACTCCGAATTACTCCTTATAACAATATTATTAATGCGTTTTTTCCCCGATCCTGAAGAAATTATAACATTGTAAAAATTAAAAACTTTTAAATTTCAGATCATGCAGCTAATGGTAAAGGAGCACTAGCGCATAAAAAAAGCTGCTGAAGCGGAAGTGCAATTATACAACCGTAAATAATCTTTACTCGTAGTCCTATTACTGCAGCGTGAAATCGTGTCACGTTACATGCGGTTACAGTATCTGCAGATCCATGAATACTATAGCTAGCTAGCGGCTGCCAAAACTTACACCGGTGAGAGATTCCCAGAACTGATTCCACGTTAATTTATCACCAAGGTTGTTCGCTAACATAATTACACCAATACACAAGTAATGCAAGGTGTTATAGTTGGTAATTTAGGAAGTATGGAGCTGGAAGTAGGTGAAGCTCACGTGGATTTGTTGGCTCGATTAACACACAAATTGCGGAAACTTTCTTGTTACTTGTATAACTTTACTATAGTACTTATCTCGATTTAAATTAAGGCGTGTTGGCGTGCTTGCTTCCCTGGTATATTATAGTGCGAGAGTATGTATGAATGCCAATACCCGTTGTATAATTATGCGTTTGAATAAGTATCTGTAATGCAAAAAATTTTATTTTTACACATTTTTTTGCTGTTCATATTGAAAATCATATAGTTCAAAATTCAGAGACCTACTCCAGAGTTTTCAAAGCCTACTCGTATAATTTTGTATCTTATAGGGCGTTCATAGAGCTTCCTGTTATAGCTAATGAAATGATATTGTTACCTGGGGGTTTAATCATTATATATAATTATTATACATGTATGGTTAATTGATACAGCCAGGTTGACCTTTCTCTCCGCACCAGCAAATAATCAGCGTTGTCTAATAATAATTTCTTATGAGAATAATTCATTCTTCTCACTGGGAGCAGAGAATACAGCGTGACATTGAATTAATTATAGCACTTACGTACGTTACTAAAACGATGATTTTAGAAATTTTCGGGAGCCGCACTTAAAATATGAACGCTAAGTTAGCGAGTTTCCAAAATTTTACTTCTTGGCACATACATAATAATTTTACTTCTTGGCACATTGCATTCTACGAGTAGCAACTTTAAATATAAATAACCAATGATTTACGTTAGAGTTAAGAGTGTACAATACAATACACAGTACAATGCATGCCATTTGCACTTTTGCAGTAACCCAGAGGAAGCGGTACTCTATAATACTGTATAAATTATTGTAAGTAATTATACCAAACAATACGAAATTTACAGACTAGAATAGCTTGCTAAATAAGACGAAACGAAAAAGCGCCTCAACGTCTGCCCATCTCTGTGTAACGGAAGTGAGAAAATTATAATTAACTGTAAAAAGGTACTTTATTGTTTAGCCCTATCGACAGAAGATTACTACATCCAATACATTGTACGATGCAACAACACATTCATAAGAATAAGTCGTTTCCCTTAGGACACAGATGATGTATTCTTCAAGTTAAAAGAAATCGCTTCGGTTGCAGGAAGTCAACATGTTCTTTCGCCATTTTTCAGCATGACCGGAAGTATTCAATTTTTTTTGCTTTCATAAGAGCTGCATGCTGTTAAGGACCTGAAGCATATAGTGTAGTAACTAGTAAGTATTGTAGAAATGTTCGAAGCTTCGCTAAATCCTCGAAATTAACGTGAAGTACTAGACCGTTATCATTACGCTTGGGATAACAGTTATCCCGATGCTCGCGAAGGCCGCAGGCGGAAGCGCCACATACACGCTGGACGTGTACCGGCGCTTGCTGCTGTATCTCGTATAACGTACGGTGGCGCGCTTGCTCGCCGCTCACGGTGCTACTGCTCCGTGAGTGCGTGCAATTGATTCGCTCGGATGATTCTGCGTATGGCGTTCGTAGGCTCATTTGCATCGCGTCATAGTTCATAGGCAGTTTAGCAGCCCAGGAAGTTTTAGCCTGATCGATTGATTTTCCTTCCACCACCGCAAACCAGAGAAACGCGAAGACGTGTGTGTGTGACTGTGTGTACGTAGTGTAATACGGGCTGTAATAACGCAAGGGCCGCGTTGTATCCCGTTTGGCCGCATTTGATCCACCCCGCGAGATTTCGGTCCATGCCAGCAGCTGCCTGAGTATGTTGGACTGATCCATACCGCTGCATCAGGGAGATGGGGATTCGCATGCGACACAATCTGTTGTAACCAGAGAATAACCAGCGACAACCCAAGGAATCGGCACATTGGTGAATTGCTCAGCCCCACTCACGGCATTTTGCGCTTTACAACCTGTTCTGCGAAACTTCACTGCCCCGCGTTGACACTCGCGGAACAGAACGTCCCTTCGCCAGAATCTCTCCTGCATCCTCATCGGTCGGGAATTATTGGGGGTTCCAGTGCAGGGATCAACGCCGCACATTCCTGATTGCGGATTCGGATCGCCGTGCGATTTGTCTCCCTGCGCCCAGTCTGCAACGTGCATTGTGAAACGGTTTGACAGCATTTTATCCCCCAATGTTCCTGTATATTCTCAGCAATAATCAGCCAACCGACCGGATTGTTGTTTCTGTGCCGGGAAAATAGAGAGACAGAATTTTCCTTCATTTAATTTTATTCGCATCGTCATTGTTGCATAAAACGATTTGGCAGGCATGGCGGAAAACCTGTGTGGGGGGTAGGAAAATTTGACTTGCAATTGTGTGTGCGACAAGTCGTCGGACAGACTATCACGTGGATGTTTCACAGCATTTGGCCATTGTTGCTGTACACATCCTTATTCTGACTTTTGACGCATATCTGTTTATTGTGAATGCTCAATTAGACGTGCCGATTTACTGTCATAATTGATAATTCATGGTATCCGTGCACTGTGTAGTGCTTTCTATTTGAGAATCATTTTTCCGTGGCTCCAAAACGATGGCTGGCCGATCGACAGAATAATTATAATGGTGTACGTGGAATAAATCCGCGCGACACTCTCGGTGTGCCGTTTAATCTCCGGGAAATTACGTTTTGATTTTCTTCACGTGTCGGTGTGTGTCTGCGGATATACATTTATTATCTCCTTTACGTCGGATCTCATGGGGAAACGCAATAGCAAGCTCAAAACGGAAAGTATCCAGGAATTAGCCGAGAAGACGCACTGTAAGTGAAGCAACACATAATAGGCGTATTTGACAGAAAGAATGACAGGGGAGATTTGTTTAGAAGAAATTGTCCCCGTATTCTCTAATGTTACACAATACGGGAATAGACTTGATTGTGATGATTGCCGACATTTATGGATAGCGCGCGGGCAGGACGGGATGCAGTTGCTGCTGCTATATTATTGATGAGCGTTTTTCACCTGGTTAAATGTTGAACACCACGGGATCGACCGCGCGGGACGCGCTGCCGTTTTTTTACGATGAATGCCGATGAATCGTGTGATAGTCATAAATTGTGGTAACTCATTCATGGCGGTGCGTTTGTGGAGGATTAGTCAGGAGCAGCTTAGGTTTTTAATGATTTTCTCGACTGTAAACCAAACAGCATAAACCGTAAAAATAAATTATCAACAAAATTTGCTTTCGGCATTGGACCAGGTTGATTTCTGCAAGTAAACAAGCAATTCTGCAACAGTTTCGGGAACTCGGTGTGAAAATTTGTGAATTATTTAATTTTGATTTTCTTCGTCCGCATTTTCACCGGTTAAAATTATGTTCTTGTTCACTTGTAGATGATGTTAGTCTAGGCATAATTTGGCGTTTTTAATGAGTTGAAAAAATAGGTACGCCCCCGTTTTTGCAGGACCGATGTGGTTGTTTTTAGCATAAATCTGCAGGACCTGGAAATACATTTGCAGCTTGCAGATTCCCTGGGCGGCGCGTAATAAGGAGTCTGATAAAGACAAATTATTGCCAGAGAGAGTAATCGTGTTTCTCAGATTGTTGCGCTCACAGCACGTTGTAAACTTGTTTCGTATCCCTTCCCGGCATCGAATGGGAAAATATATTCCTGATATTATTAATGAAGTGCTCAGGCTTAATTCTCGCCTTGAAAACATACAAGGCGATGATGTCATTAATCACGGCAAATTTTCTGCATGTCGTCTTGATCTTTATGCCCCAGTAAGAAGTGGTGAAACTTTAACGTCGCCTCTTGGCATTTTGGGCTATTGATGGTTTTATCACGAACTCTGCGCCGCGGAATAAGCGTCGTGCTGTTCTTCGGAGTTTAGCCAGAGAGTGTTTCACTTAAAGCAGCCGCAATTGCATTCCTCTTGTGCAATGGAGAAAAAACATGTTCGCATCTTAGCGGGGAAAAAAGTGCTGTTAATATGTTCTCTTTGGCTCGTGTCTTCTTATGTATGCTGGCACTAACGGAATGTGTGTATATATTGCAGTTACGGAAAAGGAGCTACGGCAATGGTAAGTGACACGGAGGTGCCGGATGTATTCCTCATTTTTTTGACCCCGGACTACAGCAGCAAAATAGTTAATAGAGAATGCGGAAAAATGCCAAGTAAATGAAGTAATGCCTGCAATCCGATCGATGTCATTTAATCGGTTGTTCGGACTGTAAGATGGATGACATTCGCGTTGCGGTGTATATACGCGCATATTCTATGCGGCGGGATAGGAGTGGCACTGGCACCCACTGCAGTGCTCTGATCAATTTTATCAGCGGTTCATCTACAAGGGAAAAAATTCCGGATGCTGTTAAATGTCGCGATTTTGCTAGCCAATTGGACGACAACTTCAGGAAATGATTTATTTGGTTTTGCTTGAGAGAGACGTATTATAAACGAATGTTTTCATTTAGCCGGTTGATTTTGTCCTTTTTGATTTTAATTCTGCGATACTGAAATGTGTCTTGTAAAGATTTAGGTGAAACTTAAAACAGAAGTTTTATTTGAACTTTGTAATCGTTATATAGCAGCGGTCATTTTTTTAATATATGAATTAAATCATAGCTATATATTTTTGAATTGCTTAATTTTTCGATATCCTTTTTCAGATTGTTTGCAAAGTACCATTGTCATCTTTGGTTAATAGTGGATAAATAACGGTTGTAACTTGCGTAACAACATTCGATTTGATGTGCGTAATTGGACATTTTATAAGACTAATTTACCAAGCTAGAAAAGTTGAAAAAGATTTTCTGGTTTCCGTGGATCTTCCGTTACGTTGAGTCTGAAGTGTCAAATTTATACAAGTACGCACACACATACAGTAGCCGCACAAGTTATGTAATGTAATAACAGCCGGTTGTTAACGCTCTTTGAGATGCACAATCTCTCGCCTGGTAAGAGGTGACGGTTTGTTAATAAAAGTGCAGGTTCAACCGGAAGAAATTAGTATCATTATTGGTACGAAATCCTGTGCGTGGTATGGTGTCAGTGGGTGTTTTTGTGCTAGTTGTAAATGTGATGTGTCTGTCCGTGATTGAATCGGATTGCAACGTGAGCAGCATGCTTGTACAGCCGGGGTTGCCGGTTCCTGCGCCCGGCGAACGCGCGCACTTGCATATACGGTTTCTTCCCAGAGACGGGCGCAGGGCGACGGATAGCGAGGCATGCTCGTGGATAGCGCAGTACTCTAATCCTGTCGAGCGTGCTAGACAACTCAAAGCGCCGATAGCGGATTGTATGGCAGCCGCAGCGTGTACGGAAGCGTTCCGTTAGGAATTTCGGGTGTTAATTTAGCTGCACATACCGTAGTCATAATGTCAATTCATTTTTGAATGCTTGGCATCCAGCTTCCAGTCAAGGTCTCGAGAAAGTGTATTAATAGACAAAAGTCCGATCTCTCAACGCGCACTGGCGATTCGGACACGACGTCATTAGAATTTAAAACAGCTCGAAAATGTGTTGGAAAATTGTGACTAATATAATCAGCGGTGTTTGATCAGGTTACCAACCTTAACCGCCTGCTGACATGAAACGATAAAATATTTTTTTGATCATATTTATGGTGGGATAAATTGTATCATGCTGCAAAATCATAGTTATCAGTAAAACAATTATTTGAAAATTAATCATGGGTCACAGTACGCATTAAGAATTCGTTATTTTTTCTCTTAAAATTTAAAACCATTGAAGTAAGCCGCACGTAGAAAAACTTTTTTTTGAAACTTCGTCATTAAGGCAGTTCTCCAGCTTTTTCCTCTTTTGAACTGATTTTATTCACACCGCACGCTTGTAAAATGAGTAATACTGCACCCAGTGCCACACCGCTGCGGTTTGACTCTGGGGTGTAATGAAAATTTAAAATCGTGGGGGTGATTAAGTGCCACCGGAAGTCAGGAACCGAGTGAATTTGAACAAATATACAACAAAAGGACTGCCACACCCGTGTGCCCACAGCACCTGAATTCGGTGGCTTAATTAAATATTTCCCGATCAATGCTGCCCAATCAACCAGTTTTGAATGCCGTGTTAATGACCCTCACCATTTTAAATGACGTTGGATGTGCTGAATATTTCATTGGAAATTCTTATCTTATTGAACGTTTACATATTCTTCGATACGTTTGGCCGTACTTAATCCATAAGTGAATTTTTTTATGCTGCTTGTAGTTTGATCGTTTTGAAGTTTCGTGGTACCTAGAAATTTTTTCTTCACTCACTATAAAATATGGTTTATTACGATTTGGTTATTACAGAATGCGATCGTTGTATAATGAAATTGCCTTTTTTCAGGCACAAATGCTTCATAAAGGATTGTCCAGAAGGAGCGTTATCGAAAGAGGTGAGCGAAAAATTGTGAAAGCTTTTCCATGCACCCCTCATAAAATGATGTTCCTGCAATCGTTTCTTTAAAATGTGTGGTAGTAAGTATGTAGCTAATGTTATCTTTTTTAATAAATTGCTGGAGAAGTTGTAATATTTTTTAATAACCGGCAAGTTGTAAAAATTGATAGTTGATAACCTTTATTTTCTGTCTTCAAGAATTTATGGACATTATGGACATTCGTTGTTTTCTGCAGCTTTAAAATGGGTGTTTTGCATCCTGGTATACCATTTGTGTGTTTCGAATCTTTGCCAAACAGTTGAAGTATTTGATTATTTTAGAGATTTTAGTAGTTTTTCGGTATCGGGAAAAGAATTTCCTTTTCTTATACGGTATCGATTATGCAGCGGAGCGATGAGTGACTTTCGTGCAGATTTAACTGTTTACCAGAAAACATCAAGTCGACCATGTCCTGTGTGCATGCACAGCCATGACGATTGGGTGTGCGTAGTGTGCGTATGTGCGTAGATACGGCGCTGCAGCAGTTTTTCCAGCTGTATTCTTTCGCATCAGTCCCTCTTCTTTGGGATATCAAATATTGATTTTAATTGACATTTAGAATTGCTAGTCTATTTCTCTGCTAAGCAATTTCTCCAGCGGCGACATTGAAAAATTTGTTCTCATACTTGTGTCACGCCGATTTTCGAGCTATTGAATAGTTATTGCAGTACGCCGGTCTGCATTTGAGGAGAATAGTGGTTGGGAGCGGGGCCCGCTCACACGAGCCCGATTGGGCCCGGGAAACCTATTAGGACTTAAGGCGCCGATCGATGCGGAATCCCTCAATCATTATGTAACAGTTTTGTACCGATGGTTAGACCCGAATCTTCCCATGTGAGAAGGGATAAAATATTTTATATGTCAGAACAGATAATAGTTATCGTCCTGATGATGCCTCGGATTATGATAATCATTTTTAAAAATTGAAAAGAAGTATTTGAAAAAACTCCAATTTGAAAATTTGAAAGACAGTTTTGGATACGCGTGGTTGTGGAAAAAATGCTGTATAGTATAATTTATTGGGCGTGTCGATTTAATTTGGCCATATATACAGATTAGGTATCTGAATGTAATACGTACAGGAGTCTAGATGAAGAATAACAGAGCGCAGAAGTATGGAACTAAATATAGAATTTGAAAATTAAACTGGGATGAAAAACTACCGCTAGGAAAACAGAGGAGGGGAAAATTTGGAAATGTAAATACTCGTATTACCACCGGCACATGTGCGGTTAAGTAGAGCAATATTTCCAGTTGAATCGATGCATTTTTGATAGCGTAGTACCATGCTGTTGACGTCAATGTTCTGGCATTAACTCGGGTCTAACGAAATTTGATGAGGGGTGGGTTAGAAGAGTCTGGGATGCGACTGCAGGCTCGCGCAAGTGCGAGCTAGCGTAAATTATACTAGTAGCGTAAATCCCGGAGATAAAAATGATTTGATTTGATTAAGCAAACGTGTTTCTGCTTGTCAAATGTTATAAATGCCTTGAAGGATCAGCTGTATCTATGCAGCTAAATACATAGGCCGGGTTTTTTCTCCCTTCTAAATACAGTACGAGTGCATATGTATAACGGGAATCAATGCGGATTCTGTCCGGTGATGCTTGTCGTAGGCGAAAAAAACTACACACGAACATCAGCTTTAAGAACATGTTTTGTCTCCATTTCGTCACGCACAACATGATTGATGGATGGTTACGATCGTGAGTTGTTGGGTAGTAAAATTAGCCAATCCTTGGTTGCACTCCCTATTTCCTGGTGGCTTAAAAGGGGAAAATTAGGTTTAATGCATTCATGAAGCCATCAACCGAAGGAACAAAAACGCCAACTGTAAACGAAGTACATTATGCAGAAACGACTTGGCATTGTTCATTATTGTATTCTACCAATTTGTCTACTGTCGCTGGAGGAGAAAATCAAATAGTCGCCAGACATTCGCATTGTATTGTCGCGTAATAAAGACGGCTGTGGGTTCTAACTTGAATCCATTAAACTTATGTCGGGTCATTGGCACAGAGTTTTGTAAATTTATTCACTGTTTTTATGAAATTTAACAAGTAAAATACAAATAGCGTATATGATTAATTTGCCTGTGTGATTTATAAATGATAGTTATCAGATCCTGTTTTGACGTATTTTTTAACGTATTATGTGTTCCAGGCATTTCTAAGGATTTACGGCGAGTTTTTCCCGAACGGTGGAGATCCAACGAAATTCGGGAATTTCCTTTTTAAAGTTTTTGACCAGAATAAGGTTGGTGGTTGCGCATGTACCAGTGTGGTATTTTTAGCAGTTTTTGCACTCACTCTCGACCTTTCCTATATGATCGAGAGAAGGAAAATATTTTTGAATCTCTTGTCTTTATCCTGCCGTGGATAAGTTCTTTTAAAAATTGCAGAATTATTCGCATTCAGCACTCGTTCTGAATGTATGGTTAAATTATTCCGTAATAATGTGGATTTTTCGTAGGATGGCCTGATCCAGTTCCACGAGTTCATCCAAGCCCTTTCCATTACCTCCAGAGGGAATCTGGATGAGAAACTTAATTGTAAGTTGGTCGTTGGGGAGTCGTGAGAGTGCAAAGCGAAAAGCGAGCAGCAGTGTTTTACACTGGGAGTAATTATCGCTTTTGCGCTATTTATGGAACCGGATGTTATTTTTACTGCCGTGTGTGTCTCGTTCAGGGTTAATGCTTTCCCGAAACGCATCATATATGAATAATAGTATTATTGTTAAGAAAAAACCAAGAATGTAACTTGATACGGATTTTTTTATTCATTGTGAAAATGTGTTGATTAATGGAGGAAAAAAGTGACGATTGTACTAGACCACAGGAGACCACTAAAAGAACCGTTAATTTCCCATTAATTACTGTTCCGTTCCACGGTTGATTGTCGGTTGGCTACAATAAAACTGGTGACTCATTGCGAGGGAAAATGTTAAATAGCGTGAAGCGGTTGAAAAAGCATTCGAGCTTGTTCCCGTTCGTTGATTATTTTTTTCGCTTGAATCGGCATACGTCTGAAGTGTACGTTAGCGTGAGAAGAGGAGATGACTGTGTGTGTATGTGTATTTGCAGGGGCCTTTCGATTATACGATATTGATGATGATGGTTACATAACGCGGGATGAGATGCTGCACATTATAGCGGCAATCTACGGGATGGTGGGCAAGACCGAGGATTCCGAAGGGCGCAGTCCGGAGCGGCGGGTCGATCGAATATTTCAGATTATGGATAAGGTTAGTGTTGCAGCGACGCTCCGTTAAGGTTGTCAGCATTTTGCCGTGGCATTAATAGTGCAACGATATTGAGCTTTTAATGTAAGTGATTTTGTTCGATTATCTATTTTTAATAATTTGTAAGGACTCTTCGCGCGTTCGCATCTTATTGAACGCGTTTATAAAAGGCGGGTATTAGATCGACATAAGAACTGGGATCAGTTACAGGTGCCAAAAAAAGATTAACAGCTTCGATAAGAATAGACACTAAGGTTCTGAACTGCCCCATTAAATACGCTGAAGTTTTAAATTCATGTATTAATGGAGGAAATATTGCCTTTATTTTCTGAATTAGCTTTTTTCGGTTTTATGTGGTATTGTTCATAAAGCTGCGTAGAGGTGACGCTTTTACATTGGGAGTTTTCAGGGATTAATTTTCAATGGGGTGAATCGTTTTTTCCGGTTTTTGGAATCGGTTATCTTTAAGCCATATCTGAAGCGCATCTGTTAGACAGAGTGTCATTAAAGTGCAGCTTGTGGATAAGACGGATAAGTGGAATTGGCAGAAATTGAAGTTCTGTTGTCTTAGCCCGATCGATGACAATTTCTCTGTGGATATAAGGGCAACAGTGCATAAGAAAGGCGCGCGCGCGCGGGGGAGAGAAGGTTCTTTTTGCGTTAATATGTGTGTTCACTCTGTCGCCGTTCTCTGGCGCTGGCGCGCTCGTTCCCTCCAAACTACTGCATATAATCGGCATACAACTGGGCTCCCGCGACCGCGTTTGCATACCCGCTCTGGCACCGGAAGTGCCTGGTCGGTATTGTCTTTCTGGAGCGGATTAGGGAATAGTACCGGGAAAGCAATCACGAGTTGATGATCGATATGATTGGGATTTGTGGTTGCTTAATGATTTGCTGTGCGCTCGGTGCTGAGGAAGCCACGTGATACCCATTAACGAAGCTGTGTTCGACTGAAATAACGGAAGAGTGACCTAGGAATTTCTCGAATGGGTTTTTTTTTTGTTTCCGAGGTGCTTTTCATTAAAATTTCTTTTGGTTTTCCAAAAGTTTTTTCTTTTGAAAATTTTTTTTAAATTTTAGTGTTTTCAGATCATACCGCAAAAGATTATGAGTTTACTCAGCTTTACTGAAAAGTATAAAGTAAGGTTCGTAGGTTGTTACAGTTTTTTTCTTTTTCGAAACTTCGAATCTCATGAGAAGTTTCGACGTAGTGATGTGAAGGATCCCGGTTGAAGTGCTGTAAGGATTTTTAGATTAGATTATTTTTAGTAATGCTTGTCCACATTATAAACCCGTTTGTTCCGCTTAATTTGTGAGGATTATGATGTAGCTGCATGTGTGTTTTCTCCCTGGAATCACACCAGCTCCTCTAGCAGTGTGCAACCACGCCGGCTGTTGGCCTTGATGAGTACTATGCGCAGGAAGTGGAAAGCAGTGCGTTGGTGGAGAGACATTTTAATCAGAAATATCAGCAGTGTCCCGCGTGCTGCTACTGCTATACTGCACAACATGGTAGACACCGAGTGGTAGAAAGTAGAAACGTTATGCAATCAGTGTGGGGTGCCCGCGCGCGCACTCGGGATTGGATGACAGTATGTTTCTCGGGTTGCCAAGTTAGCTGCGAGACATGCTGGAAACGGAATATGCGCGCCGGCGCTCTCGCTCTCTCTGTCCCGGGAAAAACGCGGTCTGGAGGAAAATACGCGTAAGCAGTTGAAAGCCTAAAAATAGCCCGGTGCACATTCTAACCGAATTGCCAGTGAGATGCCCTGCTGAGAGAGTACATTTGCAATGCCGAGTGTCGCGCGGGTGTACGTGTGTGTGTGTGTGTGTGGTGCATACTTGGGAAAACAGAGTACAATCGATGGGCCTGTGTGGCTTCCCTGTTGTGCGCGGCGATTAGGTTAAGTGGAGTCCGAGCACGCGCGCGCACCGGCAGGGAAAAGGCGCCTTGGTGTGGCGAATGCCCCGGCGTGTATATGCTAACTGCTAGGCAGACAAATTACCCGTAATTCTCTATGCGCAGCTGGGTCTCTCCGCTGGGATTGCCCCGGCTTGATTTTTCGATTGCGGCTCTTGTTTTTCGCGCCTCACTCGTTAGCAGTGCCGGGCCCGAACCCGGCTTTTGTACGGTATGGGATGGGCACGTGGGAGAGAATGGTCGGGGCCGAATGGCGGCATAATCCATATTTAAAGCTGGCCGGAGACATTATGATGATCGCTGCGCCGATGAGCGGGCATTTGGCGTCCGCTGAGAATGGTCGAGAGATGATTAATACCGTAAACCCAGGGCGCTGCGTACAGCGATCGATGGGTGTTAATAATGTTGTGAGCGATAGGGTTTTTGAAAGGTTTATCATTGTTCTAATGACGTAAAATCGTTCGAGTGCAGCTCGTAATTATATACAGTGCAAATAACAGTGTTCCTATTTTTACCGGTTGTCACTTTGTCGCAATAAATTTACATGACGGAGTAGTTATCGGTATGCGATAGCACAAGTACACCGACCCTTATTGTGTCCACCGAATTGATATGTTTTTATCGTAAAGGTCACCGCAGGTTATGCGCATAGAATGTGCCAAGTATATACTTCGAATAAATCCATATAATTATGCAAACTAAAAAATGTATTTCTTTTTCCATAGAATCACGATGATAAATTAAGTATGGAAGAGTTTCGAGAAGGAACGAAATCGGATCCCGCCATATTATCAGCCTTATCCTTTTACGATGGCATTGTTTGACCGGTTTTTGGGGTTGATGATGTGCCGTGCGGATACAACGCCGCCATGTTCCCGCACACAGTCCTCACTATCCCAAAAATGATTTGCCGCTGTCCAGACAGAGTGAAGTAGAAAGAGAAAGACAGAGACCGAAAAATGATGATTTTTTCCTAATGTGCTACGTCGACAACCACTCCCGAGTCCCAAACTGCCATTTCTCCGCGCTGCTTTTTTGATTGTCTTTGTAATCCCTGAGAAAAATTTCCCCTCGGTCCAAATACTGGGCACGTCATGCCACGGGATATGATGATGATTAAAAATTTGGGGTTTTTTTTCGTCTTCGACTGATGGACGGAAGCCAGAGATTTCCTCCAGTTAATCGATGACGGAACTCTCGCACGGGAAATGAATAACCGATACTGTTGCATGCATTGCGCAGTATTTTGCAATGTGATTGGGACGCTGCTGGGTGTTTTGCGACCGTTGGTACTACCCCGCCAGTGCAAGTCTGGTCCTTGTGATTTGTAGCCAATAGTTATTAATTTTTGTTTTTCTCGGAACAGAATAACCCGTAACCCAGAAAAATACCGGGGAAGATTTTGTTTTTGGGGGGAAAATGAATCCCGTTAATTTTGCTGTTTTGATTTCGCTGGGTGCTGGTTTTGTGTTTTTCCCGGGTGGGCGATCGGGGATGGGATAGTAGTTCTGCCTATAGATTTTACCGCTTTATTAAATCTTTCTCACACCCGTTTTGTTCCCTCTTCGATTTGTTTTTTCTCTCTCTCTCTGAAAAAATCGTGCTCGTATTTTCGTTTCAGTTTTTGGAAGAAATCCCTTGTTTCCTGATTTTGTTTTACTCTCCTTTTTTGAATCTGTTTTGAATAACGTGGAGTCTCTCTGTGTATGTTTGGAATCTGGAAAGCCAGTCTTGCTAATAGCGAAGCAGAGAATGGAGCCTTTCGTGAGTGGGGACGCGGGTGTTTCCAAAGAGAAGATGGAAGGGGGCGAAATTGAGTTGCATGTGAAATGTTTCTGTTTTGAGTGCGGATAATGAGTGTTCCTTCTTTTTTTTTACCTCAGTGCTTTCTCAAATGAATAATTATTAACGGGGGAAAAATAACTGTATGTTTATGGACCATTTCTTTCTCCTTATAGGCAGGAAGATGTGGCCCAATTTATCGAATCTCTCTTTCGATGTAATATTTTTGGTTTCGCTGATAATTATTTGACTTTGGCTTCTGTGTTCTCCTCTTAAACTGCAATTACTGTAGTATCGATAAGTGAGATTAAGAAAAGATATAACTGGATCGTTCTGCGTATTTCCGTTTAGACACAACGCTGCGGTATGGAAAAATTGTAAATCGTTTTCGTTTCCGTATGCTGTAGTACCGCGATGCGATTTATTGCACACATCAACTTCCAGTTTTCCACAGACCAACACAGTAGAACATATTGACAGCAAAAACCAGCACGACAAAGTTCCATTTAAAAACGTTAAAATAATTAAAAGTTATGAGATCAATGGCATTTTAGGGATTTCTACTAAAACTAACAGCAGTTCTGTATTTCCTGATGTCGTTCAACCAATCAAGCAAACAGCCAATTACGAGTTATTTATCCCCGGTAGAATATTTTGCATAATTAAAAGCGGTAGTTGAGCAAACGTAATTACATCATAATTAAAGGTCAAACGATTGTTATAAGCTGTGCAGGCCAAATTGAAGCGGATTGTTAACACTGGCCCTCGAACATGTACCATGCCTTTGGCTTTTCCCGAATTCCGGAACTTTGTCATGTTTTCTTTCCGTTAACTGTTTTCACCGCGGTCCGAGGTAAACCCTCGAACAAAAGGAAACCGGCCGATCTCTCAATCGTGTCAGGCGGCACCTGGAAAGCCTGCAAAAATAATGATCGTAAGAAAATAAAAATGCTCGGTTATTTTCATAATAGCAATAATAGAATTCATCCTGTAATTCCAGATGTCACTGCTGTTACATTATTTTCAGTATGCTCACTTGGAGGGGAATCTTGTCGTCAATGGCCTTATTTGGCATAACGTACGTTTCCAAGTGGTATTCACCGGACGGTGACTGACACAGAAGCGCCTGTGAAATGATCGACTTTATTAGCGGCTAATTATCAGCCAAACACAAGACGAAAAACATCAGAAACCAAGAACATATATAATAAAATTTAAAATAAAAAACATAACAAATGAAACAAACACAAACAATTCTGAGCATTAGTTTGAATCGACAAAGCAATTGCACTGGTTTTCGAAGTTTTTGGATGCAGTTCTAATGTGACACCACACTGCACTATACTGGTTGCAAAATTTTGTATTGTCACCTGTGTAAGTAATTATGACGTGTATCTGTACTTGGCATCATAATTAACCCCATACCTCGAACGACAAACAGACTTATTCTAATGTGATCGAGAAAGAACTACGTATGTACACTAATAATTAACTGAAGCGTTTGAGTAATTTATAGTCAACTTTATTGTGGGTAGGGACTTTTAAAACAAAGCTAGCCATGTATATGCTAATACTTACTTGCATAACCGAATTTAATTTCTGAGCAGAAGTTTTTGGTACCTTGAAAAAATGTGTAGGAACAGCGACGTTACTCATTCCGATAACTTGATATTTTACGTAAGTCTTCCCATCTTCCAGCATACTGGGCAAATACAGTGGTCCAGTGAGGACGTAGACATTGCTGCAACTCTTCGTCTTGAAACGAGCATACTGTTCCAGTTTGTTCCAAGCGTCTACAATACATGCACAACATCAACAAAAATCCAGACATGCATTAAACGAATTACTATCAAATTGAACTTCAGTGAAACTGAACATGAATAGAACCTACCGCGATTAAATCCAACTCCAACCTGAAACATAGAAGAAAAAAGGTTACGCAGAGTTAACGAAACTCACTCGCGATAATATACGCGAAATGAAACCTCTAAAATCAAATTTTACCTGTGGAGATATATTGCTTAAATAAAACGTTTCATCCATAGATTCCTGATTTATCCAATGATTGCCGGCAGCAGCCAAGTGTCCGCGGTCAAAACCACTGCGAAAGTAATCCTCGTTCGTCGAACGAAAATACGGATGTATGCTCCTGAAAACATTTATTACAATCAAGATCAAATAAAAACAACAGCAACTTCAATAATCCAGAATTTTGTATGTAACAAAAACACAGCTAATATAAATGTTGGTCGATCAACAAAAAATGCATACATTATCGAAAACAATAAATTTCCCAATATAAACGACTGTAATACGTTATACTGTAAAGAGTAAAACTATTCAAAACCCAATCACAACGTACGGATCATCTTTAAAATCGCATCCACTTCGCGACACTTTAGTGCGATCCTTCAGGCGTTCTGCAGTGAGATGCTCAGCCACCCACAATGCTGTCCGATTTTTCCTACAACAGTTTTTCATATATCGTTAGAGAAGTCCGGGGATAAGATCATAAGTATAAGAAAAATTAAGAAACAAGTAAGAAATGAAAATAATAAAAATATTTAAAAACAATTAAAGAAATATGCATAAAAAATAAAAAGCAATTAAATATACATTTTAAACATACTAAAAAAGGTATATTAAAAATGAAAGTACTTAAGCGATAGCTGAGTGTAAATAGTTGCATTCGAGCAATGATCAAAATTTGCGGATATTTCCATAAAAAGTAAGACACAATACACGTTGCAGCGTGAGTGCGAAGACCACAATTTTCTCAAACACCCTGCATGGGTCAAACAAAATTAATCACACCTGTCATAAGCCAGAACATAATCACTGCGCGATCGCACTGTATCCGTTGTAGGAAATCCATGTTTCATGATTTCCCCCACACGATGCGGACCGACCGAAAGATCAGGAGCAACTCCACCAGGCATGGGAGCAACAGTTTTGTTCTGGGGATTATATGGCGCTAAGGCTGTCTGCGTTGCGGCGGGTTGCAGGCCGTCTTTCTGATCCGCATGGACAACAAAAGGAGTATGGGATGCTGAGCGTCGTGGATCACTTGTTGAGCGTCCTAAGACGAAGCCTCCAAGACCACCAACTGCCACTGCAGAAATCCCAGCTGCCAGTATCTTCGCTGTGCCTGTGGGTGGCATCTTTAAGCCAAATTGAATAATTACGACTGCTAAACTGTTCAATCAATAAATAACACTTAACAGCATGCAAATAACAGATTAAAGCAAGAATCAAGATAATAAAAATATCAACACTTTGAAACCAACAAACTGTTACAAACAACAAATTTTATGCTGCAGCTGCATTTATTTAGCCTGAAGCAAAATGACAGTCGAACGTCACCTCCATTGGGGCGTCAATCGTCTGTGCATTTCAAATCTTCCGGTTCCGCCAACCAGTTGATGAAATCAAAACCTTAATTTCAGCACCCAGCCGTCATTTCCCAGATTTCGGGATGCTTTTCGCACTTTTCGTTTTCCTTTATTTTTCTTACAGTTCGATGACTGATTGCTTAACATACGATTTTTTAACTTTTTAAAACAGTCTTATCTCTCTGCACGGGTTTACGACAGACAAATCCTATCTCGAGTGCGGTAGTGTCGTTGAATTTTTGTCCTTTTCTGGTGAAATCAGAAACCCAAACTGCAAACATCCTCGCACATTCGCGATATTTGTCAGCCATGGCCGCAGCCATCGGTACACTGTTACGCCACGGTCGCGCGGCCGGATCACTCTTCTCCCAGCGTTCTCACCTTCACCGCAGCGCTTTCCTCTCGCACTGGACACCTGCTCCCGTCGCAGCATCTAACGCACTGCAGCATGACTCAGCACGCGCGCCACTGCACTACGTTCCGCAGCGGTACACCAGCAGCACTCCCGTCAACACCGTCATCAAATTCGTCCCGCAGCAGGAAGCCTGGATTGTGGAGCGTATGGGGAAATTCCACCGCGTCCTCGAACCGGGCTTGAACATTCTGGCGCCGTTGATCGACAGTATTCGCTACGTGCAGACCCTGAAGGAGATCGCCATCGAAGTCCCGAAACAGCACGCCATCACCAACGACAGTGTACCGTTGACGCTGGACGGCGTGCTGTTTGTGAAGATTGTGGATCCGTTGAAAGCATCGTACGGTGTGGAGGATCCGGAGTTCGCCATTACGCAGCTGGCGCAGACGACGATGCGCTCGGAACTGGGCAAAATCAGTCTGGATCAGGTGTTCCGTGAGCGCGAGTCGTTGAATGCGCATATTGTGATTGCCATTAATAATGCCAGTGCGGCCTGGGGGATCTCGTGTATGCGCTATGAAATTCGGGACATTCATCTGCCGTCGAATGTCCAGGAAGCCATGCAGCTGCAGGTGGCGGCTGAGCGGAAGAAACGCGCCGCGATCTTGGAATCCGAAGGTACGTGGTGGATTATATTATTACAATATTGTAGCGAAATTCTGGGCGCCGCATTTACAGCCACATTTCTGAAATGAAATCAGTCCGGGTCTTGCATCACTTTTTTTCTAAATTTTTTAAAAATCTTCATCTTTTCCTACCTCAGACGTGTTTTGTTTTGCGTTACATGATTACTTAAGTATCCCGGTTAAAAATATGCCACCGTTTACCAAATTTATGAAAAAGATGTTTGTATACGAGTAGCATCCGTGATAAGCTGTTGGTCAATCACTTTTTATTTTATCATTAATTTGATTTATTGATGATTTTAGCAATGAAATAATCTTACGGTGATTGCCGCTCTTTTTATACCTGTGGAGTGTGGACAATGTTTGGTGTGGCTGTTTTTCTATTTCAAAGTGATTTACACTTTCCTAAAATCTCTGCTTATATTTTATTTAAAATTTAATTAAAAATTTAATTACTTTTGAGAACAAAATTTTTAAGTTCTGTAGTTTTGCTCATTGAAGTCGTTCTGATTAAATGTCAATGGCTCTCTTAATGGTCTTGCGCTGCGCTAAACTGGACACAGTAGTCAAACTGTGCTTACTTGTTGTGAGCAGTTATAATTTTTACTAACTACATTTGCTCGTATTTCGCTAGGTAAACGAGATTCTGAGATCAATATAGCCGAGGGTAAGAAGCGCTCGCAGATTCTAGCGTCGGAGGCCGTCAAGCAGAGACCATCAATCACGCCGAAGGTGAAGCCCTGGCCATCGTAGCCAAAGCTCGTGCGACGGGATTAGCTAATGTGGCGGAAGCTCTCCAGGATTCCCAGGGACCGGAAGCGGCCGCGTTGTCCGTGGCGGAGCAGTACGTGGCGGCCTTTCTCTAATCTGGCCAAGGAGACCAACACGGTGGTGATTCCCAGCAGCTCCAATGATGTCGCTTCCGCGGTCAGCCAGGCGATGGCCATTTACAAGGGTTTCTCCACGACGGCTGTGAACGCCGATGCCCAAAAGGCAAAGAAAGCGGCGGATGCTCAGAATCTGGCGGATGCTGTCCATACTAGTCAACCGCTGCCGGAGACGGGAAGTGTTAAGATGAAACTGAAGAAGGGCGAACGGATGGTGTAGTGTTGCCTGGCTCTGCTGAGAATTTCCAGTTTTTATGATGTGGTTTTTTATGCATCGTTGCTTGGAGGATGTATTTCGTAAACGGTAAATCTGATGGTTACTGCTTCATTCGGTTCGGCTGACGAAAGAAGGTTTTTTATAATTATTCCGTAACTATTCAAATTGTTTCTTTCTGATTTGGACGTTGCATTTCACGTATAGTTCCGTATAGTAATGTGTCACGTATAGTTCCGTTGGCACTAGTTTGACGACTGAAATTGTGTTGCTTGACAACTCAATTAAGTTTGTTAACTCCTAAAAATAAAGAAAGGATAAATACTGTAGTGCCACGTAAATGTAAATGTAAGTACAGTACTTACTTTTTTTTGTGTTCAGTTATTTGGGTTTTATCGATATGAATTGTGGCAATCTTTAACCAAATTTATTAACTATTGATCTGTATTACTACGATGTGATTAAAATTAAAATTACTTGTATTAAACGATGATATCAAAGCGGCATAACTGCCCGAATATCATATTCAATGTGACGTTTTTGCAAAGAAACTTATTTTCGAGCACGTTTATAAAGTCTACGAAGATTCTTGACATCAGAGACAAGCATCTGTTTCCTCCGAATGATGTAGAAATACCAGCGTTATGCGACTATTTATCAAATATCCAACATATCATTGCCGGGGATAACAGACTGAATTTATCCGTGTTTTTGTGTTTAGAATCGTTACAAAATTTAGAAATTCAAAATAACCGAATAGGCTCTGTAATTCCTTTAACAGCTGAAAATTTTGCTAGTTTAACGCGTCTGGATCTCAGTGCGAACAATATACAGAAAACAATTGATTTCACCAACTTGAGCAATCTAAAATCGTTGCAGTACTTAAATTTAAATTTTAACGGAATTGATCGATTTGGTTTTGAAAATCCCAATGGTTTTTTACATCTGACGGAGCTTCATTTGAGAGGAAATAGTTTAAAGCAATTTGGATCGTGTTTCGATATTCCGCAATTACGCGAGCTGAATTTGGCTGAAAATTTCTTCGACGACCTTTCGATACAGAACATCCGCCACCCAAACTTTGTTTGCTCTGATTTATTCTCGATTAATTTATCGAGTAATGTTTTAAAGCATTGCAACAGCGCAAATATTATTTCGTTATGTTTCCCGTCATTGCGACTGCTTAATGTAGTAAAAAATCAGTTTTCCCGAGATGTCATTCCGCGTGCAAAAGACGCATACCGAAATCCCGTTTGCACTGTAATTTTTGCGGCAAAAGATCTGGATTCTGCAAACGCTTTTTTGGCAAGAATAAACAATAAATTTGGTGTCGGAAACCATGAAAAACAAATTAAAGATCATGCAAACGAAATCGTTTGCAGCCTGGTGGATACTGCTCATGCAAAAGGTCACTGCAATATTACCGAGCAATTTTTATCTATTTACCAGCGGCCTGAAATAGTATGTTTTTCACCTTATAGAAAGCGATGCTAACTTTACTTCAGAGCTGAAGGAAGAAAACTACGAAATCGCCGAACAGGAAATGGCCGAGTTGACTTCCGGATGGGAAAATTTACCACGACCGAAAAATCTCCGGCAGTGTTATCAACTCTTGACGGATCTGGTTAATCAGCCGAAAATTACAGTGAATGCTTTACTCCCGAAATTTGTCCCCAAAAAATTTCCGCGACGAGATACGCGAAAATCTACGCTATTCTGGAATGCCATTGATCGGCATCGGACATCGCTGCAGAAAAACGCCATACGGATTGACCGGCCAGCTGCTGGCGCTGATGATATGTTTAACAAATCAAAAGAAAATAACATCCAGCAGCGCAGCCTGAACAAAGCCATGCAGAGCATAAAAAAATTAGACAACGCCGTTTTCGATCAGGTTTTATCGTATCGCCAGAAAAAATAATAAAATAATAGTAAAACTGGAACTCTTCCGATCAATAAACTGATTTTGGAAGTCGTGAGAATATAAACAATAATATATGAATATAAACATATAGAATATAAACAATATAGAATATAAACACTATTAATAAACAAATAAAACAAATTAATAAACAAATAAACAAATTAATAAACAAATTAATAAACAAATAAACACTAATATAGAATATAAACACTATTAAATGTTACAAGAAAAATGCTGCGTTTTTCGAAGTTATGTCATTATTTGCGTTCTTTAAATGTAAGATAGATACGAGTGTTTTATAAAAATTTTGCAAAAAGAAAACGATTTCATCTTCGGAAATACTTTCAACTTACAATTAATTACAAGACAGTAGTACGAATACCTAAATTAAATAAATATTAAAATCACAATAATGCAGTTTCATCATGCGTTTTGTTTGCATTAATACAGGAAAATGAGCAAGAAAATCACATTATTTAGACGACAACAATTTCTCGATTTTCTCCAAATCTGTACAATCTCGCCCGTCAATAAACGTAACCGGGATGCCCATGACCCCCAACAAACGCTGCTTCATCACCACATCTCCCAACCACTGCGAACAATTCACACACTGCACCGACTCATCCACAATCTCCACCGCGAATTTTTGCATGGACACCTGCATATCGCCGGTGTCCCTCTGCTAACCATCTCCACAATATCCCCGCCGAGAATACTGACCACAAACCCCGCCAACTCCACCTGCGGTACCGCGCGGCCCCACCACACCGCTTCCTTCCCGTACAGTTTTTTCAACACTTCTCCCACATTGTACAATTTCTTCTCCTCCCGCTTGGATAATTCCAGCCCGGCTTTCTCAAAATCCCGCGGTAAACCCGCTGCCAATCGCGCCTCACTGATCCCGACGGCGGTCACACCACTCGGGAATTCCAGTTGGCAATTTTTGTATAAACAGTATAACCAGCGTCGCGCGTCTTTCCATCCTTCCCGAGCCAATTTCCGCGAGACACCGGGTGAAAAAATTATTTTTAATAAATCGGTGTTGTATTGTGCCTGCATCGATAGCGCATACAACGCCTGCACCAATAAATATGGGAAGCGCTCGAATTCCGTCAAACGACGGGATAATTCGGCAAAAACAAAATTTACATCGCGAATGGGATGATTAACGTGCGCCAGCGCGTATAAATAATTCGCCATATCTTTCGGACGGAATCGCTCCGACGGATGCAGTTTAGTCAGCGCATCAGGCGACAAAGTGTCGTATAAACCGAGTTGCTGCTGCATCGTGTCTAAAATACTGCTCTGCAGTAGCTCGTACAAATGCGCATCGTAAAATCTCGCCGCGGAAAAAGACTGCAAAAAATGACAGCATTCCACGGATTTTAATTCATCATGCTGGAGTTTTATTAATCGATCGGCGAGACGCTCCAGAAAATTCCTGTCGATGAAGGAATTCTGCCGGAAGAATTTCAGAATCGTCACAATGGAGGAAAAATCCATATTACTGGATGATATGACATCCGCGAGATGTTGCAAAAAATCAGGATGCGCGCTGAAGGTGATTTTCAGGATGTACGCCGAAAATGCTAACACTTCAATATCTTTGGGACGCAGTTCACTGGCTTTCGCCACGATAACACGGCGCAGCGAATCCTCCAGTCGTTCAGAGATTTTTCGATAATTCGCGCAGTACAAGAGAGATTGCAGGGCTTCGTGCACGGTGATGCCAGTATCAAGGTTCTCCAGTTTTTGTAAAAATATTCTGTGAAATGCTGGCGTGCGCAGATCTATCTCTGCCGCGCGAAGGTAGGCTTCGGCAATGGCCAACCAATCGTTTAAGCGGTGGCTAAAAAGACTGCTGCCGAGGAGGTTCGGATCAGCGAAATCGCTGTGATCCGATGCGGCCTTCGAAGCGTCCCCGACACTCTGCGTTAACTGCGTGGAAAATTTCGGATCACTGTTGATGTAATCAAATAATCGTTGTCGATAGCGAAACTGCGGTCCCAAGGGTTCTGTTACGGTGGAGGCAGATGGCCGTCGGGGTTGTTGGGGATTTCGCAACACCTTCAGCTGTTTGGTCGTGGTGTTGTTGAGCTTCTCCGAGCAGCTGTGGAAACATCGTCCGTTAGTGACAAACGCCGAGAAACAGAACAGTGCGGGGATTTTAACGCGCATGATGGCTGCGAACAAGTGATCACGAGCAACACAAGACCATTAACGCAGTAAGTAATCACGAAAGATGGTAAAATTTAAAAACACCACAACAAAATATGTAAGCAAATGCTAATCACGAATTTAAAACTAATGGCAACAGACAACAGTCACAACACTCTTGATTCTTCGCTGTTCTTTTTCCTCTGTACGTATTAAATGGGAAAAAAACGATGTAAATTTATTCGGAATACCAGTGATCTCCATTCGGTGGCGGTTGTGCAGAGGCAACTGGACGCTGGACTGTAGTAAGTGCAGTACAGTATGTACGTTGTACAGTACCTGAATTTGGCAAGTTGTGCATTCTGTAATCTGTACCCTTGTCAAGTTGTGGTATTTAACTTATTTCTTTAAAGTAGGAATTTAAACCTTTTAATTAGGTAACGACACAGGATCTGGAAACTGCATCACCAGCACTACTTTTGTCTCCATGCCTACTTTTCAGTCGCGCACACTGCCACTCGAACAAATGCATCGGAGTACAGACCATAAAAATTAATCTGGTTAGCAATCAACTGCAGCGACGTTCCAGGTTTATTGTACAATTGTACATATGTTACAGCATACTTCTAGAAACTCCTTGATCATAGAGCGCAGTTTCATCTGTTTTGTTTATGAGATATTATTGTCCAGAATTCTGTCCTTGACTCGAACATGCCAAGAGCATCAATCAGAAACTAATAATTTTTTTTTCAAATGAACGCCACTGTGGGCGACCTTATGCACGACAGAGAGAAGCATAAAAGCCAGTGCACTGAACGTGGTCACGACCGAAATCCCAAAACCCTGGATAAAGCTGAAAGGTCAGTAATACATAGAAACTGATTACCGTCTTAATTCCAAATGTTTTGCTTGTTGTTTAGAAATTTGAAAACAACCAGGAGAAACATAAAAGTTTTGTAGTAAAAATACACTTATTAATTCATCTGGGATTTGTTGTTGTTGACTATATACAAATATGACCATGTGGAGAAAAAAATCTAGTTATACCCGAAGTATATATAATAAAAAATATATATAATTATGAATTAAGTAAAATTATACAGAGTAATGCTGAGTTTATAAGTTACCGATTAACTTATAACATTAATTGTTAGAAATCGTCTGATGGGTCGAGGAATATCCGAAATTGCCGGATCTATTCCGTTATCAAACCCGAAACAAGACAAAGCGACGTAAGTTCTGATTTTCTTGTGATAGAAATTAATGAATTGCGTTTATATTTGTGCTAATTTTTGGTGTTAGAATACTGGAAAATGCCGTTTTATATTTGGAATATATGAATCGGAATGTGACCAATGTGTCAGTTTTCAATGCGGAATTTATAGAATGCATCAAGGGAGGTAACATTCCCGAGCCGGAATTTCCACCGACACCGGTATCAAAAAAGTCCAAAAAGAAAATTCATAAAAAATGTAAACAGCCCAAAGCTCCGCTGAAGTTGTCCAAATCGCGACCCACAATAATACGCATCCGGTCCCAGAAACACCCGCCCAAAGGTACGCACGGCCTCAAGATGAACCACAAATTTTAATTATTATAATTTTTGGAAGTAAATCTCCATTTTGCGGAACTCAAGTAAACAACTCGTAGATGCACCAAAGACAGAGGCAGATATTACAGTCAAAGAGGATCCGCAATTTCCAGCCGGCAACCAAACAAATCTTGAAGTACAAAAGCCGCCCCTGCAGAATGCTCAAGAATCTACCAGTTTGCGGGATATTACAATTAATGCAAATCTGGTGTCTTTGAACGATGCTACTGAGGATGAACAAAATACAGAGAGAGGCTAGTTGTAGTCGTACTGGCAGCGGTCATTTCTATGTATTAAACCAAGCGAAACAATCAACGCAAAAATTCAACACAAGATTAAATAATTATATCAATCCTAATTTGTTACTTAACACAATACATAGAATTGTGATATGCTGCAGAGGAGTAAATAAGAACTGCGTTTGTGCAGCTGCGCGGTTTGTAGTTGTACCCTTCCAAAATTTCAGTTAAAATCAACAAGATTGGCCAGCTACTATACATCCGTCTGTACTATCAGATGCTCCAAGTTGACCAACACAAATAGTTTATATATATACGACTATGTATTACGTACGAGTATATAGTATGTCATTTGCTGCAGTAATTTGTAATACGAGACATTGTAAAAGCACTAACTACTGCTCTACTACCTATAAGTTATAACTGTATTCCATACCTACACATGCACTGTAAACGCATAATAGTAGGTCGCAGAATCATGACGGTTTGGTAGATTTGGTTTATTTTTCAAAGTCTGCATTGTTTTTTTTTCTTCTAGTGCCCGAGTACAGTTGTAAAAGGGCAAATGATGCGTTGCATGCGTATAGTACCGAACTCATTTGCCCTCCAATACGCTTTGACTTCCTTGCACTTTAAGATTAATTTCTTCCGGTATGGTAGAGTGTAAATATATTATAAAGTATTCGTGCAACAGAAAGTAGTCCAGTACAGTAGTGTAGAATACAGTCATGTTCTTCAGTTAAAAATCTGTTTAGACGGCATATCTGAAACAAACTGCGTACGGATCAACGGTTTGATAATTTATGCTAAAGGTTAACATACGTTTTTATGCGCCAAATTCATTTTATTTCCGTTCACTTTGTAACGTCGGTGAAATTCACGTATATAACTGTAAAGTCCATTCTTAAATCCACGCAAACTAAAAAAAACTGCAATGCAAACTTGTTTTACGTTCGCAGATCCTGTTGATTTGCTTGAACGAAATATAAAATTAAAGGAGAGAGAAAGAGAGCAAGAAAGAGAATCAAACTGATGCGGGCTACAGTAGTAAAAGTATGGATTTCACCTCCCACCCGCAGTGTCTGATGGTACAAGTTAATTATAATAAAAAGCAGAATTATAAATTACTTTGTCTAATACAGCAGCTATTATGTATAGCTTATAAGTAGTTTTATACTACCTTTTTTAGCGTATTACAGTATTACGGAATACATTAGCAATATATACTACGATTCAATGTATATGTCAGACCTCGTAAAAATGCATTCACTTCTCTACCCTAGAAAAACAAAATTTTACGATCGCGTCCGCTAAAAAGCAACAATGCAGTAATATTGAGAAATATAACATATTGTTAATAAATCAAATAAATGTCGTATAATGCCGGTCGCGCGCGCATGATTAACAACGGTTGTTTTAGTTTAACTGCCTAATTCATTAGTATTAATTCAGCTGAAGTAGAAATGCTACACCTCAAGCTTGGCTCCGCATTAACCCAATAAAAATGTCATTCAGTACATAAATTACAATCACGATGATGCAACTTTACGGTTTGTAAATCAAAATTTCGTACACTACAGACGTTTATCTCGGTCTCCTGCTGGTATTTGTTTTTTTGTTGTACCTATACTTCTATACGTCCGCTCATACAGTAGACTTTAATAATCAGTATAATAAGCGGCTGGATATATGCGCACTTGATCCAAAACACTTCAGTATTGCGAAACCATATTTTGAAAGTAGAGTCACTACAGATTAAAACATTAATTTTGAGGAAAGCTGGGCCAGGAAGCCTGCCTGGACGTAATTAAGATGATAACTTCGACGTTAACGTGTTACAGGCATCATTATATAAATTACACGGTTAAGAGAAGCCCGTACTGTTTTCTAGAGGGTGTAAGGCTCTTAATTATTTTTCATAACCTTTCAACAACGAAAAACATTTTTTGTTGTGTAAACAACATACCGAGCTTTTAACAGCATGCAGTTGTCAGTTTTCACGGCGATTAAATGTTAATGGGAGTTCACAACAGACCGGCAAATTTCAAGCGTTGCTGTATCGTACACAACCAGACATCGCTGATACTGGGTAGGCGGCACATCAGATTGTATTACACAGGGATCCCATTTATTGCACTCTGGCTGAGCGGACAAAATGTAAAATGCTCCAGCGAAAAAAAACAACTGCCCATAGTTTTTAGTGATATGGGCATGTTATGCCACATCCGTCAATCAGTGTGGACCATTAATACGCAGCGAAATCGACGTCGTAGTTGCAAAGAACCTGTTAATGTTCTCTTACCACGACCATTGCTTATTTATTGACCGACCACCATGAATCTTTGAATCTGCTCACCGCGGTTTACCGCTTAGACTAAGATTCTTCCCATTCGGCTGCGCTGCGGCTCCCCTTCCCAGGGAATATTTTTTGTATTGAATAAACTTGTATTCGTAATGGTTATGGTGTCGTAGATGCTTGCTACCGCTGTTTTTTTATATTTCTGACATCCATTATCGTAAGTAATGTGCTGATGGAATATCCACTCGCAGCTACATGGTTTCGGCAATGAGTATCATTCTGCCAACCACGATAGCTTTTTGGGATAACGAAACCACCACGAGTAATGGGAGTTTCGACCGTACCGCTTGGACACTGAAAAATTTAGGATATCAAACAAACCCCCACGCCGTGACCTATACCGTAAGTCACAAGAATAATACGAAACTTTGTAAACCAGACAAACTCTGCACAGTTATTCGCATTTAAGTTTAATGACTTGAAAACCAAGCATTTCTGCAAAGTATCTTGTGATCCGAAGTTGATATTTAGTTTATTTACTGTTGATTGCTTTTTCGCGAGCTTATTTGAAATTTATTATTAGAATCATAATCAATTATTGGCAACCCGACTTTTATGTGCGAGTAGCAAAATCTAGATGGGCAATCGTTGCAAAATATTGTGTATGATATACGATTACGGCATTTTATCCATTTTAGTTGAACTAGAATGCGGTTATGTTATAACATTATTGAGAAGATTATGCAGCAATATTTGTAACATTACACATTTCGCTTTATGTGAGAGATAGAGTGTTGTCAGTTTGTCAACCATGCAAACTTATTGTGCTGTTTAAATACACTGCTGGTAGTAAAACGGAAAAGGTCAGTTGATTTCTCTCGAACAAAATAGGATAACAGATGGTTTTTGCATTGTTTGCCGCGTACTGTGCTGATTCCGCTAATGCAATTTTACAGGTTTTGTATACGGTTTTATTTTTCCTGGGATTATTTGGCAACCTCACCACGATTGTTGTAGTATGGCTAGCCAAATCTAAACGAGGATGGAGCGGCATCGATGCTTATCTAATTAAGTAACTTGGCATCATTAAGCACTATTTGTTTAAGTTTACTCTAGATATTTGATATATACCCTCATAAATCCAGCATTTAACAAAACAATAATATGCTGTAATTTGGTAATTTATGCCGCCAGATATTTATTCACATATCTCGGTTAAACTTAATTGCACAGCTATGGCGTATAATGTGGCAACAATTTACAGGCATGCCAAAGAACCAATAATAAAGCGTTACTGCCGTTGCATATATCCTTTTGCATAATTCATGACCTGTATACGACCAAAGTCTGGAATAAGGAAAAGCGTAGAAGTATATATGACGGCACGCAACGTAGAGCGGTGTCAACGGGCAGTGTTGTCCCATTAATCATGTAATATTCCGGCAGTCTCCTGCATTGCAGACAGCAATTTATCAGTGATGGAAGATTTAATAATCTGCCCATGCACTTCCGCTGAACAAAAAATTTCCATTTGTTTTGGTTTTCTTGGTTTACGCAATAGTCTGGGATTCCGACACGTGCGCCTAGGATATACGTAATATACCTACATACGTGTGGTTATTTAAATGACTGGAAACGCTGAGGATAAAACGTATACAGATTGCGGTTCATATTATGCCGTTTCCAGTAGACGATTTTCAAAACCATAGTCACATGAAAAATTAATTGCAGTTAAAATAAAATACGTAAATAAATGTGAAAAACTGCGCCCAGTTTTTGCAGTAAAGTTCGTTTTCACGGGAAGATTAATTTTGCTACGTCACAAATACCTGCTAACTTCCTCTAAAAAATAAAATTAATTTAAATAATTTAATAAGCAATAGGCTACAGAAAGCAAAGCGCAGTTGGGGCAAGTAAAAAATAAAATAATTATAACAATTTAAAAATCATGGAATCATGTCTACAAATTTTTTTTTCTAGTTTTGGATAATTACCAGTGGAAGTCAACATTGCATATCACAATGATCTTACGCCAAGTTGCATTTTAAAATTACGTCACTGCATGTGACATAAATGTTTATTTTGATATCGAGTGTAGTCACACTTGAGTGTTAAGGGCGATTATAACAATATAAACCTTGAATTGTCGGCTGTGAATCGATATTACGAGTGTCATGACTTAATTAAGTCTCAGTTTTGTTGACAGCTTTTGCTATGGATATTTCTAGAATAATCGAATTAGTAATTAATTGGATTTTGTGGTTAACAGCAACGTGGAAATGTGTTGCAATGGTCTTTTTTTCGCTTCACCAAACGCACAGTTATCAAGTACATTAAGGTCTAAGGCTGTCTACAGTAATCGTATTATTACATTAACCACGCAAATAACTATGCAATAATAATATGCGATATGCAGATCTATCTTGTTTTTACAGTTTGGCCTTTTCGGATATCCTTTTGTCAACAACAGGTAAAATTCGCCGGGCTGTTAAATCAAACATAAACATGGCTTATTTGAAATGAAATACTGAAGTGTTTTTCGTTGTTTTATGGTCTACAGCCTACAAAGTATGTACACTGCCTGTAGTTTTGTTGGTTCCATTATTCCATATATGATGCAGTGTTTTTATCTGTCGTTGTCCGTCGTCCGTTGTTTTTGTTCGCTTTCCGGATGGTGATTCGATCTTGAAATTTCAGGAGTACCACTGGAAATTTATGGATACTGGCAGCAGGTAAAGCAATCAGCCTGATAACATATTGCGTGCCTTGATGCAGCTACAGATACAGTGTATACATTCAATATTTATTTACACCACAAAGTAGCAATAATCCATTCCCAGTTGTTATAGCAGTTCCTTATTTACTGCTCCAGGTGGTTATATCTTGTCCCAAACAGAAATTAGAAATAAACGTGGTTTTATTACATTTAAACAATCCACTCTAGTGGTTCAGTATACGCTAGTAAAGTAATAATACTGCTGCGCTATACAGATTAATTGGTGAGGTAATGCTAAATAAAAATTAGATTCAATCATGCAACGAACTTTACCGTGAAAAAACGCAGAAAATCTTCTAATGAAATAAACCTAATACTCACAAACGAGATTTTTCTGACTATTCTGAAACAGGAAGTAATTGCATTTTAGTATCCTTGGATTTTCGGCCGCGTGGTCTGCTCCATATCGGCGTTTCTTCCGGAAACATGCTTATATTCCTCGATTCTAACAATTGGTAACTAAAGGTCACCTTCCCACGGATAATATTTCAAATGGGTTGATTGCAGTCTGCATTTTACAGTGGTATTTACGTACGAGCGGTATCGAGCGGTTACGGATCCCATCGCAACATTTCGCTCATTTAGCGTGAGGCGTATCGCTAAGGTCATCCTGGCTGTTTGGCTGCTGGCTATGATTAATGCCGCTCCGTTTGCTTATTTCAGTAAGTCGTTAGCAGCAATTTCGATGGCGTATGCAAAATCGGCTGCCAAACTGACACCAACTCCGATTGCGATCATTAAAAAAATTTTGTACAATTTTCCACAGAAACGGTCAATCATCTGTACGATCAGAATGGATTAATTATGGAGGAGACTGCTTGGTGTGAAATACCATTTACCATCAACGCCCAGCTTCGACCGCTCTTCATTTGTATGGGTTCATCGAGTCGCTAACACCATTTTCTAATTTGTTCACAAATATATGGTGATGATGTATGGTATCACTTGAGCAGTGCATATAATAAACAAACTGGCCCACTGAAAAATTAATGATTTTATCGAGAGAAATCAACCAATTTTCCATTGTAAAATTTCCCCACATTATAATATTGTAGCTATATAATTTCCCAATTGCAACCTAAGCAGTTTCTGGGTACACTTGAGTTTTTTTTGGTTTATTTTAAAGAATTTCCAATCTAGGCGAAAAAGCAACAATTATTTAAAGATGCCGCTGCAAGCTTCTTCTGCCCTTCAAAGTTTCTCCTTGCGAAACGATTACAGCATTAAGTGGGAACGATTTGCATTTTGGCCTGAAGACAGAACTGTATTCTTAAATGAATGTGTTGTGCACCACGAAAACCCAAGGAATTAAACGCTGTCGCTTGTCTAATTACATTTTGTAAAATTTTCTTCAATTTTGAATGACTTCCGGTTGGTTTAAGGCCTGGATATGCTAATATCTGCATTAAGCTAAGTGATGTATCTGTACGTATACGGACAAATGTTATTAACACTTAACATACAGTATAAAGGATACCGTGCGACTGTGCGGAGTCGATTCGAACCGGTTTCGTCAAAATACGCACATGTTTTTGACGATTTTTACCTTTTTTTGGTGCGGACTGTGATTCTGCTGCACAGAAGTTTTTATGATCCTGCAAGACATAATTTTATGACAGTCACAATGCTCCGTTTTTTGAAATACTGTAATCATGTCGCATATACAGATGAAACAAAGATTTTAACTATTTGCAGATTCTGCGATATGTTTCTACATTCTTCCAATGTTTTTATTGGCGGTATTATACGTCCGCATTGGATTATTCCTACACCGCAATTCATCCACCGAGAAGTGCGATCTGGCCAGCAAGTGTGATATTCCGCTTTCCAGAAAAGCTACGTTGCGAGTAACCGCCAGCCGGCACGAAAGCACTGATGCCGCTGAGAACCGGAAGCGAACGGTGAAAGTCCTCTGTACGCATTTAAAACTGGTTCTACCGTATAATGTGATATCGATTCTGTTTGCGGCGGTTTTATTATCGGTCACGTTTCCATTTTTAAAACTTTTAGTGGCGATTGTTGTCAACTTTTTCGTCTGCTATGGATTTTTTCACGGTAAGCAATAATATCTCAAATAAGCATAAAATTTTTGCACTGTATAGTGCGTTAAGGCAGACGGAAACTCGATTTATTTATTCAGCGCATGTCGCGCATATTAAAATTATTGTATGTTGTCGTGTCGATGACCACATAATTATTAATAGCTGAAACGCATAGGGATGCATGTGGAGTACGTAATATATATCAAAAAAATTATTCGGTATTCGGTTCCACTCGTTTGATATTGTATACGTGAAACGTTTATTATTCGGTTACGTACTCGGCATGGCTAAGTCTTACAAATTATACTTACAAATTTGTACCTATATAGATAAGAGGGATCAAAGAATCCGAAAAAGGCAGGCTATTGATAATAATTCTTGTTGAAGTTGTCAAATTTTTGAATTCCTTTACGATTTAAAAGATAATTTTAGTTAGTTAGGCGTTATTCAAGGGTCAGTTTCACAGGATATTGCATATTGCAGTGCAAAGGCTGATATTCGTGTTTGTCGATGACTGGTACTCAAATCGCGAAGTTTTGGATTGGAACACCATATTATTTCCGATTAGCGGTAACTTTACTGCAGCAGCATGAAACCGATAAATACTGTTGTATAGATATAACGAATAAAATGTTTATGTAGCAGATCTAGATGTTCATTACAGTACACTGCATAGCAGACGTTAATGAGCATCTATCTATATATATGTATGTAAAAAACTTCAGGTAACTACAGTTAGTTCTAAGTGATATTAGTATTCTCATGGCAGGTTTCTTATACCATGTTAATCCCGTTCTGGATATGATTTTCTATTCCTGTATGAGCCGGCGTTTCCAGTCGTTTTACCGGCGGCTACTGTGCTGTCGTTGCCGGGATTTCAGTCGTCGATACACCGGTGACCAGGCATACATGATCGGAATATCACGGGCATCCAATTCCCTAACGAAACAAATGAGCCTCACAACGACATCTTTTAAACGGGAATCCGTGCTGTATAACAAGATGCCCACATCCGAGACAGCGGGGCCGGCTGGCCCTCTTCCCCAGTGGACGGTCACAGGTTAAATGCCGCCAGCGGCAGAATGGACCGCAAGCAGTGATGATGTACATTGTCATAGTGGTCAGCAACCGGAAGTGATGTCCTTGCCGATTAATGTAAATTTTACTGATCATCCTTAATGTGATACTACGTTATAAACAGAAATCTTCGAATGTACAATACATTTGATACAGTACACTTACGAAATGCTTGGCGTATTATTTAGTGCATGTTTAAGTATTGTAAATAGCATTACTATTTGCTTGATTTCGTACATATTTCTTAAACAATCTGCTATGTATTAATCGTGCGCTTTTTGTTTTGTTTGTATGAACTTCTATAATTTAGAAAACTAATAATTAGTATTAGATAACAGCTAATATGGCACTACTAATACTGTACGTCTGCCGGCGTTGATTCTTGTATCTTACGTAATTTTGCATATGAAAACTTAAACATTTAGCTGCGCGTATAAGATATTTGACAACTGTGTCACTTCAAAAAGATTGACTCAAGGGATGTTCTTTTGATTTTACAAAGGTCGGTTGGTGCTTCGTACGGTTTCCAAGACGTCCGCTATGAGTCTTGGATCGATCGAAGTGATTGTACGAGTACTTTGTGGACGCTTCACATAATTTCCCACTGATCATGGCGTTATTGTTGCTTAAGAATTCCCGGCGATTTATCGCTGACAGCGCTTTTCTCTTTCTCTTGCAGCTAACAGCTGACAAGTTACAAAAGGGTTCCCAAGGATGAGTGACCGAGTGTCAGTCTGCCAGATTCGAATATTCAGAATATAAAATAAAAAACTCCTCTCGATCAAGCGGAAAACCAATTCGGATTCTCTGTCAAGATAGTTTCGGGTGACTTTCTCTTTATTTATTCATCAGCTCCTTCAGACGCAACACTTGTTGTTCAGCTTTCTGAACGTAAAACAAGCAGACAAATTAATAATGCACGCAAAAACATGGCGCAGATTCACTTATAAAACAGCATCATATTATCGGTAAAAATGCAATACGACGGCGAAAAACCAAAGTAAAATCATAACATCACGCTTTAAAATCAACCGCGCGATCTATAACGACACTCCCGAAATCTTCTACACATTAACAATTCCCAGCAGTCATACCTGGCAAAACGTGCAGTGATAACAGTGACGAAAAAAACTGTACAAATCACTGTGCAAAAAAACAAGAGTAAAATAACAACCTTTGGAACAACTCCCGCACAAGGAAAAACGAGATTCCACTAGACTCAGCGTCACTTTTCACGACTGCGACTGCGAAAAGGGAATCGAAAGCTGCGATCCACCGGAAAAAGGCCGCAATGGACGTTCCTTGCGCTGGATGCAGTCCCACACCTTCTCCACCACTTCGTCACGATATTCTCCCAACAAGTTATCCAGACTCTACAAAACATCTTGTTTCAGTTTTTTGGCATGCATCCAGATCCCAGCATTATGAGAAAATGGACACAAGAAGAACGATGTCGACGGGCTGACAATTTGCAAACATACGCAGGACCCGATGTCTGAGTCAATTATGAAAACAACGTTAATTTATTAGTTATCATAATGATATCATATAATAACGATATTTTATTATTAAATATTAATTAATTATTCAATGTGCCTTAGCAAAAATAACCCAACAGCAAATCACTCAAGTCCGCAACTACATAGCAAACCTTTCGACTCAAGGCAAATATATCGTCCAGCGATTCAATATTATGTCCATCCTGGAAGAAAGACTTCGCAGACAAGTTCTTCATGTTCAAAACAGTAGAGATCCAACTGAAAACAGTAAAGGCATGCATTAGATACTGTTGCGCAACGAAATCATAGACGTAACACTCCATCAATATTCACACACTGCCCGCTGGTACCTACCTATTAATTTCCATAAGATTCTCTCGTGATGGGCCCTTTTTAGCGAAGGCAACGGCAGTTGTGCGAAATCCCGAACCAGGATTCGTGATAGTTTCACTGCAAGTACTTTTGCTTAGCAAACAATCAGCTAATCTGCAGATTTAAAAAAAGGAACGGTGCACGAATATTCTTACACGGGAACACAAGCACCCGGCATAAGTGGGCAACGACTCAGACCGTCCAACGTATGGAACAGGATGTCCATATGGGAACTAATCAGACTAAGGTACGCAACGGGAGAATCGACCTCCATGGAAATCTTCACCCGGTCACCCTCCCTTTCCACATGGCGCTTCTTTTCAATTGTTTGTAAAGCTTTTGTTGGAGTCAGTGTGTTGCCATTGATACCATTACTCAATCCCTCTAAAAAAGTAAAAAAGCAACTCAGTGTTAAAACTGCAGAATAATCGAAACAACGGCGCGCGTAGTGAAAATCAACAAGACATCTGCAAATCGGCAACTGAAACACAATATAAACAAATACCCGTTGAGCTTTTTTCGGTATAAGTATGTACTCCTTTCTCACACAATTTTCATTCTGTTTCCCATAAATATATCTTTTCTACAAAATGATTAATGAAATAACAATAAAATAACAATTACTGCAACCGCTACTCGTAGGCGGAACTCCGTGGTGAAATTTCGTCTAGCGACTACAGTAACAAATCACAATAATTATCGTGATTACTGCGTTTACTGAAGAAAATAGCTGACATGAGTGTTCTGGACATTATACCGTCTCGCGTAAATTGGCACTGAAATAATTTTTTTTACGCCGGTATCTTTGAGAGTTGCTTGCCTGCACAGCTACTGAATAATTCAATAAAGCTATATCTTTTACATCACAGGTATTCTACAACTTAATCTCAAATTTTACCTTCTTTTTTTATGAAAACATCCTCTGAGTCAGCGTCGCTCGCTTTTCGCTTGCGCCCTCTTCGGCCTTTAACGGCTTCCACCACGGTACCATTGCTCCGATCTTCGATATCACTGTCACGCTTGGGACCTATAAACCACAGATCACACTGGGAATCCTGATTTCTATAACCCTTTTCCACGTACAAGCACAACTGCGAATATTTAAAGTCTTGCGGCCTTCAACTTTCCCCCTACAAAATAAATGAACAATCAATTATCCGAAATAAAACAAAAATCAGCGGTAGAGTATTGTAACGTACTGCACATGCAGCTCGAAAACGATGCAAATGTTGCATTTGGCCTTGTGGCAGCTGTTATTGCAGGTGCAAAGATACCGTCCCATCACCGAATGACCTAAACAATAAAAGCTCGCTTTATTACTAACGAAATCTCACAACCTTCAAACCAACATCAAGTATTAAAGTACTTTTTCCTGTTTTCTTCCCGGGATAAGTCAGAATAACCCGATTGTTCTCGTGTTTGGCACCCTTTTCCTCGGTGTATAAGAACTGCTTGTCTGAGAGAAAAAGAGAACAATATTAAATAACGAGAGAACTCCCATATTAATAACGACAGAATTCCCATTTTAGTTGTCAGCTGATTTTGTAAAAAATTACAGTCGCAGGTGAACAATAACGTCGGAACTTACACAACTGGCAAACTTCCACATGTTTGACACACGGTAGGACGTTCTGGCCAAAAGCGCCTTTATCATTGAAGATTGGCAAAGCGTGGATGGAAAATTCGGAGCTGGGGCACGTTTGCATAGTAAACTGCACTACCCACTGCTTAACTCGCTCGAGGAAGAGTTTTTTGGTTTCCGGCTTGTATATCCACTCTTTTCCCTGAGCTTTCTGTGGAAAACAGATATCGAATCCATACTGTCCTGAGAAATCCCTGCAAAGTTTGGGAGCATCATATCGATATCTTATTTCCACGGCAAAAAGCAAAAGAAGGCACCACAATGATAGCATAAAATATAAACAAAAGCTCTTAAACACGTATTAAACTACCACGGATAATCCGAATTATTTTGTAATTTTAATCGAAAAATGTGCAAAATTTTACTACAGAACAATCGCAATATCTAGCAGTGTTAAACCCAGCACAGAAAGCAAGGCACAAAATCAGAAAGGCACAAAATCGTCACAGTAGGATAAATGTAAAATACAAGCAACAATGTGTAAATGCAAATCCAACTGCAATGGAAACTTCCACGCACCTTTCCCAATTACATAGCAATTTTAATCGAAAAAATATTCAAATACCGGTTCACTGCTGAGCGGACGCGATAAAAGCCGGTTAACTGCTGAGCAGCCGCGATATCTACACGTATCAAATCCAAGAAAGATAACCTTACGAATTTTTCCCTTACCGAGGTCCTCCGTCGCTCGCCAGCTCCTGCGAATCCGCGCTCTGTACGGTCGCCCCCGCGGACGTGCTGGGAGCATCCTGCGACAGCGGGAAACCGTCCCTATCCCACCGGACATAGTACTCCTGTTTGCCAGCGCTAACAGCAGGCATCTCTTGGCTGCTGGGCAGAATCAGATCGTTCATCCCCAAGTCCGTCATATTGTTGGCCAGCCAGGAATATGAATATCCGCTCTCCACGACCGGCGCTTTCCCGCCACGATCCACCAGCTGTACCACCTGCATCCCGTTCATCGTACCATAATCATTATTAGCCGTGGACTGGCTTAGAGGAAACAGGTTCTGGCTGGACGGTGGAGTTATCAAAAACTGGCCCAGGATCTGCGAAACTCACAGACTCATCTTTCATCCATAAAAATGACTTCTGAATAATATTCCAGATTATTCTGTATCGTTAAACAGGTCCGTAAATACGGGGCTTGAAGGTTATTCGTAATAAACAAATTTTTTTCTAATTTTTGAAAATATTTGCCTACTGCTGTTTTTGGAGAAATCTGATTTTGGACCAAAACCCACGATATCAAAGACTCATCCATTATAATGGTTTAGTTTTTTGATTATTAGTTAGAATAAGTTCATACATACAGCCCATTTAAGTGCTATTCATGATGACAATTTATTCTTATTTTTGAAGGTACCTGGCTAGTGCTTACAGGATCATTGCTCTGAGAACTGCGGAACAGTTGATCCATCTCGTATGGATCGTTGAAGGCGTTCAGGTTCTGTAAGCTCTTTTCGATGCTCTTTTCATTCCCGAACAGCTTCAACAGGAACGAGTTCCCCTCCTGATCTAGTGGTCTGATTTCCTTAATCTCTGCGGCTTTACCGGCCAGCTGCTGCTCAAGGCCTGGGTTTCCGTTGGGAATGGGATTCATGATACCGTAGTAAGACTGCACGAGGCAGGCTGGTTCTAACAGTTGTCAAGCGAGAGCACGCAGCACGAAGATTCACGTAGAGACGGGAAACAGCATAACCAGTCCGCACTATGAAACTGTTAAACTTAAGAAACCCAAGAAAGCTCCTATGAAAACAAAGAATGCGGAAAAGGAGAGGAAAATAGGACCAGGACGGTAAAGAGAAAAAAAAACTCAGGAAAATCGTCATGCAGCAGCCAGAGATGTACAGTACTTATGCACGCACTACGCTGGTACAATGAGTGCAGTTTAATGCACTCGTACAATACCTACCACAGCTGCCAACCACAGCAGCTGGTCCATAGGTGACAGGACCGCCCGATCATGATTCATTCATGGCCGCTAAAGCGCTGGTAGCCTGGTACGTATGTAGAAGCTGCTTTGTCACTTTTGTGTATACGTTGCCACCGCCCTCGGGAATCTGTTAAACCGAATGTTAAACCGGACATGACAACACCGCTAGCGCTAAGTCGCTAACACTGCAGTCCACTCTTCACCACAGAGTCGTAGACCGATCACGACCGCTTTTGATTTTTATTTTTCATTTTACTTTTTTATTGGTTTGAGTCGTTTGACGTTAAACTAGTATAGGTCTCAGCAGCCCTAAGGGCAAGCAAGCGAGCGACATATAGACATTTTTTGCAAAAACAAAGATAGCATCAAGGATGGCTCCCATATTGCAGCTGTATGTAGGCGTAGGAGTGCAAGCCCTTAGTATTTTTGGGTTTAATTCGGCAAATAAACAAAGAAATGGCGCACGAAGCAACGTGCAAAATGATTAGTATGTTAACTTTAAACCCAATAACACTGTATGATGATTCCTACCGACATTTTAGTGTATGTTTTTAGTGTTAATGCAAGTAATGACTTGTCTCAAAATTATTTTCTTAAAGAGTAATGTTTCCCGTGGTACATAATAATATTATTACAACATTTAATACGACTGTAAGCCTCAGTTACTTTGTGCAAAATTATAATATTGCACCGATATGTCGGAGATATACCGACAGCCTTAAATTCTTTGTTTTATTCGAAAACTAACTGCTATCGATAAACATGATTATTTAATGTTTCTCGACAAAAACAAATCAGCAGAACATATTACGGATGATTAAGAATCAAGATGCCACCCCCAATGTGGGGAAGTGCTGAAAGTGGGGCAAAGATTTGTAAAATTATTGTACATAATGTAGAATGTGGAATAACGCAAATATCATCATTATCATTTCATCAAACAACCTTAATTACTACCAAGACGTCAAGGTTGCGATGCCGGCTAACGTAAGATATACCTCAACGATATATGCATCTGGGAAGCACTGTATCTGTACTGTCGAGTCAACTTGGCATTTTTTTCATTCGGCGAGTTGCATCCGATTTAAATAGGATATAACTCACTGTACAAAACGGTGCTGCCAAGTGAGTCGACAAGAAAATGCCTGAAAATCTTTCTCAAATTCCTCGAAAGAAGGGTTTGCATCCTTCTGGTGTTCGATATTCTCTAGAGATGGGAATACTATATCAGTGATAACGACTTCTGAATCAGAAGTTTCGATTGCCCCTTCCATTAAACATTATTCTTAACACTGACCTTTTGCACATGGTAAGCTTTTAAGTTCATAACAATTTAACAACAGTATAAAACAATGATGATTTAAAGTCGGAATATGCAAATAGTATTACGTTCACATAATATTGGACATAATAATTATTAATTCAGAACGGGTGCCTAAAATAAACACTCTGCGAAATGGGGTGCCTATAATAAACAAGGATTTTAGGGGTTGCCTATAACGGTTTCCTTAAAAATATTCGGAAATATTAAGAAATAAATTGAGAAATATTCAGAAATATTTAGAAATATCTAGAAATATAATCAGAAATACTTACAAATATTTAGAAATATATTCAGAAATATGTAGAAGAAATTAGCAATGTTTAAAAACATGTGGAAATTGTTGGAAGTATTTTTCAAAAAGTTTAAAATTATTTCTAGAAACATTTAGAAATATAAATAGAAATATTTGGCATCTTTAGAAATATATTTAGAAACAATTAAAAACATTCAAAAGAATTTAGCGTTTTCCAGAAATATTTAGAAATAGGTAAAAAGTTATTTTAAAATATTTAGAAGCATTTAAAAATATTTAAGAATATTTAGGAGAATTTAGCGATATTCAAAAGTATGTAGAAAAGTTTTTAGAAATATTCATAGAATATCTTTAGAAATATTTTTAGTAACACTTAGAAATACATATGAAAATATCAGAAATCTTTGAGAATATTTTTAGAAATTTTTAGAGCAATTTAAATGAATTTAGCAATATTTAGAGTTATTTTTACTAACATTTGTTAATTATATTTGGAAATATTCTTAGAAATGTTTAAAAATACTAATTTAATTCAAACGCTCGTTCAGAACTTTATCCTTGGACTTCGAAATCTTTATTAAAAAGTTTATTCAAAACTTCAAAATGATGTTGCACAATATCTACACATAGCATTGTTCACCCTTTTTGGAGAAGGTACAGTTAACACTTCTTTTTTCAGTCCAGAGGGGTTTGCGCTGCCCCTTTGATGATTTGTCAATAGTACTTAAACTGGGCCCGTACAAGTTGTTCAGTTAAACGTCACAACGTATGATGCGGTGCATTGTCCATATATAAACCAAAGCATAGCGTAGAATTTGTTGTAAAATTGTGTTTTGGCCACGACAATTGACCACAGCAAATGAGACATTCTTTTTCGTTTAGTCTAACATTCATCTGTCTTTCAAAAGATCAAAATTTTTTGAATTAACATCCGGTGACGGGACCCTCGTTAGAAACAATGAATTTGTTTTTAAGATTAACAAATTATTTAAATTTATTTAACTTTTTAGATATGTAGTATTTTTAAAAATATTTGAAAATATTTTTTAATATTTAGAAACATTTCAGAAATATTTAGAAATATATAAGGAACTACTGGAAATCTTTTGCAGAAAAGGTTGAAATATTTAGATAAATTTAGCAGTTTTAAAAATATTCAACCATTTTAGAAACATCTTAGTAATATTTAGAAATTTATTTTAAAGAAATTCTAAAAAATACTTTGAGTAATATCTTAAGATAATTGCATGCATAAGCTACATACAACTTCTGCAAAAGCAGCATAATAAAATCCTAGATTATCCTTTTCGTACATCAAAAGTCATTTACAAACCAACCCGGATACTTCGGTTGGACTCGCCACATTAAACTGTACCAGAAAAGTGCAAATCCCGGTGGCGACCTCGGGGAACCCGAGACCTCGAACCCGGGGACTGGGTTAGACTTGCCACATTAAACTGTGCCAGAAAAGTGCAAAATCCCGGTGGCGACCTCGGGGAACCCGAGACCTCGACCCCGGGTACTTCGGTTAGACTCGCCACATTAAACTGTACCAGAAAAGTGCAAAATCCCGGTGGCGACCTCGGGGACCCAGCGACCTCGAACCCGGGTTCTTGGTTCTTCGATGCCATTCGACTCAGCGTGTCGAGTTGTGCAGGTTAGCAGCAAAAAGTCAGCGGCGAACCCAGGAACCCGGGTTCGAGGTCTCCGTGTCACAGAAAACTCAAATCTCATCTATAATAACGCAAGCTCGCTTCGCTCGCTTGCTTGATAAGTAGTTGTGAAAACAGGGAAATTATTCTCATTCTTCCAGATATCGTTTTGTGCTAAACTTCGGCCTCGTATTCTTGTGTTCACTCCCAACTCCGATAATTCACACAGTATTACGATGTCCGAAAAATCTAGCCTAGAGGTCCAGAAGGACTGGCGCTCGAGTAAACACATTTCCAAGCGAGCTCGTTATCTCCTGGATCATCCTGATGAAGAAATTCCCAGCGATGTCACCTTTCTTGTGGGAAATGGAGAAGGCCAACCAGGAAAGATCTTCTAGTGCCATAAGTAAAGTGTCATGACAGCAAAAACCAATGTCTTCAATTTGCTGGGCTGATTTCTTCCAATCCGTGTAGCACCTAGTTACAGAAATATTATACTAAAATTACTACTGTTTAGGTTCGTGCTTTCGCTGGTGAGCGCTGTGTTCCCAGCCATGTTTTATGGTCCATTAAGCCAGTCCACGGAACTGGAAGAAACAATTGAACTTCCTGATATTTCACCGACCGCGTTTCGCCTGATGCTCCAGTGAGTTTTGAAATTTTGTTTTTTGGAAAAATTAGTGCCGACCGCCCAGCGAGCTAATATTTGTATCTTCGGTAACAATGATAAGTACGCCGCAATGTTTTACTGCACTTTTACCAGTATTCGTTATGTCCAACCAGATTTGCCTACGCTGACGATACGGATTTCGAGATCGAAAATGGGTGTCCGTCGACGGCAGATCTCCTGAACTTGCTGTATTGCTCGAAGAAATATCTTATCTCCAAGCTGACAAGGGAATGTCGAGATCGCATCCAGTCATTCATAGATCCCGAAAATGCGTGCTTGATTTTTCAGCAGGTTAGCCACTAGTATGATATAGATATACAGAGTACGTAGCCACTATGTATAACTGTACTCGTATAGTTTAATGGAGACTGCTCCATTAAATCAAATCTGCTCCATTGAATGGTCAAATCTGAATCTTGTTATGCTTATAGGATTTATAAACAATCTTATTACCGTTCTATAAATTTTATTTCTATTAATTAGGCTCGCTGTTTGGAGGAGGAGATCCTTGCCAAAATAGCACTCGCAGAAATCTCGCGTTACGCAGCGGATGCGATGGACAGTGCAGGCTTTTATTCTCTTTCCCTTCCTTGTGTGAAAGAAATTTTGGATCAGCCGGACTTGTTCGTAATCGAAAGTTATATATATGAGTTTGTTCGCGCGTAAGTTATTCGGATTTGAGCTTTAAGCTTACTGTAATTTTTATTTGGGAACCTTATAATTCTAAAAAAACATTCTAATCGTGCCATCTTGACCTTCATTGCGGTATTCTTATAATGATCTTTTCTTTTTGGGTGTCAGGTGGGTGAATCACAACGTGGCCGCCGCCGCTGATAATCTACGCGAAGCCTTTGGACCGCTGTTGTATTCCATTCGCTTTCCAGTATTTTCCGCTGATGAACTGTTTAAAGGACCTGTGAAAGTAACGATCATACCCGCATACATTGAGCATATCATTCCATATATGCCAAGAATTTTTGCTTTGCAGGATGGTGTTCTTACCGATCGCGAAGTGCGGGACATTTTTCAGCATATACATGCAACAGAAAAGCCGATTTTGCCCTTCCTTACCATGTTTCGAACATCTCCGCGGAATCGGTGCATTTGGGAATTTACTTTTACGAACACCGTGTTGAAAAGAACTCCATGGTCATGCTTTAGCGTTCGGATTACAATGTACCCAAACTTCGCTCCGGAATGTTGTCGTTTTCTCCGGCAGATTATCGAAGGACAATGCCGCATTCTGTTTGAGGGCTACACAAATCGGTTTCTGCGTTGCGAAGTGCCCGGGACAGCAATTATGGAAGAGGCTACGGTGCTATCACATTCCGAGATGGGGGCTTGCTGGTTGGAATGGGATGTAGATGAAGTGGGCGCTATTTCCGGTCTTCGTATAGCTGCCTGGAGAAAACCGGCTGCCAATCACAGTGCGGTATTTGGCAAGTTGGAGGATACCGATAGTGACTTTCAAGAAATGTTCCGCAACTTTTCCTTTCTGCCAAGAACGAGTACTTCTATTACACACATTCGAATCTTTGAAGAAGCTAAGTAGGGGATATGTGAAAAATTTTGATATTGCCGGATACTTTATCTGGGCATGATTGTGTTTTCTGTTTTAATAGAGATCCGGTACGTTATTTAAGTTTTTAAAAATTGGTTTTTGTAGTACCTTTGTAATTTCGTGCTTTCACGCATCAACGTTGTGATATTCCGTGAAGTTGGACAACAATCTGATAAGTTTATTTGTGGCGCGATGCCCGATGCAGTGTGCATAAATCCGCTAATTCCACAGAATCCTGTACATCTGTAATAAACTTCGTGTAGCACTGTACTCGTAGTATGCGGAATAATATACAAAAAGCAAAATTAATAACACCTTGGACAGCTACAATGTTCATCTGTTGACCGCTGAAGAGTATGCCGGCCTAGTTCTGTCAGTCCCGAAAGGAATCATCACATAAGTATTCGCATTTCAAACCAATTATTTCCATGGGTGATATATTCTACATTGTAACTGAAAAGACTGCCGTGTCGACTGTTTATATGCTTCCATAGAGGGATGGAACTGCTATCTACCTCGCGTGCAGGTTGCAGCAATACTTTTCTCTACGTGTTTAATTGTTTTTCTTGTGGTACATCCTCTGTACATGACTGCTTACTACTGTGCGCAGATTAAAAAAGTACCCGATCCACAATTTCAGCGGTTCCGTTAATTATTACTGATCTTTCACACTCGTGTTCATATATTCCGAAAGCTCCGATTTTTGACACTGAAGTCAATTGAGACAGTTTAGACAACTTAAATAATTATATGCATGCAGCGAAAAAGTGTGCATTACGACCAATTTATCGTTAAATAAATATAAGCGAAGCTTTCCAGCTATGAATTTGCTGTAATTATACATTTTGTACATACAAAATGTAAACGAGCGAGACTGATAAATTTTCAATAACTAATAATAAGGTATACGACTAACATGAAAAATCCTATCGCCTCCGTTCAGTAACTTCAATTGTAGCAAAACAAAACTTACAACGATGTTGCATTTTATGTACCTACTCAATTTAAATACATTATTAAACTGCACGTGTACGTATGTAAAGCAATAATTAGAACGTTATTTCACAGGTTTGGGTAAAACAAGCGTAAAGCATCATCATGCACTGGCCGATCTTGTGAAGCTGGGGAATTTTTCGACGCTAAAAAGGCAGCAGATTCATATAATTTTGCAGTCACTGTCAGCACCGGCATTCCACTCTCATCGCCGGGAGAATGACCCGAAGCCAGGTCGGTCCAACGTGTCAAAGTTCCGTTTGCCCATAGACCGCTTGCTCAGCTCTCCGAAGCCGGGTCGGTCCAATTGGTCGAAGTTACGCTTGGAGAATCCGCCGAATCCGCTCGCCGAATCGATGGGATCAAATCCACGTTTGGATACTTCCGTGGCCGGGATGCTGTACGGACGCTGCATGGCCGCCCACGGTGGATACTGGTAGAGGATGTAGTCGTTGTCAAAGCTCCGCCCCAGACCGAAGCCTGTCAGGGAATCCATCCGTGAGCGCTGATTAAGCTGGGATTTACGCAGTGTATGACTAAGGTCACGTCCCAGACCGCCGCCGATTAAGGAATCAAAGCCGCGCTCTTCGCGCAGATTTTCATCCTATTAAAGAAAAAACCGCTAAGATTTGTATTTAACATGACGGTCACGTCCAAAGTCAATTGACTTGATTGTACAAAGTATGCACTTGTTGACCCTTCCAAGATGTACATCGTATAAGTAGTAGACGTGGAAATATTTTTTCCGATAACATTATACGGTAAATCCTGTTTTTGTACGTATGCGCTTGTGGTCTTGTATGCACATGCACTTGACAATCATCTTTAGCATAGAAGTTCAGTCATAATCTATGGATTGACCAGAATCAGTACGTTTCGAATGATAATGCTGTACCATGAACAAAACACATCTACGCAAATGTATCGAATTTTGCCTAAATTTAGCTGATTCAAATTTCCGTTTACGTCATACTTATATTGATTAGGCAGATTTTTTATTCGAAGGCCAGTTAATCTTTCTACGAGCATGTCTTAACTAACTTCCGGCTAAGTACTTATGTACTTCTAGAACAACCACACCTTATTTTAGAATGTTACTATCGCAAACTGCATGAGCGGAGTACAAGCGAATAGTTTGTTCTAACCGGAAAAATGTTAAAGCGTTTATATTGCAGTCGTTTTACTTAAGACACTAACTGCTTCAGAGTACTTTCTCCTAAGCAATACACATAAATATGCAAGCTACATTTTTTTATCGGCTATTGTACCAATTTATTGTACCGGAAATGGGTAAAGGTCACCAATCACTTACAATAAGGGCGTGACATATGGCAACGGAGACAAGCGCGATCACAACATTGTAGCCGAATCCCGTTATCCACGACGGCATCTTGATTGCTGTTGACGAAAGGCGTTGTAGAATAAGTATCTAGTGGAGAGCTGTATAAAGAAAAACAGGAGTAAACGTTCGAAAAGCTTTACGCAGAGGATTTCCGGCCTTGGAGTTGCTTGGATCATTACGCTACATGACCACTTCCGCCGTTCAGTGTTTTTGCTCTATGAACTACGTAATTTTGCTGAGAGATTTTAATGTCCATACTTCCCTACAAAGATCCTGTATGTTTATGGCGAATTTCGTAAGTAGAACACTTCATGTAAAGATAAAGTTTTTATACTACTTTATAGTAAAAGATAAAAATTAAAAAGCTTTGTCCAAATCGCTTATGGCACCACCCGTGATTACTAATGATTGGGAGTATTCACTCGTTGGTGCCTCGATATATTCCCACTATTGGACGCTGAAAACGTTGTGGATTTTTTTCCAGCTGTGCAAACACATAGGTGTCGCGATACGAAACTAATTAGTCACGCGCATGTCGAAAGTAATCCATAACCTGCACAGTAACCAATTCTTCTACGAAGTTCTTTACCTCATAGGGATTCTAAGGTCATGTAAAAATTACGGTTTTATTTTTTATAGTATTAAATTATAAAGGTAAATATAGATTGATATTTTCATATGCGCCAATTTTTACCGATGGAAAGCTCACCGGAGAAAAATTTGTACCTCCTCTGCGTTACTGTTTTTCGCAGTGTAACCCGCCCGAATGCCAGATGGGATTATTAAAATCCTTTTAACTGCACACCTCGATAAATGTTTATTGTTAATAAAGCATCATAAATGCATCATCTACGCATTTCCTGTTTTGAAAGTGTTCACGCTCGCAAATATGGTAAATTATGCAATTTATCGGCTTCTCAGTTGCTTTAAAAACGCGGATTTACACACGCCTGTTTAAAATCACTACTTTTGGCTATTGCAATTCCCAAAATTAATATATTAGTTATATTAAAAAAGGGAGCACAATGGAAGTATTGACAACAACAACTGATGTGCTACTGTGTGCATATTAATTATTGCTGTAAATAATTATATTCATTCTAATTAAAATTTTCATCGGAAAACGTTAGCATCTGTGGCGGTAATTACGAGAAATCATTGACCTTTATGCTTTAGGTGCAAACGATGCAGCCTTAGTATAACCAGCTCCCAGGTTACAATTTTACGATGCCACTCAAATTCAACAAAGCAGTAGCTATTGCGAAAATGCTTCCGAAGATGTTTTTAAAAATCCTTCTGCAAAAAAAACATTCCAGCAGAACGAAAACGGAAGCATCTGAATAGTGATTCATAAGGTGCAACTACAACACCGCAATTTCAAATTTTTGGCACGAAATAAGAAAAGTCTTTCACGTACCTTTGAACCCGCAAAGCTGCTCACTCCCAAAAGGTGTTTATGGATGACCACTCAAACCGTTTAAGTCGCAAACCAAGTGGATAGGTCACCAGGTCTCACCGCTCCAGACAATCCCGATTAATATGGTCAAAAGAAGGCGCTTACACAGTCACAACTCCGCAGCCATATTCCTGCTGGGCTTTATATACCGGCAGCAATTTGTGTTTTACAACATCAACACCACGTCACTGGCGGCGGATACATTTGGGCGGTTCCCTATGGCACGCACGGGATTTCACGCCGGAAGCGGACACGCGCTGTTATAGTACACAGTGTCCGCTAAGGCGGGAACTCCTTTAAGGCATATAATTATGTCCCAAGACAAATATGACTCATTGACTTTTTTCTAACCGCAATCTGTATTGTACATGTGGACCTGTTCCCGCGCTTCTAATCGAAGGATAATTAAAGCCTGTCAAGCTTAACAGGAGCGCAGGGTTATTTAACGAGATAGCAACGCTTGGTTGGCTGCCGGCTTATACAGCCAATCGCCGGTTAGTCCCAATGACGTTTAAGTGCCAATACGTGTGTGCACAGAACATGATGTTCTCTCTCTCCATGGATTGCCCGGCTATACAATTTTATTGACCATAAAAGTTTAACTATAATTTCCTGGAAGAAACAACAGCTGAATTATTAAAATCCATGGACCAGCCCTGGTAATACAAAGTTCAACATGGCCATCCCGCTCTCCTTGTGTCAATCATTGTTGACAATTAAATTCGGGAAACCACCGTGTGGTTAGTGTGCGTACGCTGGAACATGGCTTTTATGAGCGTGTGGTTAGTTACTTTTTGACATGTTGACGTAATTTGTTGTTACAACTTACAGCTGGCATTAACATCGATCGGATTAACACACAGAAAGCGAACAAAATCATTTACTAACAATAACTGGAACAATTTTAGTTCTCTGGTTCTGTATAAAAATCATGTAAAGCACTGACTATTCTGTATCACGCGCACAATCACTGAATCACACAATCGAAAGGAAGAAATAAGGTGGATATTACACGAAGACCCAAATGTAACCATTCATAAAAATGTGCAACAGAATTTGACTGTTCAGTTTTATAGAAATCAAGTTAAAAAGCAATCTTTCCTCTTCTTTTGAAAAATCCCAACTGCAACAAGAAAACATTAAAAATTCTTTACTTGTTGATTATAATTTTCGAAATCTGTTTCAAAATATACCTGGGCTTTATTGTAGATATGAGAAAGAATTCCCGCATAATTCTCGATCATAATGCCGGTTTCTTCATAACTCAGAGCACCGGAATGTGCGTCCACTTCCTGCCGACAGGCCGTAATAAAGGGTTGCAGGAAGCCCTGCAGGAGATAACCGGTAATGCCGCTGCCAGCGATGATCGTCTCGCTGAGATCTGCCGCAGCGGAGTGGTCAATAAAGGTCACGTATGGAACTTCCGAGAAGGGATTCCAGTTAACCGATTGTGGCACCTAATGCCAACCAGAGACACTTTATTAAAAAAGTCATGCATTAACCTTTTAAAAATTACGCATTAACCTATTTGAAAAGCACGCACTATGCATTATTGACAAGCCGCTTTGGGTTTTGTATACCTTTACTGTTGACATAAAACATTTCTTTTTTGACATTCTGTCGGGAACTGCTTTGCGGTAATTTTACAAAGATTATTCACTCAAAACACAGAGGTACTTACAGTCTAAACATATATTTCAGTAAGCAAGTACCGCAACATTTTAAAATTCGTTTCGACATAATTTCTTGCATGTACTTATTGTTGGGTAAAGAAATTTTTGACCTAGCTCGCTTCAGTTAAACACTGCCTCACTTCTGCTTCATTTTGCCAGCTAATCCGCAGGCCGGTTTGATTACGGTCCCTGCAAAATCCAAGGTCACTTAACGTTAACGACAGGCCGAATTAACTTGATATGAAATCCCGGCAAATGTTCTTGTGCACGCACTCAAAGATGGAGCCAGGCGGATAGCGCAGTGATCCATACACGCATCGGTTAATCAACTGCAATATCACCAGACATATCGTCACCTTTTCCCACTTGTCACTAAAAACAACAACGCCAAAGAACTAAATAACCTCGGCCACTTACCCGCAATGGAATCCGTCGATATTCTATTAGGGTTAACTGGATGAGGTCATACTTGACGATGATCACTGTATGAATTTACACAATACCGGAAGCCGCGTTATAGCATACGTTCTACATCTGTATATCAGTCTGGTGATTAAAGATTTCGGGCCGAACTGCTTACTGTTGCGCTCCGTCAGGAATACTAATCGCTCATGCTCCACATCCCAATGGGATATTCTGTCGGAAGTAAAAATGAGCCGGTTAAAGGGAGAAACGGTGTTAGAAATGTCAGCCCTTAAGTGGAATGCCAGGGTACGGTATACGAGCCCATAGCGATTACTCTGTCAGTAGCCATATTCCGATAAGTTTCCCCTCGCGATTGCTCGTGTCCGTAATCACCGGAAGGCTACAAAATGCATATGCTGTAAGAAATGGATGTAATACGCTGCAAGATCAAGTCTCCCGCGGTAGCAAAGGGGAAGGCCGCATGTCGTAATCTAACACCCATAAAGTAAGGTGCATGTTAGAGGGCACCGTTGGTAGAACGTACCATTCTTTTATGGCATTAGCGATGGTGTGTCCGCCATCCTGGGAAAACATGAAAAGTATGGTTTCAGAAAATTGTTGCTCAAAGAGTTCTATGATTATTATGCCTTGCAATAATTCTGTTGTTTACTGCCAAAGTTTTATTAGGCGATAAGAAAATTAATTATTGCTGACTTCGACATCCGCAGTCAAGCTTTCGTTCTCTGCTGATGATGCATTAATTCTGTCATATTTTAAACTACTGTGCTAGGCTAACAAAATATTATTGAATAGTTTTTCAGTACACAGTATAACCTACATTACAAAACGTAAATTACGATTATTACACGTACTTAATAAATCATATACGGCCACACCAACAAAATAATTTTAGAAGTAAAAATATTTTTCGTAAATTTTTTTGGTAGCATCGTTACGCCATTGACCGGCCCAAGTGCTGGACCTTTTAGGCTTTTTTATCTACTTCTAGTTTTGGGTTTAGTCTGCATACTGTACATATGTACGAGTACATTGCAAATGGAAAGCCCGCATGGGAGACGGATGTCGCTGCGCATATTTTTGCTTTACTCTACCACGCTGCGCACTTCTACAGCAGCACAACGCTGCCGTCTAGTTAACATCTTCACACTGACCCGGAAAGCAAAGTAGGTTTTTAACGAACGCTCCGCTTCCTTCTGGGCAACTTGACGGCTGGCCTCCTCCACCGCCGCGCCACCGAGGCTGCCTCCCGTCGGTATTGGCCCGGAAGCGCCGCTAATACTCCCTCGGGTGGCGCCATTCGCTGCGGCCGCCGTGCTGGCCGCGGATCCTGACGACGACAACTGGCTGATGCTTTCTGACAAACGGCGCAGTGTGGAGAATAAGGTGGAGCTGATACTGGATTCCTCCGGTACGGTGTTGGTCTCACTGGTAGGGGAAGGGTGCTGCAGGGGGGATGTGGGAGCGGAGACCGTGCTGCTGGGTGATACGGTCGTTTCGTCTGTGAAACGGATACGGGCGGTTTTGAAATCAATGGCTGTTAGCCCGTCGTCCGTCACATCCTCGTTCTTCTCCATTGCAAATCACTACATATGACCAGAATCCGAATAATCAGGCTGATTATGCTACAGAATCGAAAACGTGGATTTCGCTGAGAAGTACTTGGATTAGAGACTGGTCTTCGACAAATAGGAACGCGAGTGTAAATTCATAACTGCAACAGAGATAACAGACAGCAGTGTTTTTCCTACGTGTGGCATGATGAGCGCACACAAGTGCCTTTATCGCTATGATATCGATTTTGGAATTTCACATCTGCTTGACTCGTACACATAGTACTTGTACTGTTGTACATATCTGTTTATGCGGTTTCACTAAATTTCACGGAATAGGATTAGTAAGGGAAGCCAAGTTTATGGCGTTGTGTACTTATTTAAAACAGCGAAACCATTAATTTTTGGTAATGTACTCGAAAATAATACTCATGCGTTGTTTTTGTTAAATAGCTATATACTAGTCTAGAAGTAGTGTTCAATGTGTATTGGCACTTGTCAAATGCCACAGCTATTACAGTATGTACAAATTGTACAGGACTTACAATAATTACAAGTTAATAATAATAAATTATTGTCTTCCTCTTATGTTGTGCGAGTGGTAAACGCAGTACGAGTACCTGACATGTACAGTACAGAGAAGACAAGTTGGAATTTCAAATTAAACAGGCGGTTAGCGTAAAATTAAATAATAGTTTTGACTTTTGTGGAACATTTCAACAAATTTCAAGACTTGGTGATATTCGTTCGTGCATTTCTAGCGTTTTTGGCCCCAAAAAGCTAACGTAATCGAATAAGCATGTCTGAAAAATTCCCAACACGATTTTATTGTAATAGAGGTGTACTTACATACTTCAAGGCCGCCCTACACTGGGCCTACAGACCATAGCACGCCGGTGCCGACAGAACACTAAATTTTGAGATGACCATAGAAAGGAGATTCTGGCGATATTACGTACGAGTAGTTTGCACAGTGCAAAGTGCTTTTGGAAATTCACCGATCAGGTAAATACACTTTACATGCAATACCGCAGTATATAAACAAACAAACAGTGTCTAAAATGTATATGTACTTGTATAGTTGGTAACTTGGTATATCGTCTTATTTTATAAGTACAGCATGTGTACTTGTATAGGTTCGTTAGGTGTATTCGCTACCAGTGCCTTCCACCGGCATCCAGCCATAATCGTTAACGTTACATGGTTCCCGCGCTCATTCTTCAAGATCTACGGTCCGAAGGGAGAGGATATCAAGGCGCTTGTCGATGAATGTGGGAAAGTATAGCCGCTGCGACCGGACAACAACGATCGAAAGAAATTTTCGGCAGCCATTGTCCATACCGATTGAAAATGGAAATATTTCCATTTTCAATCGGTATGGACAATGGCTGCCAATATTACGCAGGTGGTATTAATACCACCTGCGTAATATATGGAAATGCTTCCCGACCAGGGACCAAAAGAAAAGATCTTCCTGTTTTAGCGAACTTTGCTGTCCACTTGTCATTGCTTCCGGTTTCGGTGCTTTACTTAATAATCTTAAACATTAGCAAGGCAAGCTACGTACTCGTACTCGTTGCCAGTTGCTTGCATTGTTGCCGGCTACTTCTGGGACATATGTCGCAAGTGACATATGATTATATCGTTCCTTTATGCCGCATCGCCCACCGGCTCTCACATTTAATCACTTTCCTTCCGAACCGATTTTCTTCCGGTGTTTTTGTGTTCTCTCAACTGAACAGAGCATGCTTTTTATTTTTATATCTTAAAATACCTTTTTATAAGTTAATACGGAACTGCTTTCTTAACTGCAAATGCGTCGGGTAGAAACTGGCGAAAAGCTCCGAAAGCAGTTATTAAAAACGCAGTGCAGTTCAGTCCGCACACCGCCAGTGGCGAAAGTAAAAGAGATATTTTCAAAGGAAGAAGCGTTGGATGGTTTACGTAAAACGGAAGAATTTTCGAAGAATTTTTGTTACTGTTAGAATTATTATAGACACAAAAAATTTAGCAAACTTCTTTCATTACATAAGAAAGTAGTTATACAAATACGCTTGTGGACGAAAACACTAAATAATATTTGTACAACGTACACTTTTCACTGCGCCATCACTTAAAGTTGCACAAGCAATCTGTATTGTACGTGTATCACGTACAATACTACTTTATAAAAGATACTGCAGCAGACAGACAATGTAACATTTAAGAGTGTGGAATTTTGTAATATATTGTTATGCTTCGGCTCATGTTTTTTTCGTATTTCTCTGGTAGACATTTGATAGAGGATTACGTTCTACAACCCTTAAGCAGAGATTTTTGTCACTATGCACAAACGATGTTATTTGCATTTCTAAATGTTTTTTCACAAGAATTTTACGTTGCACTTAATAAAAATTAATGTCAATAAAAATCAACTTGCGAAGTAATTTCCCAACCAAATATCGCACGAAAATTTCGTTTTCACACCAAATATGAATGATCTGCCTACTTCAGAGGTCCCACACAATGCAAAAGTGAACTACAGATACTGGAAAATAGTACCAAGAAATATGTCTGAAATCTGAATGTAAACACCTTTACATTAGCCTTACCTTGTCGCTTCGCTTAAAATCAATGTGTAGACATGCGTACAGATTTGATAAACAGCACGCTGTAATTAAAAGTTGCTGAGTTCGTAAACAGAACCTGAACGAAGACGTTATACTCGTATGAAATGCAGTCGGATATCGAAACGACTGCTTAGGTGTTCGCCACTGTATTTATTATTGACAGTCAAAGTGGTAACCTCCAGTGCGTCGTTGCGTCTACAACGTGGATACTTTTAATTACGTATTGATTTATTTAATTTAACAGCAACATGGACAACACCTGATCTAGCGCAAACACAGGTAAAAACCAATCAGAATTATAGCCAGTGGTCGTTAATCCGGTCTACCACCAGATTAACGAGCAGCGAAATACTCTGACCGAAAACGACAATCGTACGTGCATACGGTTATGTCGAAACTGAATTAAAACTACGGAGATCACCTGGCAAAATACATAGAGTATATATGCATGCAGCGGCTTCATATATCTCTTCAATGGAAAATTACATACAACGCACATATGCGAAAATTAGCAAACGTAAGAACACTGAAGATCGAAAGGTCATCCCCGGGTCGGTATGCCAGTAAGAGTTGGTAATTAGCATGGTTGGTGGAGCGATACATCGTTGGATGAAATTTGTCTTTCTAAGCTTTCTTAAGCAGTTTGTCGGCTCGTTTGTTGGCTTCGGTGATGCGCGTCTGGTTGGATTCGGTTTTCAAGTTTATTCGGTCCAGCTGCCGGTTTTGGGTCTCAATTTCACCGCTCATATCCACGGCCATATTACGCAGATTGCTGATCATCGTTGACACCTGGCCGAGATTCTCTTCCATTTCATCCTCCCTGGCATCGTTTGTAATACTGAAATATTAAAACATGATCAGTAATTATGTGCTCAAAAGTAGATATATATAGATATATACAGTAAGTAGTACATCATCAAGTCCTACTCGGAGTTAGAAAGTCAGATATACACCTATCTGATCCTAACGTAAAGTGCAAAGAACAGGTCTTAGAACCTTATAAGCGTGTACTTTGAAAACATTTTTGAAATAAATAACGTTTTTGGAATAGTGATGATCTGTTTTAAAGTGTACGGCTTCAACACATTTACAATACGTGCGTACGGTAAATTGTTTAAAAAGTCCCAAAAACATTCTACTGAAATGCGCCATTTCAAAACTTTCTGATAAATAGTACCAACATTCAGCACTATGTACATTAGGAAAAAAAATTAACATTGCAGCGCAGTGTACTCGTACAGTCATGACTAAGGGTATGATTTCTTGTCGGAAATCGTTAAAATACAAACAGAGTAACGGATAACTAATCTGTACATCGTTAAAGTGATCAATATGATCTCGTACTAACAAATACCGTGTCAACATGTGACCGCTCATCAAGGGACCACCTCCGTCTGGCACAGTCACCCTGGGTCCACCGGCACTTTTTCCATCATCATTTCCTTTCCATGTTTTATCGTAGTCGGCTCCTTTTTCAAAATTCTTCCCCCTGATTTTAATAGAATCACAATAAATTACTCGACGTCCGATGATCAAATGCTAAAAATATGCGACTACTGAATTTCCTTTTTGTTTGATAAACAGCGTAGTTGGACAACTGCATACCAGTATCAACAAAGTTATAAGAAAAGCCTTACTGCACCAGTTCATAATACGCATGTGGTAAATCCGTCGTGCACGTAGTGCACGATCGCAGGCTTACTTATTCCATGGGCAAACACATAATCCACAACATTTGTCCAAGCCGGTTAGATTTTTTTCAGCTTCTTTCATGTCCTGGTTAATTTGGTCCATGCCCTCTTCTATTCTGTCCAGTTGTTCTGCAATAGCATAAAAATGGATTATGATAGATAAAACGCGTTAACGTCAACTAACTGAAATACTGTTATCACTAAACTTAGTATGTGTGGTGATAGTAAGTAATTTACAGTTTTTTTCTCGCGCCGGATGCAAATATGGTGTATCAGGGTACAAAATATGCAAGCGAGCCATGCAGTAGAAGTGTTCTGTACACTACTGCAGCTGCAAAGATTGATTTAAAAAAATATAAAAACACTAACACCATCCGAAACATTTCCTATGTAAAATTTATAATTTCCAAGAATCTATTTCCAGCTTGTCATATGAAGACGACGCGCACTTGTTTTACATGACGCGTTTTTATGACTGTACGTCTGTACCTACCTCCTTGTTCGTCCAACATAACCAGAGTTCGGATGCCGGCATCTTTACTCTACAACAAGATTAATTATTGCACTTGTCACCTCTTGTGAGAAAAACGCAAATTTCTCATTACTTCCGATCATTTATCAAACAAGACAAAGCAGCTCAGATCAAGCATGCGTTTATACTCAACATTTTCACCATCAGGTTTTTTCTGCAGTATGCTTATCTGCTCACAATTTATCGCAAATAATTTTAGATTCGCCTTTAACCGTAACACGACAGTTGTCCAACCAAGCGTAAATGAGAGCGTCAAAATTTAAAAGAACTGGGATTTCAAAACGCTATTTATTCATCGCAAGCAAGCAAGCGCACAGTGCCAATACGCGTACACGCAATTTAGAAACTTCTGAGCTTTGATTTATGCCATGATTTAAGCGCTAACCTATGTCGATGAACTTTTGAACCAAAACATATAAGAGCATTTTTTAAAAGAAAGCCTAATTTATTAGTAAATAAAATAAGTTTATGCCAGAATTGCAAATTATATAGATTTTAAAGAACAGAGGCTGATTTTGTGAATTCATCATGTACCGATCTCTGCATTTTCGCGTTTATCGGCAAGTTCATGAATCGAAAACGGAATCTAGACTCTAGAGAAGTGGATGAGTACGCATGGCATAAATGTTTACTGCGCATATACAGAGTATAGTATCCAGAGAAAAAAATATGGTAAGCAGTGCCCATGTCTGTTTAGCTTAATCCTTTGGTTTACTCATTGACTAGCTCCCCGTTCGGAGTTTGGACGATATATGTTTTGCAGGCATGGTTATGGTCAGGGATTTAGTAGCCTCCTGGGAGATAAATGAAATTGACAGGAAGGGTAACTGGTGAGACACCAGTAACGTCATGTCGCCGGGCCCAGTATGCTCATCAAAATCGCTCAAGGCAATTGGTTCAAGTTAAGCGAACGGAAATATGAAATTTTATCTGATTTCAGCGCAAGCGAAGAGAATCTACCATATACGGTAGGATAATATTCCGGCTTAACATGGGTCTTCTAAAATAAATCGAAAACATGGTGGTCCTACGTACACAAAATTTACAGTCAGTCGTGTAATCTTCTGTTAATCGACCACGGAAAAAGAGCTTGAAAATGCGGTAAGAGTCGGTAAATTCCATTTTTTTTGTACATAAATTTCGCCTACCTCATATTTGTGCCTCGCATAAGCTTTTGTGGGAGAAGAATTATTTCTTAGCTGCTGTGTAAGAAGTGGAAGATTTATTTGCGTATAAAATTCGCACCACATCATCGCATTATTACGCACAAATTTAATTACAGCCGAAAAAGCTTTAGGTGCGGCAAATGTTGATTGGGTAACTGAGTGGGCAGGCTTTCTATTTTGTTTACTTGGATCCATTTTTCTTGATCTCATTTTATCTCGGTTATATTGGATTTACCAGACTGAAAAAATATACCCGTATGGACTTTATTTATTAAAGATATACTTGAAAAATCGACAATGTAGTTGTAAAACTGAAACAGCAGATGCCATAAAAAGAGAACCGTCGTTCTCAAGATTTAATGCATGTTACATAATAATGATTATGATCGTATTCTGATCATGGTTTTTCCGTAAACTGATTGCGATAATAAATTACGTCATGGGTGAAAATACATCGTATTAATAACCAGTATTTAAGCCCGTTACGATGCATGGGAATTATTAATCGACTAGCCAGATGGAGTTACCGGTGTGCGAGTTTACTGAGTGGAAGTGCAGTGGGTATTTTTTCCCTGTGATAAAGTACAGTATTTCCCTCAGCTCCACACGCACACGCATAGCCTGGAGAATTGCTAACATGCACTAGCACTCGCAGCAGCGATAAATTTTCAATTTGACTCAAATGCCTAATTACCTCTTCCAGCATCTGCACCATCCGGCGCGTGGAATCCAAGGTCTACAAATGAAAGGAAACATCAATTCAACAGCAAACCACATATAACACACCATACACAAGCAACAATCAATAGTCCAGTTCCGCTGATCAAGCGTAATGTGCTGCCGAACACCTTCTCTCTTTGTACCGGCTGCTCATTATACATCAATTTCCTTAATTAAAAACTTGGCATTTTCACGAATACGCCGGTGCATTAAGCGCCGAAATATCCTGGTAAACATTAACAGTAATACATGAATTTCTTGTGACCTTTATATTTATGTAAAGTTTCCAAGTGCGAAAGTTTACCGATTTCATGCAAGGAGGCAGTCACTTGCAAATATCGCTAAAAGCGAAACTATTCATTCGAAAACTTGCACAGCATCCGACTAAATACGGCTTTCATGTCAACAAAAAATAATTAAGTATTTCCCTTAAAACCATTACGCGGTCCGATAATTCCAGACTTACGTTACATCTTTTATTATAGGTATTAATATGTTCAAATATACGAGAGTGATAATAAAGCTGAAACTACCGAAGGATATAGGTTACCTCGTACATGGAATCATCAATCTGCACTTCTAAACTACTTTTTCGCGGTGGCTCAGGCTCAGTTTCGTTATCACCCCTTAAGTTCAAATCAAGAGTTTTAAGATCAATGGGTTCGGCAGCGTCTTTCCCGGTCTTCCGCGGCGCTCGGCCAGCCGCACTTCCGGTATTGCTTTTGGTTGTGGCCATTTTTATCTTCTATATACCAATAATTATCTCCCCGCACACACACAGTACGCTTTATCACAGCTTTGTCATGAAAGGCAACCGCTCTCTCTATACGGAAAACGCGGGATTCAGAATAAGCGGATTAATCGACAGCGATTATTCCCGCGTAGAAAAAAACCACCACCCTAATGACACATGCGCGAGCAACATTGCCGGATCGGATTGGATGTGTGACCACTGAAACGACACCGCATACATATATATGCCGTGTCACGAAGTGTAAATCCAGTGGAAATATATTTCGCCGCACACGTAGTTTGGAGAATCATGTAAATCGAAAGTGACGCGAAGAGGGAAAAAGGTCCTCCCGGATAAATTTAATAATACATATCGTCAAATCGTCAACGTTATAAACGGATGCCGGAGAATACAATTCGGACCGATATATGACCAAGTGTTCAGGCGGACGACAAGGGCCCAGAAGGGATTAGCCGGCCACCCAGGAGGAACATCGCCGCGAAATAACAGGTTAACGACATGCCCACCAAACACAAATGCACACTCCACTATACAATCCCATGCAGACATTCGGGCGCGGTCTTTTCCTATGTATATCTGCTTATTGTGGGTTGACTTTTTAATTTAATCCAACAAAGCTCGGTAAGTAACAGGCAGCGCACATGGTCCGAGTGGCAGTGGTGGGTTTTTTCTCCACAGCCAGCTGAAAGCGGCAGCAGTGCAGCATTCGCACAATTTTCAAGTGGTTGACATGCAATGGAGAGAAATTTACTCAAGATGGAGACACAAAATGGCTCTTTATTGAACCAACATACTTTGTGCGGCAATTACGCATTTATGTAGAGTTGGGAATTCTATACACCGGGATGCTGGCCAACTTTTGGTGGGGATAGGGAAAATGGTGCAGATTGCGTTATGGGTGACCAGAGCGAAATACATAGATATTGTATATATGACTGAATATACAAGAGGTCATATAATACCCGGAGTAAACTGATGACGGGATAAAAATACAGGCTCAATACATAAACGTACGACCAACCGCCGCGTGTACAGCATATTGTCATATATATGATCCTGGAGAAGGAAAAATGCATAGCCGGCCTCTCTTCCCGTTGACACGGGCAACACGCATTCGGGAACGCACCTATACAGTCGGGGCGCTGGGATGTATATATCACAGAGGAGCAGAGTGTATGCGAAATAAAGTCAGTACTTAACATCGATCGTTGGACCGGGGGAAACGAGGAGAATTGTAAAAAGCCACAGATGAACTATCATTTACGATCCGCGCTATATCACTCGACACTAGTTGCTTTTCTATTCCTCCCCTCGTCTGCCGTATGCAGATATACAAAGTATATACGCGGCTGCACAAACCAAAAATCGAAACTTTTCTCCCCATTTTATGTCCTGCTAGAAAACATATTACGGCCGTGTCCGGATCGAGCAAGTGCGTATATATACTGTCTGATTATGTGTTGTGGTTGTATTGCATGACAGGAATGGTTTGTCGTATACCCTGCCATCTTCCAATGCGATGCAGCTGGCTGAACACAATAGCGTCCAAAAAATTGTTGCCGCGGTCAACGTCTCGATCGCGTTTCAAGGAAAGAAAATCCCGATCGTTGTAGGATCGTTTGATATATGTATAACTGTAAATCAATGTCTTCAATGGAACTGAACAAGCAAGATGGGCTGTTTATATAGTCGTAAAATGTCTTATAGACATGTCGGTAAAAGGCGTAAACTGTGGTAAAGGTCGACAAGAAAGCTAACTGCAAGCGAACTGCTTGAGATTCCCATGGCCAGTGTCCCACCAGATTGTGCAGCTTCGATTGTATTTACGCTTCAAACCAACTGAAATGAACTGTTGGATTAGACGAATTCGGAAAAAATAAACCAACGTAAGCACAATTCTTCATCAGATTTTCGTTTTCATTTATCATACACGATAACTTTCTAGAAAAATCAAAACGTCACCAATTAACAATCGAATTGCTATTTCATTCTGCAATTATATTTTAGACTCTAGTGCAAAGTATGCTAATGAAATTTTTTTTTCGCTCGAAAGGATACGAGTGAAATGGAGTTGGCACTAGGACTGCACAAGAAACTTTAAAAGCATGTTGTGCTTATTGTTTATAGTTGAATTTCTGTGGTGGTGCCAACTTTTGATTTTTTGTTCGCTTTATCGTTTCAGGAACCGCAAAATCATTTGCAACTCGATCACGATAAGGGAGACAAAATCACACACACAGCTCAAAATTGTTTGTTCTTCAGTTCCTCAGTACGAACCTACAGTTTCTAATAAACGAAATAGTTGCGTTGATTACAGATAACGGCATTTTCTAAACTCGACCGTAGTTTAGAGCACAATCTGAATTCTTAAATACGATTCGTATAAACTGTAAAACCATTGTAAATAAAAAACTTGCAAAAGTCGGCGAAAAATATAACAAGCGAATGCAGTCTCAAAGTTCCACCTTGTGAAGCGGAAGAGCAGCCCTGACATAATATACGATAGAGATATCGGCAGATTGCACTATGCAGGACTTAATTCCTATCCACACGAAAAGTCAGTCGATTTTACAGCTGAAACCCTTCGCTTACGGCTTCGATCCACCACACCAGCATGTTCAGGATGTACAGATCATAAGGCACATGGAGTCATCGCATCAGCAATTCCATCAACATTAACGCAGTCTCCCCGGGAAGTCTGCCGGACCCAAATTTCATATGTGTAGTATACTTGTACGCCCATATGGTTTTTATCTGTACATGCACTCGGTGCAGTCGGGGCGAACTTCCGGCGACTGCGCTGGATGAGTTACACAGGACTGGCGATGATGTTCCATGAACGCGCATATACGCTTAATATGTATATTGACCGGTTCCAGTCATCACAATCCAACATGGCGCTTATGGACTGCGGGAGGAAGCGATTTTATTTGTGACGTAACACCTATTTGGTGGAGACGACTAGATGGTACATGTACACTGAACTGATTCGGAGCAGCCGCTGGATCAAGTACCACATACCACAAAAAACGAATGTCACAAAGCCGCGACTCCAGGTTTAGGGTAGAAAACGTCGATCTTCCAGTACAGCAGTTATTTATTTAGTGGTGTAATGAAAAAACGATGTAATTAAACCCTAAACCATTAATATCAATGCAGTTCCCTTGCAAGTTGCAAGTAACTATTTTTTTCTGGAGCGCATTCGATGTACAGTGCAGACACAAGTATACACCAACCTCCTCATGTTATAATTATACCATGTACCCTCTACGCGGTGTTTAATATTGCTTCTTTAAAATCTTCAGTCAAATGAAACATGACAATCAAACCAAAAACAACAGACGCCGACAGCTTGTAAACGCTAACGCTGTGACTTTCTCACACAATATCTAGGACAGCAAATTATGCATTTCTGTAACCTTACACTACTATGTCTGACAATATTAATGCATTTTAAAACTTTAGTATGATAAGCAAATAATGTGGAAAGGAAGATGAATACAGGAAATACTTCGTATAGTAAATGCATGTGGTACAGTTAATAGTTTTAGAAGGACGTGTTCGGCAGCAACCTATATGCCTGCATGTTTGAACTGAAATCCTAAATTAGTCTAATAATTGTGCTATCTTTACCTCGTCTGATTGTTGACCGATCTGCAGCTGGATTTCCTCCAGTTCGGTGCGGGGAACCGGTGGTGCCGCGGGATCCGCCACGTCGCCGTTGGCAGCGGCTGGGGCGCCGGTGCCTTTTGCCGGTGCCATGATTGATGATGATTCTGTTTGGGTTGTGCTTAGTAAATTAACCACGGGAACAATCGGGGAGTGGAGTGAGTCTCAATCTACAAAATGGCATTCCGGTCAGACGGATAAATTGGAAACGATGTAATTGCTATCATTAGGCTTCAATGTGTATATGTCGCGTATGCACAACGTCACTTCCCAAAATGGCAAATTACGGTGTCCGGCACTGATTAGTGATGCCGTTCATGCGTTAACCACACCCGTGCTCTGCGGTCGAGTAAACAATTAATTGTAGGGACACCGGAAATTACATAACACAACAACGATAGCAATATCACTCTGAATTCAATTAAAATTAACATCGAATCCACGGATGGGTCGGAAACGCCACTTGTAATTATTTTGCTGTGAATTTTGTTACTGATGATGATCTATTGTTTAAATAATTCCTCAGATTGTTGAAGTATATATGTAATTAAAAACTGCAATTTTCAGTTAATACTAGACGTGTTAATGACGCAGTCAGCTTAAATTACTTTGAACTGCTCTGAATTAAATATGTCACTGCAATTAGCAACGTTAATGAATTTACAAGTAGTATCATATTTTTGGTTAACAAAAGCTAGCCATGTTTTATGCAGCATTACAACCTTATGCTTATCAACCCGAGTCCCGAACGTTAACGACATTTTAAACTACATAACTCACAAAAAACTTAAAGAAAAATTTTAGACAAATTTTAAGCGTTCATGAACCATGATTTCTACCTATAACGCAACGAGCAGAAAAATCAAACCATGTAGGTCATGGGGTACAGAACTGCAACAAAAATTTTGCTGTAACGTCCTGTATACTTTTACCTCTTTTGGCGCTTTGATACTAACCGGTAAAGCGAAAGGAATGCAGCATCTTAATTATTATTGTATAACTAGTTATTATTCGTAATGATAAACAAACATTACTGACTATCGTCTATACTCATGACTGATGAACCAAAGGAGCTTCCTGTTTCTACGTAAGGCACACAATATACACATGATTTATATATCTTAGTATTTATAAAAAGGGTAGCGGGCAAGCAACAGAACGTGGCGAAAACAAATTAAACGCTTGAGTTTTGCTTCGCTTTCTTAGCCATTAGAAACAGTAATACTGCGGATAAGATATAGGTAAATATTATTAAAAAACTTCGAATGGACGCAGAAATGACTTGCTCTTCGTAAACACGTGCGATATGCAGAGTACTTTTGAGGTTACCAGAAAATTCTAATAAGCAGTAATCTACTCGTAGCTAATGGCTGCTGCTGTGTTGCGAATTCAGTACAATTGCGTTGCAGATTCAATACGACTGATTATTAGGTATTTAGTGCCTAAAAAAACCAAGTAAAACCGGTTAAACTTACTTGTAAACAAAAGTACATTCGCAGCAACTGCAAGGTAGCTCTGACACGGAGTAGAATAATAATTTTGTAAACATATATACAGAGTGCCTGCCGCCTGGTATCCCAAATTGCTCTGCAGGTACTCCTGCTCATACATCCACTGTATAATATGACATACAACACACAATTTTCAGAGCATGGAATAAGTTTTTGGACAAAGTCTTTTGTTCTAACCGTATTTATAAACAAAATTAGTAAGTGGCGTATCAAAGTCCATAAAAAAAATGAACCGGTCCGGAAAGGCAGATTTATTCATTTGAATATTGTAGTACAAAGTACCAATGCGTATATTTCCTAGCAAATGCATTCACGCGACCACGAACTATACGCTTTAAAGCATATCGCATAGCATATGAAGCATTTTATCTTCTTATTTCGTCAAACACAGCAAGCGATATGCTTTAATATATCATATGCTATGCGATATGCTTTAATTCTCAGCGATGCCCTACAATGCCCAGAATCTGCATTTACGCAATCCAAGCAAGGAATATACGAGAATGTGGTAGCATTAGAGGTATGCTTTCACATTCTCGCAATGTGTCTTTTTTTGAAAAAATGGAGATTCAAGTAAAGAATATATGAAGACTCGAAAACAAACTGAAATGGCTAAAGATAACAGCACACAGAATGATCTTACCCTTCCTAGGCCTAATAGAGAATCGAACGTAAATATAGCGATCTTATCACGTCAGCATTATTATACTGCTCTCTGATATTAAGTATTATCACTAGCTAGTTCATACTGTAGCCTTTTTTCGACAACAAAGAGGGGACAGTAGCAGTAAGTTAATAATTCGATATGCACAGCCGTGAAAAACAAAGCAAATATAAGAACGTGGCTTAATGACGAAAGAGTAGCACACATGTCACAACTGTCAAGGCGTGTTTTGATGCGGTAATGCATTTACGTCAATCGTATTACGCGTTTTCCGAAATAATAATGGCTTGGTATTAACGGTTTTAAAATCCTAGTACAGTGTATACCTGCTAATTACATGCATCGATATTCAAGGTATAAATTTCCTAACGTCACATAAAGCTGGATTATATTACACACGACACCGAAAACAATAGCTTCCGGATCCGGCCGTCCTCGGTGCGTGTAAATGTGTGATTAACCGGGACAATCTTCAAAGGTTTCAAAAACCTTCCGTGATTCAAAAACCTTTCCGGGTGCATTTTTTGTTTCAAGAAGCGCGTATGTTATGTGGAGAACAGGAAGTTTCTCTACCAAATTGAGAACATTGCAGCACTGTTTCTAACTACTACGAGTAGATAATTATATAGTCCCTAGACTCACTACTCTACGTACGTATCTACTGGACTAATATCTACAAATATATCCACGTGCGTGCACAACAGTTGTTTTGAACATTTGATATCTCATTGCGATTCCATGAACTTAGCTGTTCATGAAAAATTAAGAAATTTTGTTGGATGCAGTGTTTGTTTAGCAAAGAAAAACCTGCACAGTTATTCACCAAACAATCGAGATATAAATATTGTCAGGGCAATGAAGTAATCGTTTTTTTCCGCACCGTTTCATTAGCGCCGGACTTTGCGCCGTGTATATGCGTCACGCGAGCATTTAAAATCGTCACCGCCTGTAGGGAAAACTGTTTTTCGCTACTTGTCGATTTTTTAACCCTTACAGCAAATATCACAAAGGACGATGAAAGATCAATAAAATCCTACAAGATACTCATCCAGTCCATAAAGCATCTTTAGACCCACGGTTGCATTCACGCAACCGCCAACATACGCGCATCGTCCGGCTATACACAGTGTGTGCGCACATTCTGTGTATTACCTATTAAACAGGGGCCGGGGGATGTTGTATATAGGCCCAATCATACGAATCCAGCTGGACTCCTTATTTATATCCCAAGTGCTGCCACAATGCATAAAGTACTTCATCGACAATGTTGCATCAGGCGCGCAACGCGTACTATGTCGCCGGTATTTTCAACCGGGAGAGTCGAGCGCGCGCGCGGCCAGTGTTTTTGCCCCATGACAGCCAACCCGGGGGTTAAGTCATAATTCCATAAGTAAGCACAACACTTGGGTACACATATTTCAAGTGGACGTCAACACCAACGGGCGGAAATCATTGGGCGAAAATTAACGGCGACAGCAGAAGCAGTGTAGGGCCCGATCGAAATCGAGCGGATATATAGGGAAATTCGTCAGCTCGGTACCCACCCCGGCTTTACGACTCATTCCCCATTAAAAAGTGCTCATCGGTTAATTTGCCAAAAAAGGGAAAAGACGGCAGTAATTCATTGCGCGTCCAGACAGAAGCCATATATGTTTCGTGTCTGGAAGACGGTTCTCTGTATAGCCGTGACTTTGTCGGACAGTGTTATGCCTCGTGAACGCATTGTATTAAATTCCTTACAATACTACGCGCACCGGAAATGCGTTGACGGTTAATCAGTTTCGTGAAAGGTATCGACCTAAATCACATGCCCACAGCTATCATTCGAATACGCTAATCGTATGCATTTCCAGGTTTACACCTACTGTACACTGTATTGTAGTGTTTAAACGCAATAAGACAGAATTACACAAAAGATGTACAATCATTATCGTAGCGAAATTTTATGAAAACAACTGTAACTAGTACTACTTCCAATTGGAATTAACAGTGCATATGTGTTTTGTTTACTGATGTAGTGGCACGGATTCCAGCTAACGATAGTTTATTTTTAAAACGAACAAGAATGACTTCAACACCGCAAAACATTACGGTGGCTCATATCCTTATTCTGCTGATCAGGACACAGTTCTTCCTCCAATATTTTGCTAAATACAGTACATATTAAAGTACAGTAATGCAAGAAAAAAAGAAGAAGAAGAAAAGGTTCCAAAATATTTTTAAGCATAAGACAGTAATTCCAAATGTTTGTACAGCAATTAGTTAGATTTTTGTTGACGGTAATCGCAAGACATTTATTTGGCGCTGCTTGATTAGCACATGAAATGGTTATGCTAATATTATTCATTTCATAATTCTTGTGTATCAGGATACTGCATAATATAAACGATACTGCATAATATAAACTTGAGCGGAAGTAAATGGTTTGAAAAAATTCCCAAGCCGAAGCCACACCCGAATTAATTTAGAAACAGGTACGGCGTACGCAGGAGATATAGCAGCAAATGCTGTGATAATCAACCAAATCTACAGTAGGAAACTGACCAGATCACCACAACTGGCGTAAACCGTGGGTGCAGTAAACATCCGTATACTCCCAGTTTTATCCCACTTCCTTGAGAAAAGCACCACAAACCAAAATCTTAGCTTATGTTATCCAACAGCTGGCGCCATTCAGTATCGATACATTCGTATGTATAAATGATCAAGCCTCCTTGAATATCCTCATTGGAGAATAAAAATTTTGCAAAACTTAAATAAATCAGAACAAACTCCCAATGCAAGCTTAAAAATTTCGATACTAGTTTTCTGCACTAATGATTTCTTTGCACTGCAGACTTTCACCCAGAATGACGGCTCAAAGTTATAAAAGTAGAATATGTTCCGCAGATATTATCGCTACAGACGGTACTTATACAGTCACGTCTACGACATAATACTATACATATCTAATTAGAGGGAGCATGATGAGGATGACTCGAGTGTTTTTCATCGTCCCCATCTCTCTCTCTATCTCTCTGTCTCTTCTCTCTGTGTGACAAATGCTTAACGACCACCTTTCCAATCAATGCCCACCGATACACCACAGACACACACATACCCAACACACGGTATTCATCAAATAACTTACGTCGTGGCGCTGACCGGAAACCGTGCAAACTGGGATGAAGCCAATGCCAAGAAGAAAAGCTCCCCAACGTCACGAAAATCAAACTACAGTATATTTTCCTCTGATAAATGGCCGACAGGATAGCCTTGTCAATGGAACGCCGTTATGTCATTGGCTGTATATAGGCACAGAGATAAAAACAGCTAACATGTCACAACACGGTGAACAATAGCCACGGCTATACTGGACGCGTGTGTACAGTACGCGCGCGCCCTACGACAGTTCACTGTCAGTGTAACAGTGGGCGCTTGTAAAATCCCTGTGTTACAGGTAAAGAAAAGGCGACGAGTCACTGTCAATCTTCCCGAAGAATCGCGCGATGCTCCTGCTGCAGCTGGCAGTGACAATATATTACCCGTTTAGCTTTGATAAGCGTGATTTCACAAGTTACTATCCTCCTATTCAGTGGAATATGCAACGGCCTGGACTGCACAACGGCCAATACACACTTTGTGTATTATACACACATACACAGTTACACGCCAAAGCTATACGCACACCGCGATACAATCGCCCAAAGGAAGATGCCAGGCAGAGAGTTTGCTGTTTGGAGTATATACACAGTTACACAAGTACGCAGGACGCGCATGCCACCAGAAAACCTATCGATAGATCCAGACGGGAATATTATACGAAGGGCGAAATTCGCTGCAGTGCGCTGCTTTGTATGTGCGCAATATCGTCGTTTGGCGATATATACACATATGTACTTATACCGGGTAGCCAACCGCCGTCGTTTCAAGATGGATTTGTTAGACTAGGAAATACGCTCTTCCCTCGTTTGCGCGCGCGGGTGCGCTCGCGTCTCCATATTCCCTTGATTCATCAAGAATCGATAATCGAGTGGGGTTTTGGGGTGTTGCGTAACACGGTCGCAGCGCCAGTGTGCGCCTGGAGAATGTTCATTGTGTGACCTTCACTGGGTTCACTCACAACACACTTGTATTATAGAGCGTCTGCACTACGCGATCGGCATAGTAGCTCAGTCGGCAGGCTTATATTACCCGTACTGTACTATCTCTCCTTGACCGAGCAGTGAGTAATTTTTTATAAAATTAATTTTCTTTATTATAGTACGATTATGTGGATTAGACAATGCCTTTTTATGATATAGTCTCGCGCGCAAATTAGCGGCCATCATTTCGTTCTTCTAGTGGTAAAAGCCGTCTCTAAAAATCGACTTTTTAACTTCGAGTCGAATGCATTACTGCTAGTGCGCCGGGACGTACCGGAAGTATTGCATGACTAAATCAGTCAGTTTGCATGTCGACTCGCTTTTAATTTATGTTAGTAAGTTACGTACTTAATTACTGTCGATCGGAGAAAAAGACAAAGGTCATCGCCGTGAAGGCTGCGCTTCTCCATTGTATCATTCGGCATCTTTTTGTGAAAGTATTTGATTTTTATCTATGCAAATGATTTATGCATGCTTGCCGCTGGTTACGATGAATGAATTTCTCGCGTCATGAACACAGACGATGCTACACATTGAATTCCCAACTTAAAATTCAATGGGCACACAGTATCAGCCAGACGAAAAAACCAAGACACTTTTTATTCATGATCATGGCCGACATTTCGGGACACTCTGTTTGGCTTCCTGTCCAAACCGGCATTATGAACTCATCGAGCGACAACAGCGCCGAACAGCCAACGCGAGACAAGACAGAGAAATTAGCAAAATATTATTTTACCAATACAAGGCAAAAAGTGGAGAAATGCAAGCAATGTTTATGGCAAACAATATGTCAATCTGACTATCAACGGCAACGTACACAGAATTTCAATTCAGTGTCCGCAGAACAACCGAAAATTTTCAATGAGCAACAGATATACAGAAGAGAATAAAATAAATAAAGGAACAATTCAGTGACAACTTTTGTCCACTCGCTCCAAGTTTCAACCCACACGCCTCCAACTAACGCATTCAAAAGGTCATACATTCTCACAATTTCTCACAGCACTCCCTTTTCTTTCTTGACATGAAAAACACACCGTTAAGAGCGCTATAATACCACCGAGATTGCATAGGAAAAAAAGCGGAAACCATTATTTTTTTTTTTTCAAAAATAAAAGCATAAAAATAGAAACTTTCGCGGAAGCCTAATCTCCGATTCTCTCTTAGCATTGTAATCGTATGAGAGCCATAACACAACACTAAAGAGCTATTTTTCGCATTAGGCCATATTTAACCTGTTTGCTAATAGCTTCCCGTTCTTTCTCATCCAGAAAATCATCCCAGTTCTCTTCGGTGATCTCCACGAACATTTTATGCGGCTTACTAAAGTAGAAGATATTCCCGGTGTAGATGTCAAACCACATGGCATGCAGACGGACCAGACCGCCATCGACCAGGCGCTGCATGAAGGGATAGGACGTAATATTCTCCAGTTGATGCAGTGTACTGACTTGTGAGAACTTATCGGCGGTGACAAATTGGTTTTTTGGATCAATTACCGCTTCATGTGCATGATGGCCTTCCATGAATACCAGTCGGTTCTTCTCGGCGCGCAGCATCGTCTCGAAGTGCGTCCATGAGTCGCCGCCGTAGCGCAGCAGCCAGGAACGCAGCGGTGACTCACGGACTTGCGCCGGATCCGTTAGGCCTTCGCTCCGTAGATTCTGCAGGAGATTCATCGCCTGTGTGGAAAAATCGTTATTATTTTCTTCACAAATGGCTGCAGGAAGCGACAACAGGAAACCAGACCCGGCAATGATCAATAATGAAACCGGCTCACTTTGGAGAATTAACAATCTCTTAAAAGACTAATGAATACTTGTCCTTGTTTAAATCGAGAACACAAGTTCGCCCGAGTGCCCACTGCGCCTCAAGTTGTCTCTCTCCATCATGATCAATCGTGATCGTAATATTTTATAACATTTGGTTACATCATTGACCTTCTGTTGTATCAATTCTTGATCCGTTATAAATAAAAAAATACCAGATACAGGAAATTGTCCATGAATTAATTACCACTTCATCCCGATTAACCACTCTTACCTCCAGAAGACAAACATTCTTTAACAAGTACGTTGCTTCTATTATTTCTATCTTGAAAATAAGTAGTACCTAGTGCCCACTAACCAGTATTCACTTCTAGCGCCCAAATTATCGTAAAAAAATTCTGTCTCAATCTCAGTTATAAAAAATTAAACGATTATACCGCAGCTCTAAAAAAGAGGCCACCAACCTTGCAATCTGAATGTCCGCAAACTATCACATCCTGGACTGCGTTTATCACACAAGCCAGCTCCATCGCTCCAGGTTCAGTTGCTACAATGGACAAACAAAATGTGAAATATCACCGACAGGTAGAACAAACATTATGGCGTGCAATAATAATACACGTCGGTCGGAGAAATTTAAGTAAACACTACTAAACTGCGATGAAAATCGCGCACACACTGTAATCGCAGTGCATTATCATTATGATTAAAATGCGGAATCAAAGCTGCACCGGAAGTACCTTGGTTGACCATGGCATTATGGAACTTTTCAGCATTACTGTTTACTGCGTACATTATTATTATAATTAATTTTATGCGCTATTTTATGCGCTTATTATTATAATTAATTTTATTTATTTATTTTATGCGCTGGTATGCGCTAACTGTTTTTTTTAAAAACATACTTTATTCCGGATTACGTTTCTGACTTTGTGTCTTTATAGCACAGCTACCGAAAGCTGGATATTTCTTTTAATTTCTAATATATTATGAGTTGCACAAGTTTCGCCTTTAGGTAGTCCGCAACTCGTACTTTCAACAATGTAAGGTTTAGTTTGCTTTAAGCGGTTTTAAGCGGTTGCTCGAATACGGTTTTAGTTTGCTTTAAGCGGTTCATTTTCAACACATGCAGAATAAGCGTAACCATTCAGCAACTCGCTCTAAAACATCATTTTATTCTAATCACAACTCATTAATATCAATCACGCAAAAACTACCATGAAACAGCACTCAAAACCGAAGAATGCAGCTGACATGTGAGAGATACCAATAACAAAGGTACAGTAAAATTAAGTAAATAAAACGAGAGGAAAGGATATAAACGTTGAATTCATCGTATATTGTATGAAAACTTTTTACCAGATCCTTTCAGTAATTAATCGCATACTGAATATACTCATTACATATCAAAAATATTGTAAAATAGCCCATTCTCTACCCATTCACTGCCCAAAAAACCACTATACTGTTTCCTTAGCAATTCATTTGAGTTTGGCAGCCAATAAGATATCGTGTTAGAAAAACGTTAGAAACCTAATAAATATTAGAAAAACAATAACTTAAATACTTAATCCAGAAACGTTTTCGCGAATCAAACTGTTTTCAAAACCCAAATAAATCAGAAAATAATTAACCGCGCCTGAGGCAAAATACTTCAATTCTCGCTACAAACATTCAATAAACGAACCTAAAAAATTCAAAAACTGCATAGAAATTGTAACGAAAGGTATCAGCCTGGGTTTCGACTGAGAACTAGCAGGTGCTGCTGCCTTACTTATAGTGGCATCGCTTCCGTAATATTTATGGTGTGGTATCAGCACGCCAGCATTCCGCACAATGAACATCTCTCCCACATTCGTCTGGGTGAAACGGGACGGAATCATACGGGAATCCATGCAGGTATACATCAGCACCGAGGGCTACAACACACACCACCAAACACTTTCAAATCTCGCTTCAGCCATCACCCTCAGAAACCTTAGCTAAAGAGGCATGCACAGGAACCGCGTACTCACGATGGGATTATCGCGAACGCGCTTAAACTGCTCCACCATTCCCGAGCGGACAGTCTGGTGGTACTTGACGATGCCTGTCAAGACTTTATCAATCCCAAAAACCATTTTCGCAGAGAAACGGGAATCCGCGAGCGCAGGTAATCGAGGGTGAACAGACGAAGGAGAAACACAGCGGAGCTGTGAAATATATTATGGAATCGAGAATGCAGAGTATTCTGTATTACGTAACGTCAGCTGTATGAATTTCCACTGTCGACATCAAAAGCAGTTTTGCGCCTGCGGTAAGGACTTAACAGCTGATATGCGATACGCACAGATAAGGCGGTATGGTTCTGACTTCTGCCGTATAAAGATGAATCGCATCACAGTGTAAGCGTACTGAATGAGAACAAGTGACAATAAATCACTGTTATCAACAGCAATCAAAAGGTATGACCACAATAGTTCGGAAAAATCAAATGAAATCTTGCAAAAGAAAACTGTCTGGTGAAACTAGTGAAAAAATGCAATGCAGGGAAAAAAACCAACGCATACGGTAATCTGAATGCTTTAGTACCCCTACCATAATTCATCTCGTACAGTCTGTACAACAGCAGCTGATCAATCATTGACTACCGGAGTGCAAAGCCCAAAGGTGCCATTTAACTACTGTCTGTATTTAACGGTGTACTGCACTCTGACTCACGTCTCTGTTCTCACTTCACAGTAACTCGTACAATTTGTGTAAGTTTAATACCAAAAGTTTTTTTCTGAACTTCCTAACCTAAGTACGTATGCAGTATTATTATTTTGATAACCGCCTGACAGATTAATTTTGTTATTTAGTTTGCTAATTTTGCAAAGTTATTCGGCCTTTGTTGCTTATCATCTTTCTGTCTCGAACATAATCCGCGCCGTTCGGCTGATTTCTACTAGTGTTTTGATAGTGCAAACCGCATTTAAAACAATAAAAATGAACTGGATTCCAAAAGAGCAGAAAACCAACAAGCAGCCGACGGAAAAGCAGATTGTACAGGTGCGTGTCCAACAGTCCATCTGATCGCTTAAGTTCACGGCTGATTGCTAGTTTGTATTGGCGCTTTTCTACTGTAATACCCAACACATTTGGATTTCACGAGGATCATGATGAACACGTTGTACGACATTTCTTATCCCTGTCTTAAAATTTAATGTCAGTTATGTGTTCCTCGTTTCTTGGCTGATGGCGTTGACAGAATTAAAAGGCTGCAAGTATTCGCTAAACAGTGAGTACTGATCTGTCGTTAATAGGATTATTTTCGCCGACATCGGCCCCGTGTTTTGCCCGCCGCCAGCCCGACTTCTCCGATCCCTTCCGCATCCGCTTGGGAAGAGCGGCCCGGTTCGGCCACTGAACGCGCAGTGTCCCGTGCCTCCGACGATCGCCACCGTGTTCTGCCCGATCCCTTCAGTCCACGCAGCAGTCGTCGCAGTCTGTCGGAAGATCCGGAAACACTGTCGCATGCTCTGGGCAGAATGAACGTGAAGCGGCTGGCGGAAACGGTCAAACTGCCGCAGAAGCACATCAGCACGGATCTGGTGCATTTGGAACTGATCAAGCGCATCTTCGTCTACCAACCACGACCGCCGACGCCGCCACCGGCGCTGCCGCCGGCTTCACCGTTGTTCTCGCGTCTGGATCGGTCGGAGAGCGGCGTACCTCTGGAAGAACTGGACACGGTGGAGTATTCGGATAATGATGAGGAGATGCATGTGAAATTTAATTTCTGACTGGAAGTAGCGTTGTAGAAGCGAGATCTGTAAAGTGTAAACCCAAAATGAATGTGATGTTTTAATCGCGGTAAAATAGTAGCGCAGTATTTTTGGATTGTTTAGTTTTATTGTTTTGTTCCGCACGGCTGGTTAGTATATTTTTCCCGCAGTACTTATTGTTAGTCACATACACTTAATAAAAAGTAAATCCTAACTTGCCAGTTTAAAGCGTCGTACAAAAATAGTAAAAGCGTAAATTTTATTGTTCGCGGGCAATAATGACCGGAAGCGCGAACTATATACTGTACCTATTTTCAAGTTACAACTTAAACGAGCAATTTCAGCGATACTTCTATCTATTTCATGATTTATTTTTGTCTCAAAGGCAGCGATGGTTATTTCTGTAGGTTGTAGTTAGGATCGGATAATAGAAAGTACGGTAGTTTTGAAAACTTTGGTTAAATGAAAAATGAAAGCAGTAAAACAGCGATTGCGTAGTTTGAGGAAGTGTCTATATATGCGCACGCCGGCAAATCGACGTCTACTTATAACCGCAACATCCAGGAAGCGTACGTTGTAATCGCTTGACAACTTCCTATCGGCATATATGGCCGTTTCCGTATTCAATACCGATTATGCAGTCTAAACAACAGTAAACACTTCTGTAAACGAACTTGACCGCACATACGTACACACGATACGGCAATAAACCAAATTAATTTGTCAGGGATTTTGCTGCATCACATAGAGCGTTATCGCGGAAGAACCACTGATGCCAGGGTCATTACAAAGATGTTCAGCAAACGTTGTCTCATTATTAGACGGATATTACACGCGATCTACTACACATGTGTGGCCTATAATCGCCGGATATGATACATTTGATCGGCGCACCAGGATGGTCAGTACATGACGCGTACGTACAACTGCTGCACCGGACAAGCGGCCGGCCAATGTTAAAGGTGTTTAAACATGCATCCAGGTGCAATACCAGTTATCCGCTGTGACGTAGCGCACCGCGAGGTGAAGGTCTGGCCTGATTCCCCTGCGTAACACTTGATACGCGTGCTCCATTTGGCGTTATGCATTGTTTTGGTTTTGCATTGCTACCGGTACCGCCCACTTTGCATGGTCCGGTCGACAAGAGAAAAATGTAGGCGAGGACGATGACTAGGAGTGTGATGATATATAAAGCCGACCATAATTTTAATGATTGGTGTGAGTCAGGTTATTAGTTTATTCTTGCAGAACATTTCTCGGCTGCTGCTGGCCGGGTATATCGCGTTCATCAAACCATTTTCCAACAACAGTAGCAGCGCCAGATTGCATCGTGTGTGTTTTTGCTGGTGCATGCTGCACGCGATTGATAACGCGCCCAGCGAGAAATATCTGCAAGAAATAAAGTTAGGGATTGGTTTTTGTTTGGATATTTTATTTTACTATTCATATCTTGCGCATTGGAAACGCCGCGTCGCTGTGATCGTTACAACGCTTTTCCTTGTGTGCATGCGCAGATGAACAATTAATTCGTCTCCATTTGGTAGTACTTTGCAGTTTTAAAAATGCTGGCGCAGCATATGTTGCAAAGTGTTAGCATATTGACCGCTGCAGTTATTGTTTATGCTACGCCATTATTACCATTGGAATCGGATCCCGATGTAAGTTAAAAAACTTTACGAACTATAAATACAATTTTAGTGAAGAATCGATCACTTAATTTGCTACATACAAAGAAATGGTCTAATTAGCTTAGAAAAGTTTTTAATAAGTTTTCATGGCGGATATAGTACGTAACATGCAAAAGCATAGAAATAATTCGCATACCGGTAATATAAATGCGCATGGACTTGTTATGTACATTTATGTAATTGTAATTCGTGAAGTGCGGTACGGGGCATTAACTGCAGGCCCAGGTACTGTGCAATGCGTTAATTGGTCCATTTATCTCGATAGTTGAATAGGAATTAATTTTGCAGGCTCACGGTTATTTGCAAAAATTCGGTTATCTGCAAAAACCTAATCCCGAGACGGGCAGCATCATTGACCATGAGCACTTTGCCGATGCGGTGAAGACCTTTCAGACGTTCGCTAACTTACCCATAACCGGTAAGAACCAGCGGCTCGAAGCTGGGGGTTCTACTAACACCGCTAACACCGCTAACACCGACACCGCAGCAGCAGCAACACAATTGGCAGACGCTATCAAGTCCTTTCAGAGCTTTGCGGGGCTACCGGAAACGGGTAAGGATGCTTGCCCACTGCAGAGTGCAGGCCAGGCAGGCATCCTGCCGGTCAGCTTCTGCTGCAGCACCGTGAATCATTTCCCCTGCGCGTATTTGATTCACATGTGTGCACGATGACTCAGCGCAAAATCAATAGGTTTTACGTACTAGTGGCAATTTTTGTACGCGATCGCCGTTATGTATGATTATTGCTGTAAATATTTAGGGCACAATTTTCAATCAATTTATAATGTGTGCATGTGTATGTACAGGTGTCACGCCGGTGTTTGCAGAACCTTCAGTTAAACAGTTTGTCTGTTTTACTGCACTTGAGTACAACACCTTGACCACATATGTATGTGATTCTAATTACGATGTTGTAACTGGTTGCAGGTGTGTTGGATGCGGAAACTAAGCGCATGATGGCCGCACCTCGATGCGGTGTACCTGATGTTGTGGATGGCGAAACACCGCCGCCTAGCGGACAGACTCATAAGCGCCGCAAGCGTTTTGTCCTGCAGGGCAGCAAATGGAAGGTCAAGGATTTGACGTGGTCAGTTTCGCAGATGACCAGTCAGTTGAACCGCGGTGATGTGGAGTCGCAACTTGCTCGCGCTTGGAAGGTAAAAACTAATATCTAATATCTATATATGTTTATGACATCTGCCACATTCCGATTACGTGCTAATATAGTATTAATGGTAATAGACACAAACTGCGATTTACGAGACTTAATAATGAAAATGTTTTATTTAAATTTTTATCTGTAGACCATTTAAGTAAATAGTAACAGAATAGAACCTTTCATGAATCTATGATATCGTGGTAAGCAACTAAGCATAAACATTTTGCATAAAATTGCTGAATGAAGTTTGACAGAGAATTAAGGATCAGCATTATGTATAGAAATTTCCTAACACTCACACTGTCAATTACAGTAACTGAATCGGATTTTGAGACACATGCTAAACATTCCATAAACAGCAATTGTCACATTATACACGTGGTTGCTATTTGCAGATATGGTCTGATAATTCGGATCTGACCTTCACCAAATCAAACGGCGGGAATGTGCACATCGATGTGCGATTTGCGAAATTCGAGCACGGCGACGGCGATCCTTTTGATGGACCTGGGAAAACACTTGCTCATGCTTACTTTCCACAGTAAGATAACACGATTAAATTTTGCCGTTTATCTTGCATAGAATAATGTGTTGACGAGGCCCATGCATCGTGCAGATACGGTGGTGACGCTCATTTCGACGAATCCGAATCGTGGACAACCGGAAGATATGGTACATATCTACCAATTAATTAAAACAATTTTCCATTTATTCCCATAAAGGAAAAATGAATTAACATAATATCTCCTTTGCCAATTCGCGTAGTATTTTCAACAGTTAACGTTGTGATTTCGACGGATAAGCGTACATATGTACATCGTACAATGCTTACTGAAAAGTTTATGGATTCTAATAACATTACAGGTACGAATTTATTCCAAGTCGCCGCGCATGAATTCGGACATTCCCTGGGCCTGTCCCATTCTAATGTCCGCTCCTCCCTGATGGCCCCGTTTTATCGCGGCTACGACGATAACCTCCAACTGGATCCCGATGATATCGCCGCCATTCAGGATATTTATGGGCCACCTAGTTTCGGTCGCAACCGTATTTCCGTGTCGCAGCCGGCATCCACACCGGCACCACCCCCAACGCGACCACCCGCACCGACCGCCGTCCGTCCGCGTCCGTACATTCCACAGGGCCCCGGTGTCAGCGTCTGCCAATCGCCCACCGTCGACGCCATCACCGTGACAGCGGATGGCATCACGTACGCGTTTAAAGACGATATGTACTATCAGCTGACCGATTACGGCGTGGAAATCGGCTATCCCAGAAAAATAGCCGAGGATTGGTTTGGCCTACCCGGAAAGCTCGATGCTGCGCTGACGTGGAGTGACGGAAAAACATTCTTCTTCAAGGTAAACATAAAAATAAAAATACGGATATATATCAAAATATGTACATAAAAACGTAAAATAATGTACATATAGACATATATCTTTTTATATTCAGATATGGACTTTCGGGTTAAGCGCAGAAATTTTGAAGTGTAAAAATTCAGGCGTTTTGTCGAAAAATTATGAGTACTCGTTCAAAGTGTTATGGTTATTAATGTTTTAGGGAGACAAGTATTGGCGATTCGAAAACAAAATCCCGAAGAAAGGTTATCCAAAATCAATCAGTAAAGGCTTCGCCGGCATCCCTAATGATATCGATGCGGCTTTTGTTTGGAGCGGAAACGGAAACACATATTTCATTAAAGGTAGACGTTATTTTAAATTGCTGTGTAAATCATTATTTTAAACTGCTGTATTCATATTAGGCACGCAGTATTGGCGCTACGACAGCACCGCATCCAGTCCTGTGTCCAGTGACTATCCAAAATCGTTGAGTACATGGAGCGGTCTTCCGCCCCGTATTGACGCGGCCTTCCAATGGAAAAATGGCAAAACCTTCTTCTTCTCGGGCCCCAATTATTACCGCTTCAACGATAAGAAATTCGCAGTAGAAGCGGATTATCCACGGCCCAACGATGTCTGGTGGTTCGGTTGCCGGTCAGATAATAAAAAAGACTTTGTCGCCTCCGGCAACACCATCGATAGCGTTTTTAAACCACTTAGCGCGCGTTTCCCTTATCACCCGTGGTTCTCGAAAATAGTTCCTTCGTATGCATTCCCGGATAACCATATTGACGACGCAATGGAGGAACTCAACGATATGGGTGTGCGGCCGAAGGAGGAGCAGGTCGTCAACGTATCAGTCGACGAACAACTTCCGGTGGCGCATGCCCAAATGGTAGAGTCGCATCCTATAACCATCAGTGCATCTGGTAAAATTGGTATTTCTTTCCTGATGATTACATTAATACTGGCCCTTCAAAAGTTGTTAGCGATGTAAATAATTTGATACTTTGTTATCTTGTGATAGTTGACAAAACGGTTCTGATTGAACGCGATCATAGGTGCTAGTATTTTGTTCGGTATTTGGTTTTTTATACAGATTGTTCCCCTGTTACTGGTACAAACTTATATGAAGTTTTATTAGAAATGTGATTATTTTTTGTTGAATTTACGAACACTCCGTGCGGATGCAAATAAATTTATCGGATTATTATTGTCAAAATTCACAGTTGCAGAACGACAGGAGAATGAAAAATACACCGATAACGAGCTCGGTGCATCAGAAACCAATCAATTAAAAAACTCGAATTCTGCAGTAAAGTCGCAACCGCCAAAAACGTATGTATGTACAGTACATAAAACAATTACGAATAAAACATTCATACGAACTTCACAGAACAATTAATTTTAAACGCTGAATTACAGCCCTGCCGGGCCAAGTTGGGGCACTTTTGTTAAACAATTAGCAAATATTTTTATTATTAGCTTTGTTTCTATGTTTAAACTATTCCCGTGTAACTTTTTATCGCCAATCCAAAAACACTAAAATCGGGGTGTTTTGATTTGACAGTAGGGAGCCGAAGGTTGATTTAGGGGGTGAGGTAGTAGTCCTGTGTGGGATCCTTACAACTGCAACTCTAAAAAATTCACCGATCAATATTTTTGCGTGAGCTTTTCTGCAAACTGTTGAGTGACCAAAAAGGTATTTGTCACGGGTCAGAACAAAAATCTTGAGCAATCAGTGGTTGACTTGGCCTAACCACAAGGGACACCTCCCATAGACTTGCATGTTAAAAGTGGCCTAACGAGGAAGGTGGGTGCCTAACGCATAGAGTGAGGTGACCTAAAAACTATTACTCTCTATGAATAAGTCATAGGCCCTCTTAGTCCACTTTGATGTGCCGAGAAATTCTTGCCTCATAGGCGGGGAGGTGGAGTGGCAGAAGAGTGGGACAAAAAAACAGAAAAGCTGCAGCAACAAAACCTTAAGATGGCTGTCGAAGTTTGTTGGAAACGAGTGTCTTCCGCTTCTTACATGGATTGAAAACATGGAGCTGACGCTTATTGCTTTGGGAACGAGATTTTAAGAAACGGCTTTCTCTGGCATTCTGCGGCTGCGCGGCGAGGTCGAAGATAAGGTCACCCTTCACTTTGACGCTGCTCGCCGACGGTGTGCAAAGGTCATAGAGCCTTGGCTGAAATCGCCTGTTGTCAAGCACTTCCAACAGAAGAATTGAATGATAATCAGCTGTAGTTTATCACCTTTAAACTACGGTCTCAACCGAATTTTTAAAAAAATAATGAGTGGGAGGTAAGCTGTCACTCCATACGGGTTTAGAGGTATTTTTAAGTTGGTCGACTTTAGTTTTCACCTCCCTGTGATTGTAAGCATCTTCTAAACAAAGAGACCTATAGTTCAAAAGATGCCTGACACCTTCGGCAATCAAGTTAAAAATAAATATTTATTTATTTGTTGACGGCAGACATGTAGTAATTTTTAGAAAAAACTGCCCCAACTTGGCCCGGCAGGGCTGTATTTAAAGCAAAACACAAACAAACAAAAATTCATATACAACATTTTCTCACAATTCCGTTACTCTTCTTCACGGATTCGAAAGTTCTTAATAGAGGTACTTGATTTGGGAAGAAACGACACGTTGCGGAACAAATCTTGAATATCATCGGTATCTCTCACACAGCCAAACACCGCGCTGTGATTAGCAGCGGGTTTCCTCCAAGCAGCTATACGAAGGCCAGTAATAATATTCTTTTCTCCAACATCCCATTCCAACCAGCAAGCACCCATCTCCGAATGTGACAACACGGAAGCCTCTTCGATTACCGCTGGCCCAGGGCTTTTGCAACTGGAAAACTCATTTGCATAGCCTCCAAACTGAATGCGAAAATGCCCTTCAACGATTTGCCGCACAAAACGACAACATTCCGGAGCGTAGTCCGGATACATTATAACCCACACGTTAGAAGGTGACCAGCACGTGTCTTTCAACATAGTGTTAACAAAAGTAAATTTGCAGTGGTACCGATTCGGAGGAGACATTCGAGGCGTGGCAAGGAAGGGCGGAACTGGCTTTTCTGTTCCATGCATATGTTCAAAAATCTCGCGCACATTACGATCAGTCAGCACACCATCCTGTAATAAAAAACTTTCAAGACAGATATTCCAGACAGACGCATAGAATCTTTACCTTTACAGGTCCGTCACACAGTTCAGTAGCAGAGAAGGCTGGAAAACGAATGGAATACAACAGTGATCCAAAGGATTCGCGTAAATTATCAGCGGCGTTCGCAACATTGTGCTTTACCCACCTAAAACCGAAACGGAAAAATGCGATAATTCTTAGAGGTGTGATCTCTCCAAAAGGATCCAAACTTTGAAGCTCGAATTCGAACTGCTCACTTGCAAACATGCTGATAGATCTCCTTTTCGGATGCTTTCAAGTTCGGCTGATCCAAGATTTCTTTCACACAAGGAAGGGAAATATCGAGGAAGCCTTCGCTACTCAATATGTACGGTGCGGAACGCGAGATTTCTGCTAACGCCATTATCGCAAGATTTTCTTCGTCCAAATATCGAGCCTAAATCAAAGCTAAAATCAGACAAAACTATATTAACATTTTTACAAATGTGTAAAACCGCATCCAGACTCGAGTAACAAAGCAGCTTTTCCACTGCGTACGATCCTAACTAAAGCAATACCATCATAACAGCATTCAGTGCAAAATTAAGAATTTCGACTTTTTAAGCAGTGATACCAGTCTATTTTTCATACTTCTATATTCTATATTTGGAATAGAAGTACCTGCTGAAAAATCAAGCAAACAATGTCCGCATGGACCAGTTCCAACCACGACTGAATGTGATCGCGACATGCCCTCGCCAGCTTAGAGATGAGATACTTTTTGGAGCAATACAATAAATTCAAGACATTCTCCATCGTTGCAATCTCTTCCCTAATCTCAAAATCCGTGTCGTCAGCGTAGGCGTATCTGCTCGGAAATATCTGAGACTAGCAAATGTACAGTCAAGCCGCGCGTACAGACCGTCAACAGCGAAAATAGAAGCACGTATTTATTAAAACCTAATTATACAGTAAATAATACAATGAAGCACTTTCATATACGTACTGAATAAAGAAAAGCATATAATGAAGTAAAATATATAATGAAGTATACCTGCTGAGCACAGATAGTACAGTACTCACTGGAGCATCAGCTGAAATGCTGCCGGTGTAATATCAGAAAGTTCAATGGTTTCCTCTGTGGACTGGCTTAACGGCCCATAAAACATCGCCTGGAACACGGCGCTCACCAAGGACAGCACGAATCTAAACAACAGCACTTGCGAGTTACCGCACAGCAACAATGCAACATCAGCACAGACAACAAGAAGAGAAAAAATCAAAACATGAATTAATTTTTACTGCCAGGACATTTTACTTGTGACACTTGAAGATTTGTTTTGGTTGACCATCTCCATTTCCCACAAGAAAGGTAACATCGCTGGGAATTTCTTCATCGGGATGATCCAAGAGATAACGCGCTCGCTTGTGAAGGTGTTTGCTGGAGCGCCAGTCCTTCTGGGCCTTGTGGCTAGATTCTTCGGACATCGTAATGCAGTGCAAGTTGTCGAAACGGAAGGTAAACACAACAAAACAGCGCCAAAGCTAACACACGATTCAGGAAGCGATTAACTCGAAGAATGAAGCAGTTCCTGTTCACAAATACGTAGTGACTAGTTACTCTAACTTTAGGCAGAACTGTAGATGAAAAACAGAAAATGAATTTTTGTATAATGTGGAATACAGACTTCAACTTGGAGTCTGTGGAACTACAGTACTAGCAGGCCGCAGGTTCAGCGGTATTGTCGGAATGAACGGCGCTGAGTCGGTTCAACAGGTCCCCTTGCCGACTGAAGGATCTGAGTCACCGGCTAGCCTATCGGCCCGGTAATGAGCCATACCGCTTAAAACGCTCTCTTTTAGAATATGAGATTAAAACTTCTATACCAAATTTTAATCATATTTTTCAAAACTAAAACTGAATTCGCCTGTGGCGAAATGTATTTTTGTGAATCTTGTGAATCACAAAATCTGCCGGCGCGTTTGGCCCTTTATAACTTGCTCACTGATTCGCCGTCCACTCGGCCTAATTAACCGGTTTGTGCAACCGATCAAACCTGCAGGGCATTTCGAAATTTTTGGATTTTTGGATTCCATCTCCATGCCGAGCGCTCGGTGCTACTTGAACAGGCTTTAGTAGTGCATGAAAACCTTTGAAGCTTCGTTTCTGCTTCTGCAAAAACACCGGGATCATAGCGACCAGCTTGATATAATCGACAAACGTCCAGAATTCACCTCTTATACATATTGAAAAGTGAGGAACCAGGTTTGTATTAGTGTAACATGTATTTTTGTGTGCATCTTAGGCAGCTGCACAGTTTCTCCACTCGCTCAAGATGGATCGGCTTTGTCGACCAACAGCGATGGCTTCCTAGTTGCTTACCTTCAGCCGACGTTTCATAGATTATTGTGAGAGTTTAGTTCATGATGCATTTTAGGAATACAGAAAAATGGCTGCCATGAATGTGATGCCAAGCGGACATGCCGAGAAACCCAAGTTTAAAGTTGGTACGTGTGAATAAGTTCTTTGCCTGTTTTTTTCAAGTACATTAATTGCTTCGATGATACGAGATTGATTTCTTATTACCTGTCAGTTTATCATTAAGCAGTAATTAATGGTGTTGGCTGGTTAATGGCGTTATCGTTATCGTCGTTTTTTTATTTTATCGCAATTTTATTTTATTTATTCACTAAAAAAAATTGTACCAAAAATATTAGGAACCAATTAATCGTAAGAATGTTGTTCGAAATTTTGTTTGAGAAAATATGCAGAAAACTTGTATGCGTAAGAACCAACAAATAATCTGTTGCAAACAGTCTCTTTTATACTGCAGCTGATCCTACTTTGGCGGAATGGGGCCGCGCCGAAATCATCCTGGCCGAGCGCGAGATGCCCGGCTTGATGGCTCTTCGCCAGAAATACGGCGCTTCCAAGCCCCTGAGCGGTGCCCGTATTGCCGGATGCCTGCACATGACGATTCAGACGGCAGTACTTATCGAAACCTTAGTGGAACTGGGTGCTCAGGTGAATTATACGATCAGAATAAAAATTTTTTCTGTTTCGTAATGTTTAGAAATACGATTTTCGTAATTTTTTCTGGTATTTTTTAGATATTCTTATAAGATGGTCTCCTTTACAGGTTCAGTGGTCGAGCTGCAACATTTTCAGCACCCAGGATCACGCCGCCGCTGCCATTGCCGCCACCGGTATCCCGGTGTACGCGTGGAAAGGAGAAACGGAGGAAGAGTATATTTGGTGCATTGAGCAGACACTCGTCTTCCCTAACGGCGAGCCGCTCAACATGATCCTGGATGATGGTGGGGATTTGACGAACCTGCTCCATGACAAGGTATTGTACTTAATAGTATGGTAGAGAGTCACTAGAGATCATTTGAATTGGACTCTTCGAATGCTAATTCGAACACATTTCCACCTGGCAGTATTATCGTTATTTTGACTATTATGTGGTTAATGTGTACTGTATTAGTTAATGTTTGTCCACTGCTCGGTGCTCAATATACATACGTAGAAAATTTTAAAATATAATTGCGCACTTATTACACTGCTGGGTTTGCGGACTGGTTGTGTCCTGGATAGATATCAAAGAGATTCTTTGTGATTTATGACTTAGAGCAACCGCGATGCATATAATTTCTGCTTGTTAATTTTATCAGGGACTGATAAATTTGGCGGTGTGTGATAGTCTTTAAATGATATGGCCTATCTGATTCGCATCTAGTTGATGTGACGCGTGCGATACGACAGATTGCACGCATTGCAGAAATTTTTTGTTGAGTTAATGAGACGGCTGACACAATTTTTGACCGAAATGTATTGTTTACTTGTAGTACCCAAATCTTCTTGCACACGTTAAGGGGATTTCGGAGGAAACGACCACCGGAGTTCACAATTTGCACAGAATGATGCGCAAAGGAGAGCTGAAGGTGCCAGCGTTCAATGTCAACGACTCTGTCACGAAGGTGAATAATGGATATTTAGTACAAATACTCGCCTGTTACTTGCTTGGAAATTACTTTCTGCGGAAACAAATTCTAAATGGCTGTCGCTTTATAGAGCAAGTTCGATAACTTGTACGGTATCCGTGAATCCCTCGTGGACGGTATTAAGCGCGCCACCGATATCATGTTGGCTGGGAAGATCTGCGCCGTTTGTGGGTACGGTGATGTGGGAAAAGGTGCTGCACAATCCCTACGCGCATTCGGTGCACGAGTAATCGTCACTGAAATTGATCCCATCAATGCCTTGCAAGCCGCCATGGAAGGTAGTGTACTTGTCGAAATGTTGTTGGTTTCAGTGCAAGGAAATCAATAGTACCTAACTTGCTTGGATTGTTTTTTGGTTTTTTATTTTATAATATTTTTTTGGTACATACTAGTAATAATTTGCCCTACTTTGGAAATTATTAAAAGTATGCGCTGATTCATAGGATACCAGGTACTACCGCTGGAGGACGCCATCGCCCAAGGCGCCAGCATATTTGTTACCACTACCGGCTGCAAGGGTGTCATTCGCGGTGAGCACATGAGCGCCATGGTGGAGGACGCCATTGTCTGCAATGTTGGCCATTTCGATATTGAAATCGATGTCAAGTGGCTGAATGACAACTGTGTGGAGAAGCGCGTCGTTAAGCCACAGGTTGGGCGAAATGTTACCACATTCGTAGAAGTTTAATACGGTACGAAAATAATTGGATACGGTACGCAGGTTGACCGCTACACGCTGAAATCTGGACGTCATGTTATCCTGTTGGCTGAGGGGCGCCTGTGCAATTTAGGCTGTGCTATGGGACACCCGAGCTTTGTTATGAGCACATCGTTTACCAATCAGGTGTTGGCGCAGCTGGAGTTGTGGACGCGACCTGGCGCATACGGCGTCGGCATCCACATTCTGCCGAAACGAGTATGTGCCTATTTTTTCTGAAAACATTTGAGTTGTTCGTGTGTGTTGTTTCTAAAATTCATTTGTAAATGAAATTGTCCAACTGTTTTTTGTTTGTTTCAGCTCGATGAGGAAGTTGCCCGTCTGCATTTGCCGCATTTGGGAGTGAAATTGACCCGGCTGACACCCGAACAAGCTGACTATCTCGGTCTGGATGCTGATGGACCTTATAAACCTGAAATCTACCGTTATTGAGAATTCCGGCTTTGACAGTCCCGATGTTACGGTGCTCAGTATTTACCGTGGTGGCTTAGTTTTATTCTTTTACTATGTTGGTGTGGGTTAGTGATTCTTTTTCGGGAAACATTCTGGATAAATGGCAGTTAGTAGGAGCGTTCTTTAATAATATTTGGTATAAAATGGGATGATATTTCTACAGGCGAACGCGTTTAATAATAAGCACAAGTTGTTGTAATATTCAACCAGCTTTGAAAATGGTCTGCTTGTTAAACGCAGACATAAACGAAGCACACAAGTTCTAGAAGAAACTGCGCAAATTGAGAACCGGTGTGTCGAAGCGAACAACAATGTTATTTCCGGTCCGGCGCGATAAGAGTTTCTTGTCATCGCCTTTGCTGGCAGCGGAGCGCTGCAAGCAGAATTTCATTTAGAGATGAAGTAAGAACATCATTATCACAATGCCTTATTATGTATTACGTACGCTTCGTGCTCTTTGGCTGCGACGATGTCGTTTGACCACACTGTGAGGCGATTTCTGACTCTACAAAGAAAAGTATAAGTATAATTGGTGGTTGGGGCAGAACTGGGTTAGTATGCAATCAAAGATAAACTTACGAATGATGCTATTAATATCCGGACTAAATTTACTTAATTTTATGATGGAATAGCATTATCTCAGGTCAATTCCGTTTCATATAAACGCACATTTTTGTGTGTTCTGCATTTAAGACTTATGTTAGCAAAAACCCCAAGTACTGTAATTTACAAAACGGCAAAATCTGTACGAGTATAAGACGTATGACTATGAATTACGTACTCGCTTCTTTCCGCCTCGTTTGATCCCGCTCGCGGTAGCATGACCTCCCTAGGAGAAAAAACCAATAATTTTGTTGATGAATTCCACCTACGTTTTCGTATTTCCACTAAACTGTTATTTTTTAAAATTTGAAAGAAATGCCGAAAACATTGGTTACGTTAAGTGGTTGACTACGCCTACAGAAATTTGTTAAAGTTTGTAATTACAGCTCCAGTATCGTTTTGCCGGAGTGACTGTCTTCGAATAACACATTTATGAAAAATTTGGAAAATACTTTGGTACTGTACTTCGAATTATACGTTATTGATATTTCGAATTATATAATACTGATTTTATGAAATTATAAGATGTTGTTTTAATATCAGTAGTATAAGTAGATAACTACTTGTGAAGCTAATTAAAAGACTTTCGATAGATCATAGAAGTACTTATAGATTAATACACAATTTAGCCTAAAATTAACTATAGCCTGTAAATAAATCGTGCCGGAAAATGAAAATTTATAAGGTTATTGATTGCGCATGAACCCAGTGCTATGCTTACCGCCCATGAACCGGAACGTGAGCCCAATTTGTCAGACTTCTTCTTGTTTGCCGCCGTTTTCCGTTCGGTCTTCTTCGCGGCCTTTTTCGCTGGGCCACCAAGACCGGCCAATCCTGCCGGTGACAAATTTGGAGACGACATTGATTCGAGTATGGAGTACGCCTAACGGAAGGGAATACGATGAAAGAACTGGGATACTACTGGGTCTTCCGGTGTCTAGTTCCTTATCCGCTTAGTATACTGTGCAGATTATGAAAACATCTTGTTGTAACCAAAAACTATTCGCTGGATCAAACGCCAAGGTGGAGGAAATATTTCGGCTAGGTCGTTGTCATGGGGTTGGAGGGAATAAAGTGCATGTAATAATAACACTCAGCATTTTCAATGGTGCGGTGTGATATTTAAGTACAGTAATGTATTGTATTGCAAATATCTATTTTGTGTACAAGTACTTACTTAGTGTTAATAGTGCAGTATAACTACCGTAGTACTGCATACGAAAATTAATATTGACTGAGTAAAGTTATACATGCACGGTATCATCGGTATGTACAATTGTATGTGCCATACTTAATATTATTAACTATTGTCTATTATTAAAGTCAGCCAAAATACTACTCACTAAGTAAGATTAAGATACCACTAAGATTTATTAATAAGTATTTTCTGAAAATTCTGTACTCGTACTCGTACTAATTATAAGCAGATCCGCCGTACAGCTTGCATTACTTTTTGTCGGTAACTAAGTTTCGGTATATTTTATAATGAGTAGTACTTCTACAAATCAGTTTTGTTTTTGTTCTCCGTTAGATTTGTATCTGTATATACAAGCCCAACCTCGGCCTCCGGCCTCGGTTGGGAAACTGTAGCATTGAATTTTGATTATTGTTTTATTTTTTATAATTGTTAATAATGATTATGGAATTATTGATTAGCAAACTTTACTGTAATATGACGAACTACTACCGCTCTGCATATCCGGCGAAAATCCTTACCCTTGTGTCTGACCGACGAAAAACCCACCCTCATGTCTAACCGGCGGAAATCCTGCCCTTTGTCTGACCGGCGAAAATCCCTACCCTCTGTCTAATCGGACGAAATTCCTACCCTCTGTCTATCTGGCGAAAATCCTGTACCTTAGTCTAACCGGCGAAAATCCCTACCTCTCTGTCTATCTGGCGAAATTCCATCCCCTTTTGTCTGACCGGCGAAAATCCCTAACTCTCTGTTTAACAGGCCGCAATTTTGTGCTGCTGTGTCCGCATACTAAACTTTCTCTTGCGTATTGACTTTATTTTAAAACCATCAGAATGCCAAAATTTCCACCTGAAACAATGAGTAAATGCGTCCGCTTGCTAAAATGTTTTTAATTTGACATGGTTTTTTTTAATTGGTGATCATGCGTGTTGACTGATCAATCGGTTTTCGAGCCAATTATTATAATGACCGATTTTTATCATTATCAGTATTATTATTAATTATTGTTATTTGTTTATTTCTAATAGTAGTGTTTATTATTCCTTGTTTTTAAGTATTACTTTTTTGTTTTCAAAATTGAGTGCAGAACGTTATTTGGTGTTACAGGAATAATATTTCCAGTTAAAAGTATTGGTTATTAAAATTGTCGATAAAACTATTATAAATTATAAAACTACGATAAAACTATTAGTTTACGGAACCGGATAAGCAACAATGGTATGGCGAAAGTCCAGCCTGATGCAGCGAGTGAATGTCTGCATAATGAAATTTGTTTCTTGTGCTGAAATGAATTTATGGGGAAATGGAAGAGCACCAAAACACTAGTCTTCTAATAATCAGTAGAGTAATTAATTATCTAAATAATAACCAATAATAAAAGTAATTCACTCAACAAATAATTCTTTCTCTACTAATAATCACTAGCATACCGCGAATTGTTAAATATAAGATTGTCACATGCAAAAAACCGAAGTCACTGTACAAATAAGAAGGAAAATTACGCAGTTAATTTCACGAAATGTGGTGTTTGCAACTTCGAAGTAACGTTCTAACAAAATCTAATACGCAGTAATGATTTTTGCGATTATACGTAAGTTGCCCGTTGCCGTACAGATAATCACGTTATACTGTTGCCCTTTCCTCTTTCCGCCAAAAAAATGTTAATGTACTATCGATCTGCCAATTACAAAATTTCGACAAACAGGAGTATTAAACTTTACCGATTACTAATGCACTGCAATTTTATGCCCCAGTTATATGCTATGCTGTGTCAGCAGTTTTCTTTTCGAAAATATACACATTTCCGCCAATCCGATAATAATACTTTAGGATAAGCCAATCAACGAAATTCGTTTTGGTAATGTTTCGTAATTCGAAGAAAGATAAGATCGAAAAATTAAAGTTGTAGGGACAAACTACAGGATTTTAGTATATTTTTAAGCTATCGAGCGAAATTCAGCGCCGAACGGTGTTGGAGGAAAAGGGAGAAAAAAAACCGGCGAAGTTAGCTTTGTATATAGGGGGAAAATGTGTCTAGCCGAACCAATCCCTTGTACTTCTGAGGTAAGCCAGCTGGTGGTTTACGTTGTGGCTTGACAGTGTTTTATGTAAAGCGCTGCTATTAAGATTGCAGGTACTGATAACAGGTAAGCAGCACTCGTACAACTGCAGGTAAACAGGCTAAAACTGTATTATAGCCCAGACCTGCCTGGTGCAGCTAATACCACATGTACCGTCAATGCCGCACAGCCTTAATAGCAGCGCTTTACATAAAACGCTGTGCAGCCACAACGTAAACCACCAGCTGGCTTACATCAGAAGTACAAGGGATTGGTTCGGCTAGACACATTTTTCCCCCTATATATAATACGAGTACTTATCTGTATAATATAAACAAAAGATTACAGTGCATATGAGTGTGCAGTAATTAAAACTAATGTCGCCGACTCGCCAGTCAGTGTTTTTCTCCAGTGTTAAAGAGTTTTACCAAATTACGAGTAGTATAAAAAAATAGCTTTGTACTTCAATGGTTTAACCGCTAAATTTATTTTGATAATAGCAACAAACGTTAAGGAAGCCGGTTAGCGCTGTTTTCCCTTATCGTTAGTATGCCGGGACTCGTTCTCGGTTGTTACTTGTATGTAAATCACAAAATCGTTTTACGGAGACAAAAAAGGAAAATAGCACAAGAAATAAATTTACTTTTCTTTATTATGTGCTGGGTACCCTAGTGGTTAGATACTCGTAGGCAGTTTTAAAGCTTCAATTCACAAGAACAGTGTTAACCACCTGCGAAAGAACAGCATCACATTTGTATTTTCGTAATTCACGTCGCGTTCGAGCGCCACAAACCAATAAGTGTTTTCATTGTTTAAGTATATACTATGTAAGTATATATATATTATGAAGATACAGTACCTCACAGACTTAGGCTCACGGAGAAATTCTTAAATACCGACTGTTTTTTTCTTTTCTCGTGTATCTTCCGGTAGTCTTCTCTGCAACTACATAAGTGTGCTCGTGAGACTAAAAGTCCAAATTGAACTCGAATACCGACTGCTTGAAAAGAAGAGCATTGATAATACTAACGTACAGTAAGTGCAATACTAAGATTATCAATTAATAAGAATTTATTAAGTCTGAGATTCGTGGTGAATGGACATGAGGATGACCACGGTCAGATGGGCGGAGTTAACCTGCACTAACAAATGAGGCAAACCAGGCCGCAGGTTAGAGAAAGCTCGCTCATTTACCGATCATGTCTCACACAGAGCTGAGATCTCACATCGCCAGCTTCATTCATCGTCGAGAAAAAAAAACCAGTTGCAGCATCGTTTAGCCGTTTTCACATCGTGAATTGCTTCGATGATCTGTGCAAGTCATCTTACGTTCCATTTTGATTTGTCTGCGACCTGAATTCTTATCCAAACTTGCTGTGCCACTCGTCAGCGATCCACTGCAAATATCAACAGAATCTACCGCTTTTTTCGGAATATGAAGGATAATAACGGCAACGGGAAACCGCTGCACACGATAATTGTTAATATTTGTTGGGATTCTGATTAATTTCCAGCCGCCGATATGCTGTCCGTACCGTTTCTTCGTCAGCATTCCTCATCTGTATGGCTGGTTTTGTTGTGTTCAGGTGAGACATCCATTGCGATCTGCTGATTGCCCTTTCATAATATTTATGTAATCTCCCATGTAATGTAACGTCGCCGCAAAAATTCACGGCAGCGGCCGAAGGAAGAGTTATGCGCTGTGATAGCGTCCATTGTTGCTGGCCGAGTTATTGTTTGGTCAGGCTTGACACCGCTGACTTCTTGGGGTCTTTTTTTGGTATACGTGCTGCAGGTATCATGGAAAAAAACCTTGAACTATGTCAAACCGCTATTAGTTACTCTTGAGCGTGTGTGATATATGATCGCGGTAATAATAACAGGCCATCCGATGCGGTGTGATTTTTCGAAAAGCCGATCGTAAAGCCTGTAATTCGAATGGGCAGCCTTGTGTTTTGGAAAAAAAATAGCTTTGATGCGATACCGTTTTTTCTTACATTTTCGTCTCCATTTTATCCAAATGAGGTGTTGGTACTAGTTCCTGATGAAACAGTTAAAAAATTTCATCGTAAGAAAAAGTTAAAATGAACGTTGCTTTTGAATTAGTGATGCTCATTCCTCATTAATATTTATGTAAAATATGTAATGTTTTTGGAAAACTTTAATAATTTGGAATGATAGATAACTCGTTCTCATTTTCCACTGTCGATGCCAATCACTGTTGCATGTTTTAGGTTGACGTTTTACATTAGTTTCGCGTATGAGTACTTATAAACCCAGGCTGAATTAATTTTGTGTACTTGCACATTTCCCTTGTACGTTAAATTTTTGCTTATAAAATTAGACCTTTTTTGAAAGAATTTAATAATTGGGAATGACAGCTGTTTCCGAGTGCGTGTGTGTGATTTCGAAGAAATCGTAGCCACTGTCCTTACGACGCACAAAATTGCATAACCCCACTGTGTCAGCACGTTTGGAGCTACATATCCTGAAAAAAAAACAAACCGTTGAGTCTGGTGTTTGGTCGGCGAGTTACACAATGCAGCATGGAAATTTACTTGATCGTTACATTATACGTTTAGCTGTTTAAGTAAGTAATTTATCGCCAGCCGACCGTCCATTTTGTAAGAAACCTGTCAACGACATCGTTAATAAACATTCATGAAAGAGCTGTACGTAATTACTTTGTCGTTAATTTGCAAGATTCGTTCGGCAGAGTCATACAGGTCTGAACTATATTAATACATCAACGTAATTGTAATCACGTATAACATATAAATGGTTTTGGTGTTTTTTGTAAAAATGGAAAAAAATTAAATATTCACGAAATTTCTCTAGTGTTTCACAAGCACAGGGGGAGAAGTTGCGAGAAAGTGATAATTACAAATATTTACGTACATTGACCTTTGAATGATGAGCCATGCTGGCACTGAGTGCATCATCATTGAATCGCACTCAACAATAGTCATACACGAGGAACAAATTGCTGCATAAATTAAGTGATCACATTTGTCGAGGGTATGCTTTTTTAATTGTACTGATGTACAACGATGATGCAAAACAGCGGCTTAATTCCTGTTTGATGTTGTACTGATCATTGGCTCCTCTAACCATAAGACATTTTTATACCTGAAATTATTGTGTAATCGATGGCGCGCACATCTGTTCTTTCCCTTTTTACAGCTTTCTGTAGGTAAAAAGTAATGTTTGCCTGCCACACTTTTTTTATCCTTCGTTACTGTAATTTATTTTGGCGTTTCTTAACATTGTTCTTTTTAAATTTCAGTGTTAATTCAAGCTGGTCCTCCTACTCCGCCTATGCTCACCTTGCTGCATAACATGAGAGAATGGAACCTTCCGGTTTCGACGCCTGTTGGTAAGTTTCTGCTGCATCTCTGCCTGTGTCATGCAGTAATTATTCTGGGAATACACTTTGGTTAGCGATTAAGTGACATTAAAAGGATCTGTGTAAGTATTCAGCTGATCATTACAAAATGTAAAAATAATGATGGTAAACAGAATTTGGCGAAATCGATGTATTGTACAAAGGTGTAGTATACAGATGGCGCACGGCGTGGATAAATCATGACAACCTGTTGCATCTGGATATTTTCTCATGCTGTTTCCTGTCGGTTAAAAGTGCCGAGCATTGAGCTTTGTTTTTTTGCCGACGCCCAGCACGATGTAGTTTGACGAGACGGACACGTTTTGCAGAAGCGTAAACTTTGCATTTCATAACATAAGCTAAAGTACAGTAACCTGTGATAAATTGCTTGTTGCTAACTCTATGTAATACTTTATAAAAATAATAATTTTCCTTCATATCATATTGCATGGAGTAAGTTTTAAGTTTGTAGTATTGTAATAATCACAGCAGTAATGGAATTGCTTGATTTTTTTCATTTCGCTATGCTATTTCATTTTTTCATTTTCCTTTCATCATAAAAGAAGATTGTTAACATAAAGCAAATATTTTTTCGGGAATTGTCTGAATCAGATATTATATCGTTAATTCCGGGTGTGTGTGGTGTCGTTTTTGAACGTCAACATTCAGTTAATTAGAAAATGTGCTTCCGGCAAGTGATGCATTTGTCTACATTATTATTTGAATTTTTCATTATGATTATTGTTCTAGGTGCGAAGGTTTCTCAGTTGCTAGTAAATGGAAACAAAGATGACACTTCCGTTAGGGATGTCGTATTCAACATCAGCGCCGATAACCCGGAATACAGTGATTTTTTTAATGTGGATGCAAAGAGTGGAATCGTTACGCTGAAGAAGCCGTTGGATATCCAGGTAAAAAAGAGAAATTAAAAATCGATGCCGTAATTATTTCTGTTTTTTCTTCAATGAAGTATTAGACAGTTCAGACGAATTGAAAGATGAATGAGAAAAATTAATGATGCCGGTAGTAATTACTGTTTTCAGGGCTAGACACATTATGAACGAGTGTAGCGCATTCCTTTCAGTTAAGGTGTGTCTCTTTTTTAACATAACGAACAAACGGTAACCCACTTTTACTTTCGCCACTTCCGGCTTCGACTCCGGTTATGATGTCAATCAGCGCATTAATTCCGCTGCTTAATTGCTGCCTGTGAAAGTGTTACATTCTCGCGATAATGTCTGTACATCCAAATTGCTACTTCACAATCGAGGCACGCCATATTCTATGAAAAGCTTTTCTTTTGATGGCGCGGAATTTTATCCAAAGTGTTTGGGAACATTCAGGCATGAAGAGATACCTTGTAACGCTAGTTTCTGTATTGAACATTTTCCATATTGCAGTTGAGTTAATATAGTTGTAAAACTGTACGCAATTTTACCATTGCATGATTCTTCACATTTTCTTTGGCGAGGACTCAAACGCTTGAAGATCTGGACACTTAAACGTTAAGCTTTGATGGCGACATGGTTTAAGTGTTTAGCTAGCTGCTGATTTGATTGCTGGCAATGGGAGATTGTTTTGCGTCTCTCAACTGTTCTTTTTCACGCAAGACCTACCCGGATGTGCGTGTACCCATGAACTACATGCACGTTGAAGTTGTATAATATATTATTATTAGTGGCGTAGCAGCATCATGAGGAGAAACTTCGATGCAGTACGATTCACAAATAGACGTCGTACAAATTGTCCGAACTATACAATGATACAAACGCAATTCTCAACAGATCTTGATTGATAGCATCTTGGAGTGGTCATCTGTTATAAATTCAGAAACTGACAGTAGTGTGTTCTGCAGGCCGTTTCTTTATTTGAATTTAAAAGCGCCTCACCACTTCTTTAACCAAAGGGCACAAATTAAAATTATGAGCTAAAACGTGAACCTAATAAATTTTAACTAATCCGTTACAGGTACACCACACGTGAAAAGCAGTATATAATTGACAAAATTAAAAAAAATATCATTTGTGGTTGATTCATACCGACGCTCTAAACAATTAATTTTGGTAATTGCAGAATTACAGAGACTTCGTGGTAGTTCCAACGGTGGACAATGGATACATGAAGGCAAGTTAGTTCTCAGCCTTTCTGCTTCGGTCCGGGAGTGATATTATACATAAATCCTAATAATTATGTTGTACGATATGTGTTTGTAGTGTAATATTATATGTGCAATGGAATTACCGCAACCATTTCGATACCTTTGTTGGCTGTTTTTTTCCATCTTTGCGCATTCTGTAGGCCAAAATACAAGTGCCGGTTCACGTCCTATCTGATGATAATTCAACGGAAATTCGGTCGACTGTTAACGATATGTCTTTCGCATCACTGCCATCACCTTTGGGCCCGTTCCCCCCACGCACAATCAGCCGCCCACGCGTGACAACCCCCGAAGTTGTTGTATTTACACCCGGCCCCGATGTTTTGGTGACTGATCGTCCATCACAGAGCGCCAGACCCCGCACCAAACCCAAAACAACATCCACCACGTCCGCTGAATCAGGCGATCCAACGATTGCTGGTGTTGTACCAGGTGTCAAGCATGATGGCGAAGAACGAAAGGAGAAAGGAGACGCTGGGGAGCACCGCAAAGACGTACAGGACGGAGAACCCATGAATAATCGGAATAATTTGCAGTTATTGTGGATTTTGTTGCCGGGTGCACTGCTGTTTCTGGCTGTTGCGGGGTTTGTTTGCTATCGTATGCGGCGTGCGCCGATGAAGGAAAAGATGCCCATTGCCAAATCGATGTCGGTGGAGACCGGACAGTCGCTTTATAAAGACGTAATGCTTTACCGTCCTACATGATTTTAAACTAAATCTGTTTTTAATCTCTCAGACAATTTTACATCCTTTTGTTTGCAACAGGCTCCTTCCGGAAAGGACTTCGGTACTCTAACGAAGGAACCGTTAAAGATGATGGTGTCGAATCATCGATATCTGTACCGGAAACGATCGGAAAACTTTGCTGCGTCTACCGTAAGTGATTGTACAGTTAGCGCGAAACAAATGAAGCTGTGAATTACGTAAGCAAAGTGTGTACCCAGTACCAACGGAATGACAGCATTTTCCACCGTTATTTTAGATTCAGACCGGGCCTGATGGCTACTTGAAACCCGATGTGGCAGAGAATTGGGAATTCCCGCGTGATAAGGTGCAGATACTGGAAAAAGTTGGCGAAGGATGCTTCGGTCAGGTTTTTAAAGCGGAGGCACTGGAGCCATCCGGATGCATCGCTGTAGTGGCCGTGAAAACATTAAAAGGTACCGATTTAATTTAATTAACATGCGTTTACGTGAAATCACACTCGGAACAATCTTCACGGCATTTGGTGATGGTGTTGCAGTATCCTATTTTTCCCAGTATTTTATAGAACAATTATCTGTGAAGGTCAAGGATATCCGTGGCATAATTGTGTGTTTTGTAGACAACGCTTCTGATAAAGAGCGCCGGGATTTACTAGCGGAACTGCATGTGATGCAGAGCCTACAACCGCATACTAATGTCGTGGAGTTACTGGGTTGTTGTACCGATAAAGGTCAGCGGTGGCATATCGCTGTGTTAATACACATTGCTTATTAAGGTTTTGTGTGCAGATCCGACATACGTAATAATGGAGTTTGTGGCGTTTGGAAAACTGCAGTCGTTCTTACGCCGCAGCCGAAACAGTCATTATTACGGCAATGTGGCAGGCGCCGGGGATGGGCACAATCTGACGGGTGGGCTGATGCTGAAATTTGCTTACCAGGTGGCCTGCGGAATGCACCACATTTCCTCCCAATATGTAGGTGGAATACATTTTGAAGTGCGAACGCACAGCACTACGAAATTTGCCGGAAGATTGATTAAAGCCCATTCAGTAGTTTGCAGTAATGTGCTTTACTATATTAGCTTGTGCACCGGGATCTGGCGGCTCGAAATATTCTTCTAACGGAAGATCTGGTCTGCAAAGTCAGCGATTTCGGACTGGCTCGCGATATTAGCGACAAGCATATCTACGAAAGAAAATCTGAGGTAAATATTTGTCCCGTGCCGAAATTGCTTCAATTTAATGCGTAGGCCAAATACGTTCAGTCGTCGATGTCTGATTTTTGAATAATTTATTAACTATCGCCATGCGATTTATATGACAACAATGCCAAAGTTTTCTTTAGTTTCTTAATACCGTAACATCATGCTCGTTGCGAGAGTGCAGGACAGATGATAAGCAGCACTCGAACAAAATCCGGACCATCGTGTTTATAGGTTCGAGTTAATACATACATAAATGCACTCAGAATGCCGTTTTGCAGGGTCGTTTGCCGATACGATGGATGGCGCCGGAATCCATCGCTGACAATGTCTTCTCCAGCCAGTCCGATGTGTGGTCCTTCGGTGTGTTATTATGGGAAATTGTGACCCTTGGCGCGACGCCCTACCCGGGAATGTCGGCCGGCGACGTGGTGGCCAAAGTACGCGACGGCTTCCGGATGGAGAATCCGACGCCACGCTCCCAGGAACTGTACGAGCACATTATGCTCCCCTGCTGGCAACTGCAGCCCAAGGACCGGCTGTCGTTCAGCGCCATTGCTGACGCATTAGGACGCATGCTGCAGGAAACGCAAGATTATCTGGATCTCAATGAAATTCCCCATTATTACAATATTTTCACTGATCTGTCGGGCGAGAAAGTTTGATGGGAACCCGCGGCTGTACTCGTGTTTGTTTATCGTGATATTATGTGGTATATTATATTATGTGGTCTTTTGCAAATCTGACATGGGTGCATTCTGGTTAGAAAGATTAAGGCAAATAGGATTCTTTTAGTTGGATCATATTTTGTTGAGAATAAGCAGGCTATTTGCACATAACATTATCAAAGTTGGTTCAATTTGATAGCGATTTTGATGGCATACCTGTCTTCATCATATTATTGTTCATCATATTGTTATTATGCTTATCTGGGTTTGAGCCTTGAGGAACAAAAATATATGAAGGAAGTCGAACTGTATTTTCCCCAGTGAAATAGTAGCCGGCCCGGGCATTCATTAGTACCGGCTCGAGTCACGAAGTTATTTATTACGAGAGTTATTTATTATATATCAATTTATTATGAGGTAGCATTGTACAGATTGCAAAGGAGTACTGCCAAAAAAGTGCAATGAGGTGGATGTTCATGTGAAACTGAAATGCAGGTTATTGCAACGAAAAGAAAGATCTGCTAATACACAGAGCGCACTCTTCTTAAAATTCTTAGTTTACCAGCCTACTTTTTTTGCTTGCCAGTTGCCATTACCACACGGTTGCGGTGTATTACCAAAACTTTGTGCGACTCGGCCGTGGATTTCAGGAAACGTTAAGGATGTGCTTAGGATAACTTCGTTTATTAATTAATTCGGTGCAATTACGCCGAAGTGATACTGTACGCACGTTACGTTAGTGCTAAATTGGACTATTGCTGTACTACAGTAGAAAGAAACTGTCTGCTTACCGGTTTGCATATTATGCATGTGTTCATCGCCGGGCTTCATTTAAGATTGCCGATATAGGACGCTGCCCCCGCGAGGGTTTAGTCCTATTTAGTTAAGTTCATTCACTGAGCAAGCGAAACCTCGAGGCAGCTCCCCCTTCCTCGTATAAGACTATGAAGAACCCCCTTTTGAAAATATCGGGATCTTACCGGTTAATGATCTGGCTAAAAACAAATCCGCTCTGCACACCGGCCTGGATGAAAATGACATCATCAGCAACTGAATGCGTCCAGTGCGCCAATATCCGTCGTAATGGCAAACGGCCTTGCAAACTGTAAAAACTTATTAATTTGCAAAAGGAAAAAGGAATAATACAATATATACAATACAATACAATATACGAGTATATATAATACAATATATACAATATATATATATATACAATATATATATGTAGTAGTATGTACCATATATATATACAATATATATATGGTCCGGGAAAAAGGGCGGAAACTGTAATGCTGTATGACTGGTCACCGGACAGCTGACCAGTACTGCGTACTGACCTAGTATGTGCTAGTATCAAGCCAGCCGGCAGCATACTTTATTTAGAAACCGTACTCCGTACGTACCGCTACCGAATATACTGTACTGCAGTACTGTAGATTGCGGTCGTCTTCATGTGTACGTACTGCATAAATTTATGCATACTGCATAAATTGCTGTCGTCTTCATAAATTTACGTACAAGCTGATGATTTTTTCAAAAAATCCAGTTTTGATGCATTTTCTATAAAATTGGGTTCTACTTTTTTGTTTTTTGCGTTATAACCATAACGATCAATGCCGAATCTGGGAAACGTTTCCTTCGGGTAACGCAGCAGCGTATGATAAGTCATTTGCCCCATTGGCTCAGTGGTAGAGCATTAGTCTCGTAAACTAAGGGTCCTGGGTTCAATTCCCAGATGGGGCTATTTTTTTCATTTTTAAAACGGTCAGGTGGATGATAATCAGTTAATCACGAACGAATTTAAAGGTTCATTATTTTTACTCGAGAAATGTTGTTTATTGATCGTTGAACTGAAGGAAAAGAACCTTTCTGACGGAGCGCAATATTATTTGTCCACAACAGACCGCCCATCAATGTCAGCAGTTTCCTTAAATCTCTAAACGTAATACTAAACTTTCGAGACTTGCAAAATACTATTAGACAGCACAAAAAACAACCAAAATTTACAGACATATACAATAGTAGGAAATCCTCATGTCTTAAAAACACTGAAAACTTCGCAAGAGAAAAACGTATACGGGCCAATTGTGCAGTTATACAAATACAACAAAACGACACACATAATCTATTCTTTCACACAGTGGAAGCCGTTCCATCATTATCACCCGTCACATCGATGAGAGGCGGCCGTCGCAGCGTCGACACCACAATATTATTCAGCAGCTGAGCACTGCCGCCCGGCGGCGGCGGCGCAGGAACACTGGAGGAATAGACCGTCGGCTTGCTGCGCGCCTGCGTGGCCGCTTCGTAATCCGGTGGGCGGGAGGCACGCGGACGAATATAGGACAGGCCATCGCGCGGCGGCAGCTGCGGCGGCAGCATGGCGTTCCGGCTGTTGCGGGCCGGGGGAATGGGAGGCGGTGCCGTCGTGGCGGACTGCAACGGCGGCGGGGAAGGAGGTCGGTTGAGGGAGGGGGAACTGTTCACGGAGCTCGGACAGCTGTCCAGGGAGCTGGAGGCTAAACCGGAATCGGCGACGGAATGACCGGCCACCGAGTCGGACGATGTTACGGATCCTGTAAGGAGATTTTTGTCATTATTAACTGAAAATACGAGAGCAAAACGACTCCTTTATCATAAACTTTATTATATCATATTTATCATAAACAGACATTAAGATGCAGCAGAAACAAAGTTTAAAAAATTAGGGGGAGATATACAGAAAGAAATGCTGAATTTCAGAAACTTTAATTTCAAATAGGGAAAATCGATTCACGACAATAAAAAGGCCGAGGAAAAACAACGGATTTTTATTGGATTAATTTTTATTGGATTAATTTTTATTGGGTTATTATATTACAGTAATCAACTTGCGAAATAATAAAGTTTTTAAGCAAAATAGAAAGCTTAATAATTAAAAAAAAAACAAAAAGCGGCCAACGAACCTAAAAGTAACAAGCCTAAAAATTTTGTTTAAATCATTTGTCAACTGTGCAACACCAAAGTACGGTGATTGAGTTATAATTTATTACCTGATTGCGATTTTCGCAGCGCCATTCCGCTGCCCACCAGCGCCGTGACACTGGAGCTCTCCACCGATAAATCCACCGGAATCATGGCCCCGTGCGCATACGGCGGCTTCAGAGTGTGCCCGAACGACACCATATCCGCCTGCATCCGCGCATGATAACCGCGGTTCATGGGCGGTTTGGGACTGGTGGCCGGCGATCGGCTGGGATGATGGTGTCCGCCGCCGCCACCGCCCGCGTTCCTCCCGTGATGTGTGCGCATTTTGGAGGAATCCGACAACGCCATCAACTTGCGCACCGCCTGCGGTGACTGCTGGCCGAACTTCGGTCCCACCGCAAAATGCATGGGTTCCGGCGCCGACGTCTGTCGTTTCACCACACTGGCCGTCGACGGTTCACACGCCAGCGATTTCTCCTGCAGCTCCGCTTCATTCTCCGTGATCTTCACGTTATTCCAATACTGTTTCACTTTGCGAACCATCTGCGCTTCCTCGTAGAGTTTCTTGGCTGAAACGCTCAACCCCACCGCGACCTTTTTCCGCGTCGGCAACGAGCGGGATCCGTGGGTTTTCTTGGCGGTGTGCGCGGTGCCCACCATCGTGTTGAAGGCGTGATTACGCGGCGCACACGCTCCGTCAAACACTTCATGGAGATCATAGGGAACGCTGGTGTAGGCTTTCAGCTGGCGGATTTCCTTGGAGATCATCCGCAGTTTCTCAAAATTAATCAGCTGCCCATCGCTGGTCTCGTTGCCTTCATGCAGGAACGTCAGATCCTTCCGGACAATCGGGTAGAACGGGATCAGCGGCGGCGTAGCTGACCATTTCAACAATAAATGCCGGTATTTCGACATATTCCGCGATGGATCCATGAGATTACTCAGCGTATCCCGTGTCTTCAGATGCTTCTGTGGCACCTTCTCCCAGGTGGATTTCAACCGGTACACACAGCCGTGACTCAGCCCGCTGAGAATGGCAAAACAGGAATTCAGATTCCGCGCTTCGTGGCAATATTTGGCGATCTTAATAAACAGCTTCAACAAGCGGGCCCGTTTGTTGATGTTGCTCTCCGAGCAGACTTCAGTCACCACCCAGAACATCTCCCGATTGACCACGCCTTCGAATTGCCGCAGGGTGCTGGGAGCGGATGGGGGAGAGTAGCGGCCAAAGAGATCGTCGATGAATTCCGTCGGCTCGATTTGTTTGAAGACGGAGAAATCCTGCAGCGTCAGCTGGGCGGCGATTTCATGGGCGTCCAACTGCAGCACTGAGATTTGTGATTCCCGCCAAATTTCCGGCGCCACGTCGTCGGCCACGAGGGTTTCTTGGAGGTGGAGATTCTTGAGGTAGATGCGCGCGTTTAGCGGCAGGGAATCCGCTAAGCCCTGCATTTCGTCCGGCAAGCGGCGCTGGATAATGACATTTTGTGCCTCCACCGATACCTGGCCACAAAATCGCAATTATAATTTTTAATGTACAGATAAGTTTAATGTATCAAGAAAAAGAACTAGGGCAATGAATTTTACTTGTAGCACGCGCCGATTATGAAAAATTCTCGTCAAAATCTGCCCAAAGGGCAGTTTTATCTTATACACACTATAATCACGGCCCACAAAAATCAAATGTAAGTTTTTAGTGTAAAGATAAATTTATTTTTCCAAGATAACGACTGATCATGACGAGTTAGCTTGCCGCACGTGCCGTCATAAAACAGCTCGTAAAAACCCGTAAAAAGTGCAGTTTTACCTGGTATAAACTATAATTATGGCTGGTTTCCGTGATGCCGAATTCGTTCAGCGCCAGCATCACAATTTCCCGCACTGTCGTCTCTTTATGGACCAGGAGATATTTGTAGATCTGATCGGGGCGATAAACTTTGATGACATGATCAGGAAATTCTTGGCTTGTGCTGCTAACCGTTTTCACGGTCACCACTTCTTCGTGCGGAGCGGCAGCCAATAAATCTGGATTACTCCGACTGTGCTGCAGTTTTCCCGATTTCGGGGCCGAAAGGGCGCCACCGGTGGGATCGGTGGATATCGCTTGATATGTAGTATTCTCTTCCATGTATTCCCTAAACCAAAATACCATTATTGTTTCTCCTCCTCTATAAATATTTATTTACTAATTATTTTTATTACATATTTTAACTGTTTATTCTTTTTTAATGTAACACAGGCTACGGTAAATCAGCAAGAACAGAGCCAATTAGTAAACTAGAAAACTTGTTATTTAAATAAATATATTTATCAAATCCAGCAAACATCCATTTTCGTGATGGATCAGGATCATTTCCAACCAGGCTTAAGCGGGAAAAATCCCCTGCACACATGTACCGATTTTTTAATCGGAGCAAACATTTATTATTAAATTGTTTTTCCATGGCAAACTGATCAAATAGTGTACTGATCGCGAAGTCTTTTTCTTTTGTTAATCTGTTTTTGTTATTCACGTGAACCTGGTTCTCTCCACCAACATTAAATAATCATTCGTACAGTGAAAAACATCCCGGTCGGTGCTATTTTACCTGGGCAAATCCCGGGAGATGATATTCATTTTCATTAGTGCCTTCCGTAATCCGGATTTCGGCCGGAGCGTCATGAAGCCTTTTTTCGTCTCCCCATTGGCATTTAACACCGGTTGTTGTTGCTGTGGCGGAGAGGGGGTTGCCGGCAGCACCAACAGCGCCGGCGACGTGGCCACATGCTCCAATTCCAGTCCATCCAGATCGCAACTGGAAAGCCGATTATGTGCGCCCACTACGACGACATCCGCTGACTGCTGGCTGCGATGATAACGGGAACGATGCCGCGGTGAGGCATCCGCCGGTGTTGACAGCATCTCCCGGTAGCCCAACAGATTACTCTTGACACTGATGCTGAGATGTGTGGCTTTCCGTAGCACTTCCAGTGCCCGGCTGTGGTTGATGTGCTCGAAGCGTACACCGTTCACCTGTACAGTACATATACCGTGTATAACATTTACCGTGTTAAGCCTGATTAATGGGATAAAAGCTTGACCACATTAGCCGCGTCTGATCCGTTATGATTACCGGCAGGCTGACCGGACTTATGGAAAATTACTGACGTCAGCTACCCACTTTGTCTCGGCTGTGGCGTGTTATACATTTCAATAAGCGCAAAAGTTCATTCGCTCCCGCGACTGTATCATTACGAAACTGACAACTCAAAATAGCTGTATTAAATGTTATTTGTTCCATCCGTTATTGGCCATTTAATAACAACATCCACGTAAACAACCGGCTGAGCAGTCTATTTTCGATGCTTACTACGCGCTAGGTTTCCGATAATGTAAAATGTATAAAAAGATTTTCAATTGCCTGGTACGTTTTCTCCACTTAACGACATTCTGCACCCTATTTAAATTTCAATTTTATGGATTTCTACGATTCCAGATGCCGCATTCGGTAGGAGTAGTGCCTCCGAGATTTGTGTTTTCTTCGTTATCTTTAAGCGCCCATAAAAGCTGTACCAATCATTCATTCCCAGGTTTAAATTCCAATGAACTTTACCTGGAATATTTACGGTTGCTTTTTCAATCGCAGTTATTTTTTAAAATCCGTTTACCCAGCACGTCAAAAAATTTTTTCAGCATCAAGGGTTTATTTATAAATAAATATAATTATATGTACAAAATCATTTGGATTAAATTCAGCACAAATCTTGCATATAATTGATAAATGGGAAATTTCGATGTTTACGTTTCCAGTGACGCCGATTATGGTCTTTCAGTACCAACAAATGCGTCAAGATTTTTTTCTGTATTCCCAGGTGTATTTATAAATAAAAATAAATATGTGTTACAAAATCATTTGGATTAAATTTAACACGATCTTCCAAATAAATGGAGAAGTTTTATTATTTACTGTTGCAATGACGCCGGTTACAGACACCAACCTGCAGAATTTGATCGCCTTTCCGCAGTCCCAATTCCTCTCCCTTACTGGCCTTCTTCACATCACAGACATAGATCCCAAACCCGCGATCCCATCCGCCCAGAATGGAGAAATTGAGACTCTCCTCGCGCGTACTCCTGGTCAGCGTGATATTCCGTGTCCGCGGCTTAACTTCAAAGGCCTTATGCAGCATCTTCAGCTGGGGGATTTTCTTATGAGATTCCAGGGAAAGTTGAAACCAATCCAGAAACCCGATCAGGTCCGGATGTGATTCAAAATCAATAAAATGACTGTTGACCCATAGCAGGACGATGCGGGTTGCCTGTGTGTCGATAAACCACAACCAATATAATACATACAGTACAACACAGCTTTTCGATAATGAGACATGTGTAATATTCGCAAAGCCACACACACAGGAAATGGACAGGACATTAAGACAGTAAATGACCCCTGTAATCTCTGTACAGTAGCTACACAGTGTCAGCGCGCCGCACTTACCCGATCACGCAGTAACGGGTCAGCATACCACTGCTTCAGCTGATCAGAGACTTCCGTTGGTGATGTCAAGAATGTCCGATACGTCAAGAGAAAATCCTCAATGTAGTACGGGTCGCTAACGGAATGCTCCTCCGCCAAATAATTAATCAGACGCTCGGCCGTCGCCTACAACATCCATTGTCTTTTACTGCACGCAACACTGCATATTACGGGAAATTAACTATTTTCTGGTATTTTCCGTCAGGATGACTAATTAAAAATGCATTGTTCCAAAAAGATTTCGTCGAGCATTATGCCCTGGCCAAGCACACACCAGATTAAATCATGCATAATGCATATTCTGTGATCGAAAAAATGCAAATAATTAAACTATCTTAAAAAATCCATCCGATAAAAAAATACTAAGTACACCACAATTTACTGAACAAGTACGTAAATACGTAAATAAATCATGAAAATAATTTTCAAGCCACGAATGTCGCGTCAAGAGAAAAGCGTGATGTTTAATGATTCTCTTTACAAGACAATTTAATTAATTAGTTAAACCATTAATCTACACATGTAAGCATTTGATGTAAACGAAACCGAACTAATCGTAAAAAGATGTTTCTTCAGCATCATAATCAAATAGAATTACCACGTCCGCACCGAAAAATCTTATTGAATACGTCAACATTCAATTAAACCATGAAAAATATTCACACAGCGCCCATTTCACACCCAACTGAAAGCATACCTTGATAACAACCGGCCCCCGTCTTCCGCTGGCGTCCAGTATCCGATTCTCCACCATCATCACCACCCGGCCCTCCTCATCCACAATCTTCCGCGTGAGATTCTCCGTCTGATTGAGGATATTGTAGTAATCTTGCTGGGCGACAATAATAAACTGGCAGTCCTCGGTTTTTGTTCGCATTATACCACGGTGATACAGTTTCTCCATGGTGGGCGTGATGCCGAAACTGTTTCCCATACAAATAGAACGCTGCGGTTTAATTTCAACCAACAAATCTCCGATTTCACTACACTTATGCAATAAAAATCTAAACCGATCAACTGTCAACAGGTCTCTGCTTACCTGTCGCCCACATTCAGCTCTTCAATTTCCCCATCGGGAAATTCAATTTGGACACTGCCGTTGATAATCACGGACCACGAGTCCAACTCTTCACCGTCACTCATCACAATACATCCCGCGTCTTTGACGTACGCGAACCGCATCACCTGACGAAGCGAAATCCCTTGTCAATTACGCATACGACGCGCGCAAACATTTCATGGTCAATTATAATTAAATCAGCCAATATCTAACTGAATTAAATTAGCTCAGACATGATATCTCAATACACTTCAAGCGCACTGACGACTAGAAATAATCGAATTAATTCCCCTGTAAAACAGATAAAGCAGTTAGGTAAATTTACCTGGCACAATAGGCGCTTAATACTCTGTGTATAGCTGGCGAATGCCGGCAGACGCTGCATAAAATCCAATAAATATTCAATTTCATCTTCACTCCGATCCAGCGGATCTTTATCCAGGAATTCCCGGACCGTATCGCGGAATGTACACGATGACGCCGATATGGATTCCTCCCCATCCGGCATGTCCTTTTTGGTTAACATTCAATACAAAAAACCCGTATAAATTTCCGGAAACAATGCGTCGCCAAAAAAAAACAGTTATCGATGCGTCAATATCCCATTTAAAGTGCAACAACACTTAAAAACACCAGTCAGTGTACCGCATATGAAAAAACCGTGGACGGGAAAAAACTCTGCAACGCGTTCTATTTTCGATATGCAAATCATGTCGGCAATGAAATATTAGCACTTAGTCAGTCACGACAAGACAGTGAAGACAAACCGCCAAAATCCAGCGGCATTACTCACACCCGGCGCGAGCAATAATGCAATAAAGAGGGCAAAAATGTGCCGGCTGCGTTTCTAGATGTACCTCGATCAGATCAACTTCATCCTCCGAGTCGGTCTCCGCCATGGAATCATGCCGGTGACTAATAGGCAAATCGGATGCGGCACTGTAGGCGCCGCTGCTCGTATCGCTTCCGTGGGATAGCCGGTCGCAGGGAAGATTGGAGGAGGAGGCGGACGACAGTAGATCCCGCTCCCGCTCACCACCCATCTACCAATTAATGCCCCATTCATACACGCGCGTATGCAAGAAAACCGTTACATACACACACAGACCCAATGATGGATGATTGTTGGCCAGTGTACAAAAGTCATCATATTCAATTCCTGACAACCGGCACCAATAACTCCCGATGTCTTACAAGGAAAATTCAATTCTCTTTCGTCCAGTGCAATCTGACCGACTTTGATACTATGCAACACTATGCTACGCCAATTTCGAAAATATCGATTCAAGCGGAAACGCTCACTTGGAAATAATAAATTAAAAATAATTCCTCCAAATACCTCATGAATCCCAAAACGTTAACAAATTTAAACAGCAAAGACTAAGCGATGAATCGATAAAAATAATATTAAATTTTCAAAAGATGAATCTGTCTCATCTTAAGATCTCATCTTATAGTCATACCCGTATAATGTATGCAATCAACCACTCAGCAATTTTCTTATCATAATTTACCGAAATTCCGCTGCTAATACGTATACCAGTAAATCAGCCGAATCAAAATGTATACACCTGCCCACGTTATTCGTCCTAACAAGCTAATCGCTACAAACGATAGCCGATTATCAGACACACACACTTCTCCAAGCAATTAGCTAACATTCCCGGCAAAGCTAACTGGTAAAGAAAACTGTTACTGTATCATGTTGTCTCAAGACTCGCGTCACTATCAGGCCTAATCTGTTTCCCCGCCGAACCGAGCAGCACTCAAATCCGCATATAAACAGTAAAAACATCATCCATCCATCATAGGATACCCGAAAAGGCCCGCACAAGAGCCCTCCTGACATGTACTCTCCCATCCGATTAAAGACACTTACGGGTACGCTGTTGTCGCTGAGCAGACGTTCCCGCGTCTTGACACGGACCGGCGCCGTCGTCATCGGGCCAGTGCCTCCCGCGGTGGTGGTGCTGGTGGTGTTCCGGTGACGAACCATGGCCACATCCGGATAATCAATCTGTACATATAACAAAGTACTTCACGTTAATTCTTCCGCTTTTTTTCACGGTAAACCGGGAATTTATTCCCCACTTGACGGGAGCAACAGGAACCAATTGAGAGAAAAATACCAAGAATCATTAGAAAATACACACGACCCGGCGTTGTCACATCTGTTCGATGCTAATCTCAATCTGCCACAATTTCCGGCGGATCGCAGACATGCGGCGCTAGTACAACAGTCCGCGCTGTTTAACCGCTGGTGTTTGCCGTTCACGGCAAGTTTATTGACAATTAAAAAAGGGCATGCCGCACCGATGAATCAAAGTCTAGGAAGAAAGCTCGGCAAAATTTATGAATGGTTTTCGCTGAAGCACATGCCTGTATTGTAGAACTTTGTACCGCTAATTACGTATAAACGCACCCTTAACTTGCCGGTTGAGTTCGTAGAAGAAATCGTCTCCATCAAAGAAACGATGCACATAATCAGACGATTAACCTGTATAAATCTGACTATTCCACAAAGCTGTATTTTGACAAAAACCGCAGTGCTTGAACGAAAGTCAACACCAAAACATTAAGGTATCTGTTAAGTATTACTTACTTTAAAAGAAATAATAATAATTTATTAAGACACGTATCAAAAAATGGTATTATTAAAGGTATTAAGGTATTATTAAAGCTTTGATTTACAAGAATAGTAACCTTAAGGTATTCATACGAAACTGTAGTACAAAGATTTTCACAAGGCACACGCTCATTACTTCCAGTCTAATCAACAGCAAAACCAATTTTGTTGACAAAATCTTGACAAAATAACAGACAGACAAGTCGAACACACTTGACATAAATATCAAAATAAATTCAGTTATGCGTAAAAAAATGGTGCCGTACCCTCGGTTGAATCGGTTCGCACTGTACACAACGAAATCGAAGGCAATCCACTGTAAAGCTACGTCGAATTAATCTTGCGGAAGATGCAATTACAATATGATCAAGTAGCGGAACAAAGTGGATTACGGACAAAATTGTCTGCAACGCTTGCAACCTACTAATTAATATTATCATTTGCCATCACTGCCAGCATGGAGCGTCTATAACCATTTACATTTATTGCTTTTTTCCTCATCATCACGTACAGTCCGCTGGTTTGGGCGATCGGCATCGCTCAGACAAATGAAAGTAAACACAAAAAGCGGCGCAATCAGAAATGACCAGGCAAGATGCTGCACAAAGTGTATAAGCAGCAAATAAAAACACACGTCGTGACCACTGATCAAAAGGCTCTGTCTTCGGTTAAAGATGATAACATACAATTAACATTACAGCACCTGTTGTTGTTGTCTGAAGAGAATCAAAGTGGATCACTGAGTAGCTATCGGTTTTTTCTCTCCCTTGGCGGCTTTTCTGCACAAAAGCCTCATTCATGGCCATTACATGCCGCTAATCTAAGTTCTGGCCTAATTACTGGATTGGCACAAAATGATCAAATGATCGTATTCAAAAGGAGAAAGTTGGAGATAAAACACCTGCGTACAACAGCGCATCTTTTAATCTCAGTAAATTTCCGATTCAAAATCGATACGCTTAGGAAAAAATTAGGTTATCGAACTTTCTACAGATATATTTCGTACGTTCTCGCGTTTCCCTAATTATGTAGTTAAAGATTCATTCGAAAATCTTCATCAAAGCATTTTTTGCCGCTAGTGTATTATTCTGAAATTAAACCGTCCTTCAAAATTTAACATAAAAAATATTTAACTGTTTAGCACAGAGCAAGCAACTTCCGTATTCAAAATTATAAATTAATCAACAATCCAGTAAGTTCGAAAAAAATCTACTACTACGATTTGCAGTGTTTTCGCATTGCTGCTATAACTTGCGAAGCACGTACCGCTATAATTTCCGATGGCTCCAGCACAAGGCATTCATCGGTCCGTACCGTGGTATTTCCGTAGCGTTTACCGAAACTGCAGAGAAAAAAGCAAACGCACAATTATTTTACCATCGGGAACAGAACGCTGGCAACACACGGACAAGAGAGTCCGTATGGGAATCGACTCCAACGATTAAAGTTGCTCAACAGAATTTAACGTTTGATTACACACACATTTCCATGTTCGCATTTTTATCGGCACGTTCTTTGCCATTTTATTACCGTGTGACAAGATAGAGAGAAACGGGAGGGGAGAATCCAGCCGAAATGGATCTCCATGCATACAAGAGAGTGTATCCTACATCCGCCGTTACAGGGCTCACTATACTCTCTTTTATGCACTTATCAGAAACAAACACACCAAGTTCAACAACGTAAATTCCAATGGCCCATAAAAAGGACAGTTAAACCACTAGAAAAATATCCCGGATCATCTCTGGCTGGTTACTATCATTTGAACCTTTTCCAGTGGTTAAATAAAACATCTCCCAAAAGACACGCATCCGGATTGTTACTCAACTCCGAAATCGCTTGAAAACACTTTTTACAGTCAGCTATGTAAATAATATGACAATCACAAAACATTTAAGGAACAACACTATTTTCTTAAAAAAAAGTGAATTATGTGAGAAACTTCCTGGATATGCTCACATAAAAAAAGAAAAAAAATGTTCAAAAGTTAAACAAAAATTTCATACTCGTAATTTATAATAAGCACAGATATACTTGCAAGCGCAAGTAGTTCTGGGTTCATAATGAAATCGTAAATCAAAAATGCAAAGGTGTATCACAACAAAAGAAACACCGGTAAACATGAAACTCACGTACCGCGCAAATCGTAAAAGCGAAAACTTCATTAGTGTGTTGAACCGATAAATATCAAATATGCATTTTCAAAAACATAGAACATAATTATGATCCCCAAAATAATCAAACGAGGTGTTGTACAAAAGGTTCTAGAAATGTAAATAGTCGCTTTGCGGTGGATTTCCAATTTTAGTCCTCAATGAGTCAACGGACAAAATTTGTCGTTAAAATGCCAAGTCTATTTAGATTAGCAAATTACAGCAGTTCACGGATACAAGTAACATGGCAAGCGTCAACGATCCTCCAAACACCTGTTGCGCAAACGCGACATATCGGAAAACTGCGCGGAAATGAAACCACAAAAACCACCATTTTTAGCACAGGGTTTTCATCAATCCCAAACGATATCTGATTGTTAAGCGGGCATGTAATACCTTTTCCTCCATGAATTTGCATATCAATACGCAACACTCAAAAAATTCCCTTTTTTGTAATCCATACGAAACGAAAAAGCGATCTGCAGGCAAATGCCGCACAAATTAAATCAAAATAATCAGTTATCCAAAATTTTCATGAAGCGCGGTGCAAAAAAATTCCAAATCACCCCCGAAGCCGGATAATTATCGAAACTACACTGATTAAACCGTCGACAACGTCTGCAGCGATTCTCAGTAACACACATCATCCACCCCAATTTTCCTTTCAATCACCACCGATAAAATTCAGCTGTATACCGGTTCACTGTAATAACACGCGATGCAATCTTGAGAGAATCTCACTCAATCTCACCGGTGAAAAGACGCTCACAGATGCAAGTCAAAAGAAACACGGTTGTCTCAGTTTCCCTCCTCAACTACCAACCAGTAGCTCATGCTGACCAATTGCACCAAATGGTCATTTGCAAACCATTCGGCGCTACGCCCGCCTCCAATGGGGCTTCAACGAAAAATCTTGTTTGCCAAAGCATGAAACATTTTTATGCGCGACCACGGTGGGCAATGAAGTAGCGGGGCAAGAGAAAAAAACAACATGCACAGAGAGACCGTTCATCTAAAAAGAATAAGATTATCAGGCAACCTTGTCATTCAAGGCCGAGTTGCTGAAACACTGCTCCATCTTCTATGCGCCTTATTACCGCACATCGACACACGAACGCACAGCGAGCGACTCATCTCATTTTTTTTCTCTATCATGCTGCAAACGCCGTAATCACTTCTCCACTCTGGGCAATATTTGCGCTTCTGCCATAATTGCTACCAGCTAATTGCCAGCTGATGAACATGATGTAGCACGAGCAATCTACCTGTCATCAGCAATTAATTTCTCTTCTTTTTTCTTCGCAGGCCGGAAATAATCACTCCGGATATCGTCAAAAAATTTACTGAAACCGAAACCGCACAAATTTTCTTCCGGTGTATCATCTCCTTATTTGCAGCATTATTTTTAAAACAAAAAATTTATCTGCATTCCGGGACTTTGCAAAAAATGTGCTGAACACGAGTTCATCACGCACATGTGTTGTGTTTTGTTGGCGTGTGTTGTGCATTCCAAACGTCAGCGGCAAGAGGCACGCCGAATGAATGACCACTTCGTATTATTCGATCAAACTACTCCATCACCAAAATGTAACATCCGATACCATCGTCCGAATGAGTACTCCAGCCGTAAACTTCTCGGTTCCGCCAACTGTGCCGAACGTTTTCCAAAGTGCAACTTGCGTGCAACGGGTTATCGCTTTTCCTTTTAGCTGACACAATGCACGTGCTAGTCATCTCTGTCGCGCTTCGTCTACGCCGAAATATCCTTGTGATTAATCTAAGGTGGTGGCGGAATGTATACGCATTACAAATACACAAAAAATTACTTTACAGTTTTTCCTTCCCTTTGGTGAATCACGCGATATTAATGGCTTTAACAAAAATGCGCAGTATACAGACGAAATCATGTGTGTCAATAATGCAATTATTTTCATATCACCAAAAATATTTTGCATTTTTCCGTGTGCGTAAACGCGGGTGACTAGAGTTTCCTGCGTTCGATCGTTCGTTGACTATATACGCCAGTACAAAATCAAACCCAAGGTCCCCAACAAAAACTCTGAGAATTATGGAAATATACGGAGGCCAACAGTTGTGGGAAAGGATAGACAGATCAAATAAATACAAACGGAAACTCTTGACAGTTTAAAACAAGTTGGCCACCGCTAGAAAATTATCAAACATGGATAAAAGCACACACACGTATGCTGCAACACTTATAATACTATTTCCGACCTGTTTGCAACTGTTGTGTAGATTCCCACAGGTAACATGATTTTCGCACGCTGTACAACCAATTATCCATCAAACTCGATCAAACAGTTGCTCATCCAAGGAAAAACAATACACGAATGGCGAAAGATAACAACGCAGTGGCCTAATGGCTATACAACTTTCTATACACTGTCCACTTTTCGAAAATTGAATAAACTAATATGAACTACTGGTTTCCAGTGCTACAAAGACTAAATGCAATATTTGCTTAGTCCAACGCTTTTCCTACAACGGCTGAAACATTATACACAGTATAGTGAAAATGGCAACAACAGCGGCCCCAAAAGCGAATTACTACCCCAAGAAAAGGCATTCAAGAGATTTGTCGCCGGTGATGGGCATTGACGCTGTCAGACATCGAGATGGATAATTACTGCGCCTTGGCCAATTTGGCCAGAGTGGATATTCATTAGCGCTCTAGCGCTATGTGTCTTGCAAAGGCTCTTCTCTCCTTCCTGCCAATATTCTCTTCCTTTCTATATATCCACTGGTCAATCTTAATTGTAGTGCAACGACTTTCCTACTCGGTCAAGCGATGAGGGATGATGTGTGTCCCTAAATATTCTTCCCCATACGATCGTAGATTTTATTGAAATTACATCCCGCTGTTTTATATGCACTGGACACATCATATCGCAGGTGATGAGATTTTCACAAGAAATTCCCAGAATCTCCAATCTATTCCGCAGTGATACTAACACATGGGCGTATCAGTATCTGCAGAACTGCTCAAAATACTGCATTTTTTAGCAACAATAATATTCTTACCACAACTTTCTTCTGGATTTTCAAAATAAGACACACATATAAATCAATAAAACAGAAATATAGATAAAAATTCAATACTGCTTAAAAATTAAATCTTGAGGAATTATAGACAAAAATGCAAGAAATTCAACAGGAACTAACAACTGTGCTGGTCGAGTATTCAAAGAATCAAAAGTGCCGTATTGCTAGCACCACTACGAATTCGTTCATTGGCAGTGTATCAACAGATAATATTTCCGATGGTCACTTATGATTAATTCATGATTCTAAACGTTGTCGATGACCATCGATGCCCCTCTAATAAACTCTTTGCCAACGTGGTTCACAACGCCCACGCCCCCATTCCAGTTGGCACTTTGTGAAAAATCTGCACTTTTACAGTCAATAATCCGCTGTATGCCTGTTTGCAACAAGTCTTCATAATATCCTGTCGGCAGTTTTGATTTTCTCACTTGGCAAAGTCGTTTACACTATAAAATGATTACCCAGCAGTTTTATAATCCATATTTCCCTACACTTTGCAAATTTAATATTCATCTACCTGCAATAAACCAGCGATCACTGCTGACCTGTGTACCTGTCGGCTGAGCAGTTAGTAAATACCAAAATGCCTGGAATTTATACGCTTCCTTGTCAAAATTTCGGGAATTTCGAAGTAGTGCTGGGCAGTATCAAATATTCAATTCATTGACTAAAATATGGCTCGCGTAAATGGCAGAGTATTTCCGGAAACGAGACAAAAACGCACAGCCGATGACAATAATCAACCACTAAATGGAGCAGTAAAATTATTCATCGCACCGCAATAAGGGAAAACGCACAACTGGATCCAACAACAGCAAAAGAACAACGGGAAATCGATCTCTGCAGCGTGAATCATGGCCAAGACAAACAAACACAACGCGTTTTACGGTGGCATTGCACAATTTATGACGAAAACCATAAAATCTAAATACGTACATAAGTACTGTACATATGCAACGATACTTAAATACCATTGGATTCTTGTAATTTGGCTTAGTTCTTGTAAACTGTGAGACTTGTTATTTTGCTCACACACTATTTTGCACAATTATCGGCTACGCATACCAGAAGCACAATGTCCCAAGGCATCAGGAAGCATTCCACAAAAAATCCAACAATCCGA